AGATATTAGAGAAAAATATCTTTGAGCTTCCAAGAGATAGTTCTAGTTCATGTGTGGAATTAGTTGAACAATGTCCTGATGGTCAACAGAGGAAGCCAGATGCTATGTTTTCTCCTTCCCAGGTCCTGTTCTGCCCAGTAGGGCCCCAAACTGTCCCCACTGTTCCTGACACCCTCACAGGGAATCTGTGACAACATTAAAATGTGCCATTAACACAGTCTGTATCTTTATTTTACAAAAATGACATATTTCCATTTTCTTTTGAGACATTTAAAGTATTACCTGTGAGTTAATTTTCTCTATAATACTTCCAAAACTTAAATTCATTCTAAAAGCATCTTAAATATATTCTCCCTTTCTCCAGCATTTTAAGATGATCCAGGTGCAATAGTACATGCCGATATATAGTTTCTTGTTACCTTCCAACAGTAAGATCCCTTGGAATTAGTAAGCATGGTTGCCTACAATTATTTGAAGGGTGGGATCTAATCTTTAATATGCTTATATAATTGGTGAATTTGACATATCAAAATACTACTCAGCAAAACTGTAAAGATAAAGCTTACTGGGTTATAGGATTCAATATTTGTGAAGAGTTCCCATATGTCCACCATGGTTATGTAGTATGCCTCCTTCTGGAGTCTGCTGTATAACTGGGTTTTGTTGGAATAGTTACCAGCATTTCCATCATGGTATTCGCTGTTTTTTTTACCATGCTGTGTTTCTATTATTATTATTATTATTATTATTATTATTATTATTATTATTATTATTATTATTGGGGGGGGTAAAACAGGGTTTCTCTGTGGCTTTGGAGCCTGTCCTGGAACTCACTCTGTAGACCAGGCTGGCCTCCTGAGTGCTAGGATTGAAGGCGTGTGCCACCACCACCCAGATCTCATTATTTTTTAAAACAATTCATTATATAGCCATGCCATAAGCAGGAAAACCTCCATCACAGAGTGCTACTAGCTCATAAAACAGCTGAATCGGGCTATCTGCCCATTGTTTCCCAGCAGGCAGAGGGCCCTTAGATTAAGGGAGAAAGAGGAGAAATATACTCACACTCACAAGGAAATGTTTAAGTAAATAGGTACAGTCACTGTCAGCAAGGAAAGGTGGTTCATCCCAGCCAAGCTCCAGCCCGGTCTGGCAAACACAATAAAGTGAACACAGGGAATTAGACTGGATGCTGGGATGAAGGCCTGTGTGAAAACTAAGCACCTGAAACCATTCAAAACCTTGACCTGCCCAAGTTGAAAGGTGTCAACACTAATAATGTAATCACTGTTATTACTGATGTAAGCCATCATCAATGCAGAATTTCTTCCAGAGTTTCACTGGGTGAGTCCTATGGTTCTCTGCTTCCCACCATATATGAATAAAGCTGAAAAGGTCTGTGTCAATAGAGTTCCCAGTGACCCCCCCCCAGAATCACAGGACACAGCCCGGGTTCCTCCACAAATATGGAACACACATATACCAGCCCACTCTGGCGATACCAGTGAAGGGCAGTCTCGGGTTGCCTTTGATGTCCTTTGCACATCTAGGAGAGAGCCTCCTTCCTCTAGAAAGCCCCTGACTCACTCCTTGGAGGGGACAGAGTCACCCTACACAGCTCTGTGCTAGAACTCCAAGTGCAGCACTTGACGCAGCCACCACCCGTGGTAAATGTTCTCCTTCGTGGACAGAATGCCAACAAATTCTTCTCTTCCCAGGGTTTGGACTTCTTCCTCCATTAACATTTGCCTGAAACCCTGTGGGAGAAAGATGATATACAGCATTCTTCCTTAATTTAAGTTTCTCCAAGTTTTGAGGAATGCATCATTCTTTAAAGAATAAAATGTAAAATGGTAAATGGTATTCTGCTTGGGGCAGGTTCTCTGTTTAATCAAGGAAATCAAACCAGAGCTCAAGGTTCTCTGTTTAATCAAGGAAATCAAACCAGAGCTCAAGGTTCTCTGTTTAATCAAGGAAATCAAACCAGAGCTCAAGGTTCTCTGTTTAATCAAGGAAATCAAACCAGAGCTCAAGGTTCTCTGTTTAATCAAGGAAATCAAACCAGAGCTCAAGGTTCTCTGTTTAATCAAGGAAATCAAACCAGAGCTCAAGGTTCTCTGTTTAATCAAGGAAATCAAACCAGAGCTCGTCATCTGTCACTCCCAGACAGGAAGTTCATAGTGTCAGCGGTTGCTGGGTGGGTGCGCAGAAACTTCCCCACAAGCAACAAAAACAATGCCAAGCAAAGTCCTGCAGGCTTGAATCTTGAAAGTGCATGCGCCTTAGATGGAGCAGATCAAGTAAGAAGCAGGAAGAGAGCATTGCATAGTATTGTATACTGTAATAGAAAATACTAGATTGTATTTAAAAAGTGAAATAAGAGAAAGGATATTATCACTTTCTCAGACTGACGATCTGTAAGTGACAGCTCTTCAGCATCCATGAGGAGAGTATGATTTAAAGCTATTCAGAAGGGTAAGGAGAAAAAAATTAAAGGCACATGAAAAACGGAGAGGTAAATAGAAGTCAGGGGTGGGGACTTGATCTTGTTTGAAGTTGGATAAAGGAGTGGAACCCTCTTCAGTAACACTAAACCTCATTGTGGGCTATGCCACATGGGCTGACGGGAGGAAGCAATTGGCCTATCAGAGTGTGGTCAGAACAATATATACTGTCTCAGAGCTTTCCCGGGGGCGAGGGCTGCAGACCAGTCCACTGTCCTGTGGGAACTGGGTTAGGCTCTAGTGCAGATGAAAGCAGGGTGGAATGGGGGATGTTCTCCCAGGACCTATTTGTGTCACTCCTGTGACTTGCACAGTTCCCAAGGAAAGGGACTTGACTCCTGCCAGCTGCAAACACAGTGCCAAATGGTTCTCTGGGGCACCAGCACCAAAGTCCAAAAATGCGCAACTCAAAGAAGAAACAAAACAAAACAATTAGCCTTGCTTCCTAGGAACAAACTTTAACAAAGGCACCAGAATGAAAATACAGACCAAGAAAAAGTGGAACGAACAGCCTGGCCAGAAAGCTAATAAGTAAAAGAGCCGAGAAAAGACTTGACCAGAGAGGAAATATGTATTCATCCCTGGGGCTGAGGAGATGGCTTAATGGGTAAAGTACTTTGATGTGCAAGTGTGAAAACCAGAGTTTAGGTCCCCAGCACCCACAAAAAAATGCTGGGTGGGTGCGGTGGTTGGCTTCTAATGGTAGCAACTTGGGACGCAGACAGTGGGATCCCCTAGACAAGCTAGCTAGACTATCTGAGTTGATGATCTCTGGGTTTACATGAGAGACCGTGCCTCAATATGTAAGGCAGAGAGCAGTCACAGAAGATACCTAACACCAATGTCTGGACTCCATATGCACAGGTGCACACATATGAATGTGTGCACACCATGTACACACATGCAGATTTTTTAATTAAAAAATAAGATTTTTAGATTTTATGAAATGATTATATTCTTTAAAAATCTAATTATTTGGCTGATCTCCATAAGGTAGGAAATCTCAGGTCAGAACCTAGACGTCAATAACAGTATTCTCAAAAAAAGCTGCTGTCTTGGCAGTGGGCAAAGAAGCCCAGGCTCAGACAGCCACAAGCCCCAAATCCACCTTCCTCAAGAAGGAAAACTTAAATGCAGATACAGAACCTTAGTGTGTTGAATGGTGTCCATATTTCAGTACATGCGTGTCGTAAAATTATCACAGTACAAGAATAAAGTCAGAAGTGAGCAAAAGGACTGGTAAAAAAAACTATACATTAAATGCCCTATAACAGAGAAATAGGAATAATATTATTATTCACCAACTAGGATATTTACACAGCCAATAGCAGTTACTGATAGTAGCAATATGGGCAATTCCTGTGCCATAGCATTGAGTGTGGGGAGGTAAAATGTCAAATGCTGACATTGCAACTATAAGTCTCCAGTGTTTCCAGAGAAACACTGAAATGAAATATCAAAGTACATTCGATTTTTACATCAGGTTATTGAGATGATTTTCATATATTTCCTGACTCTTTCAGGAAACAGGTGTAATAATCCTTAGCCGAAAGTAAACTGATAATCAAAACTGAAAAGAAGAAAGGAAACATATTCAGTAAATATTAACATTTTCCACATTATACATAAAATCCAAAAGACTGAAACTTTGGGGCTTTGGCGAAGTTGTGTAAATATCAAAGCAGCAAATGCCTGAGGTTCGTGGGAAATCTGAGCTGTCATTCCCTTTTTCAAAATTCGCTTGGATTCAGGTCACTGAAAAGCTTAACGCCTTTTTCCCTGGGTATAGAACACCCTAGTGTCAGCATGCATGCCGAAGAAAAGTTCACGTAGGCCAAAGCAGACGCACGGGTCAGCCACTGGGGCCGACTTGAAAAGCACTCTCCAAATGACACCCGATTCTTAAGTGGGATCATCTGCACTGGTCATCTTTCTCTAACTCACTTGTTGCCATCATCTCGATACTGTACAGGCTCCAGCTGGCCGTCCGGTGCTCTCCCATCCACCCTAGAAAAGACTCTGATGAATGTCCTTGAAGTTCAGATGATGAAACCCTGTAGAAGAGATAGCAGGCTAGGAAAGAGGGTGAGCGCAGCCAGCAGCCACCCAAATGCCGTGTGGAAGCTGCAGATCCCTTACAGACAGCTCATGCCTTCACCCCAAGAGCAGCTCACGGGGGGGGAGGTCAACTTCCACAGAAATGAATGCCTTCAGGGTCCCGCACAAGACCTTGATGCACCAAAGTCAAAGGATTCAGAGTTCTGGCTTCCACAATCTTTTCCGAAGGGTCCTGTTGTGAGTCCTTTCCTATAAAGACCACCCATATCTGTCAGCCAGAGCTGTGGCAGAGAGTGGCACAAAGTATTCTCCTCCATTTAGGTCCGTTTCCATGATAGTCTTGGATTCTGCTTTGAGGGAGGTCCCCAAAGTCCCAGCGTGCCTCCCTCCTGCCTCTACCATTTTGCACCTACCCTTCTGTTTCCTCACCAACCTCAGGTGGTTCGGGACCAGATCTCTCATTGCACAGTGAAACTACGCCAGACCACGGGCCTCATGGAGTACTGCTTGGAAGTGATTAAGGAGAACGATCCTAGTGGCTTTCTGCAGGTTCGTACTTGCTAGTTTTGCTTCCTGTTCCAGATGTGCCATAGCACTGAGTGTAGGACACACAGATGGGACATCCAGCAGCCTGGCTTCCATGTGTCCCTCAATAGCAGAACCTACCTACATCCTCAGTGAACGTGGGAGAGCCTGGTGTAGAACACTGACTTCCTGGAGGTCTCTGGCATCCTATGCTACAAGACCGAGAAGCACATGGGCTGTGGGGATTGGGGGGTGCACTTTTGTTCATGTAATTAATCATGTAATTTCTTCCAAAGAAGAGTATTGCCTTGTCTGAGAATCGGAACTTCTCCCTAACAGTTTTGTCAGCAGAAGTCCTTGTGTGCAAGGTCCTGCCTTGTTACCCCTTCCTTCTGTTCACTATTTTTTTCAGTGGTACTAGAGGGGTTGTTTTGGTTTTGACTTTTTTTCATTGTCAATTATAAAATGCTATGCTATAAGCTGGGGTTTGCTTACATTTTTTGACACCAAGGACAAGGAGCTTTTTTACTAGTGTAAGACATTTAGATCTCTTTCAAATTCATGTTCTGCAGCCAGTCGAGAGTGACAGATGGAGCTGAATATAAGAAATGGAAGGGGGGAGTTGGAGAGATGGCTCAGAGGTTAAGAACACTGGCTGCTCTTCCAGAGGTCCTGAGTTCAATCCCTAGCAACCACATGGTGGTTCACAACTGTCTATAATGGGATCTGGCGTACTCTTGTGGCTTGCAGGCATACGTTCAGGCAGAACACTGTATACACAATAAATAAATAAATCTTAAAAAGAAAGAAGAAAGTTATAAAAGAGGTCTCTTATGCAGAATCCAGTGACAGTCACATGGAGAGGGAACACTTAAGATTTAAGAGGATGTATAGCAGCCTCTCTGGCTTGCATACCTCATTCCTGAATTTTGTCTGGCTGCCCACACCCTAGAACAGAAGGGTAGAGCCGTTGATCCTATAGGATAAACTGGTTTCCATTGTATCACATTCTTCAGAGCCATCAGCATTTGGAAGCTCAGTAATACATGAGCACATTCCAGGCATGTCTATAAATCAGTTAAAAGTTATTTATAGTAGCCTCCTTCTGACTAAACAAAAATGTTCAAATTTGCTTCAGAAACTGTGAGCTACCCTAGTAGTGACACAGGCCTTTCTCACAGAGCACACTGAGATGGGAAGGGCTTGAGGTCCTCTCAGTTTGGTGGCAACGCTTACAGAGAGTCCAGGAGCAGTGCTGTGGTTTGAATGCGATGTTGTGTTTCTCAGGCTGTGGTCTTTGATGTGATCAGATTTCAGATGCCCTCATAAGGCGTGTCCACTTAACTGAGGACCAGTGGGGCAAAGGCACACTCACTCCCAGGATGACCACGGACTTTGACTTGAGCCTGGACAACAGCCCCCTGCTGCAGTCCATTCACCAGCTGGACTTCGTGCAAGTGAAAGGTGAGTTCTTGTGTCCCCAGAGTCAGCGTGCTGCCCTGAGCAGATGCTGCTGCTTGAAGCACTGTGGGTGACCCTGTGATGAAGGTTATAGCGTCCAGAGTGGGACTGGAGAAACAGTTGCTTGGTGGTGCATTGCTATAATCCCAGCGTTCAGGAGGCAGAGACAGGCATGTCTGTAAGTTCAAGGCCAGCCTGATCTACATAGTGAGCTCCAGATAAGACAAAAATTATATAGCAAGGCTGCCTAAAAGAGAAGAATCAGAAGAGGAAGAGGAAGAAGGGGAATGGGGAGAAAAGAAAAGGAGAGCTGGCTTCACTGGCTTCACTGGCAGAGGATTTATGCTCAGTCTCCAGCACCCACGCCAGGCAGCTCACCCGGAATGCCCTCTCTGGCATCTGAGGGCTCTCACACACACATGGCACACATACACTTGAAGAAAATCTTTTTAAAATCTAGAGTGACTCTCACTTCTGCTAGGGTATGAAAACATCTCCATTTTAGCTGTGTGAGCTGAACGAGTCTGATAAACTCAGATATACTCAACCCCTGACTGTTTGAGAGCCTGGGAGAGTTCACATGTCAGCAGCAGAGTCACTGACAACCCAGACGGTCAGATGGGGGCTAACTGTGCACAGCTAAGACCTTCCCACAAGAAGTGACCCCTAACTAGTGCCAAAGGTCACAGAAACCTGGCATTGAAATGAAAGTGTCATCTCAGAGAGAGCATAGATGAACGAGAGTCTGACAGGATGGCTGGAAGCTGCACGAGAAATAAGAACGAGATAAGCTTTAAGATTAGTTGACAGAATTAAAGGATATGGCAAGACCTGTTTGAAGTTTTGGGGGTTCTCTCTTTTTGTTTGTGTGTTTTTAAGTTGGGCACCAAAAGAAAGTGTAAGTACTTATGATTAAAAACACAAGCCAGCTGTGCAGTGGTATTTTTTATGGCAATGTGACTAATCCATCTGAAGACTATTCCTGATTTTTTTAACTGCATGCTTATGACATATGTAGATTCCTACAACTACCATCACAATCAAGATAAAGAATTATTCCTAATCCAGGTGAAAAGGTAGAGCTCTCTGACCCCAGCTATGAGGAGGCAGAGGCCGGAGGATTATGGCTTCAGGCTAGTGTGAACTACATAGTAAGATTCCATCTCAAGAGCTAACCAGAAAGGCAACCCTTCATCATGTGTGTCAACTTGCCCCCACCCTCACTCAAATCCTTGACAGCTGCTGCTCTGTCCCCCAACTCCACCATTTTAATACTTTCTGACGTTTTTTGAAAGCTGAAGAAACTGGGCCATGCCCGGTAGCACATTACTGCTCCCAGCACTCAGGAGGCAGAGGCCTGTGAGTTCCAGGCTAACCTGGCCTGCACAATACATTCCAGGTCAACAAGCGTTATGTAGTGAGACACAGTATCAAACAAGGAAGACAAAACCCTTTGAAACAATTCAAAAATGGAAACAATGTTCTCCAGGGTTGCAGAGGAGACTGGGAGGTTAAGAATGTTTGCTCCTCTTGCAGAGGGCCAGTCTGGTTCCCAGGATCCACACCAGGCAGGTCACAAAGCCACCTGGGTCCCCAGCTCCGCAGGAACTAACATCTCCTGGCCTCTTTGGGCACTGCCTTCATGCGCACAAACCCCACCCATGAGCATAATAAGAGAAAAAGTAAACCCTTTTTAGCTGGAGACACTGATTCGCCTTGTTCACCTCTTAATTTAAGCATTTACATAATAAATCAGTCCTAAAAGTAGATGCTTTGCAAACCGTAGATGCTGGGGGGAAATGTACATGCTTCCCCTTATCAGACAGAATCCTGTAACCGTCGTGTGGGTGAATTCGTCCATCTGTTTGGCACTCACGCACCTCCTTTTCATGACCTCTTGGTTTCTTACCCTCCTCATTTTATTATTGATAGGCATTGTTTTGAGATGGTGCCTTAACCAATGTTTTTTGTTTGCTTGTTTTTACGAGACAGGGTTTCTCTGTATTGTTTTGGAGGCTATCGGTCCAGCCTGGCCTTGAACTCACAGAGATCTGCCTGCCTCTGCCTCCCAAGTTCTGGGATTAAAGGCGTGTGCCACCACCACCCGGCTTTAACCAACTTTTAAAGTGATGTATAGATCATAAGTTAAAATGTCCCGCTGTAATAAAAAGCGGGGGCACTTATGGAATGTTAACCAAACCAGACATTCTCCCAAGTGCAGGTGACTTTTTTCCACTTCCATTTATTCTCACAGCTCTAGAAGTCAGCTGATATAACCCGGGCACCGGAAGCCTAAGTTACAGAAAGGGATGGGGTTAGGGCCCGCCCCGAGAAGTAGCCTCAGAGCACACTGGTGTCATTCCCAATCTGTCCTATAAAACAGTGTAGCTTCTTGGAGAAATAGCTAATTTCCTTTCATACATTCAGTGTGTGTGTGTGTGTGTGTGTGTGTGTGTGTGTGTGTGTGTGTGTGTTGCAGTAATCTTTTGTTGCTGTTTAAAAATCTTCTCTGACACCTACATGGCAAAGTCAGTAAACTATCTTTTGCAGAATATAGAGAGCCCCAGGTTAATTGCCCCCTAGTCAGCCTCTGCCTATCTCCAATCCTGTCAGCAAAATAAATCCACTAAAAAGTTATGTCTCATGTATCATGAAGGAAGAGATACATCATTAAAGAGCACTGTAAAGGCTTTTGGTAGAAGAAGGGGGAAAGGCACCAAGCCAATTCGCCTTGGCACTAGGGCAGAAGGAAGGGCAGTTAGAAAGTAGAAGCCTCGAGGCTTTGGAATGCTCTGGTCGGCTGGCAGAGCAGTCTGCTCCCACACTCTCTGCCCTTTGAGGCTGGGCCACCCATCCACCTCCTGTGCAGTCCAGGCCAGGTGGCGGGATGAACCTGGAGTGAGCAGCTCCTGCAGTGGGTATTAGAACTGAGGTCTGTGAGCTCGGCATAGCTGACCTCATTTCCAAAAACAGTCACTTGTTCCTTAGTGCACACAGAGGCGAGTGTGGAGAAAGCTGTGCACACTGCTCAAGTCTGTACACACAGCAGCAGAGAATGCCACTACACTGAAGGCTAGGATGCGGAACGCCCCTAAGTGCAGCGACTGCCTGACACACAGGGCACCCAGGACAACTCTTTATGACATTAGCAGAATAGACCATTTGGTGTAATAGCGAAATTTCTGTTTAGCACTTCATCATAATTTAATTCACTTTGGATTGTTTTCTCTCTGCCTTGTTAATTTATGTGTCCTGCTTTGTGTTCATTAAGTTTAATCAATTCAGTGAGAGCCTGGACCTGTTCAGTCTGAATAATTTTTTACCTGTCAAGTATTTGTGATGAAAAGGAAAAGCCAAAGTTTGTGATGCAATATCAGCTGACTGGCTGCAGATGAACCCCTCCCCACTGGCCTTTGGGATATTTGTTAGCACAGGGACAGATGCTCCTAGTGTATGGTTAGCTCGCTCATTGTCTCATTGTCTGCAGGGACTCTCAGTCTACCCAATGAACTGCCCTTTCACAACTTGGCAGTAAACATATTCCCTCAAGCTGCATCCTAAGTCCGAGTACAAAGGATCCAAATTAAATAACATCTGGGATAATATTAACACAATCTGCCCATTATGAAATAACAATGTCATTAGATATGTTTTTTCTAATAATGTTACATGGACACAGTGAAAACTCAAAATATTTTTAAGTGACTTAAAGTACGAATTTACACTTGTGACATTTTTATGCAAGAAAAATATGTTTGTTTCTTGACACATACACACAAAAAAATTCAAATCTTCCTGGTTCATTCCTTTTGTTGCTGTGGAAGATGGGCCAGCTATGCGTGTCCACAGGTTTCTTCTCAGGCAGCTGCAGCTTAGCAAGAATTCATCTTCTGCGATCACTGCCTCACTAGCAAAGGGCTCCATCACCCCAAGCAGGAGAACTCCATCTAGAGAACACTGGGCTTTCCTTGTTCGGATGGCTGAATTCTTCTGGCATGGTTCTCGTTGTCCCTTAAATAGAAAACCACCTCACCTTCTTTTCAACCATTGGAAGTAATGTTTGGGCTCCTTGTCTTTAGTTGTATAAAAATGGCATGCCGAGTTTTGTCTTCTTCTTTTATTAGAGATCATTTTAGAATAGTTTTCCAAATTCTCAGTTGGCATTGTCTACTCTCTCCTGGGACATGGGAGTAGAGTTTTCAGAGTACTTTTGTAGTCTTCCCAAGGTTCTGCTGCATGGGTAAGAACAGGTATCAGCCATCTGCTTTCTCTGAAGAACACTACCCTAGAATTGTGAGCACATAGAGCATTTAATGCATGTTGCTAAAATCGATTGTCTGCATGTTAAATCCAATACCAGGACAAAACTGTGACCTAAAACTCCACCAGCCAAATGGTTGTTAATTCCTTTAAGTGCCTCTGCTCCCATGAGGACAAATGAATCTTCATTAACTCTCCTAGAATGCAACAGCCCTTGTTATGTGCCAAGGACACAGTCAAGGACAGAGTGATCTGAACAGACTCTCCTTTGTGTGGCAGGAAACGAGCCCCAGGAGAGGGCTGGCAGGGACGGGTGAACACACACATGCGCACAGGCAGTCTGCCCACATGCAGAGGTTTGGAGGCTGAAGTGACTGTCTTCAGAACATGTGTGATAGTCTTTTCTAGTGGACCAGCGACAACTTCCTAGAAATGTCGAGCACTTCCTCCAGAGCAGTGGTTCTCAACCTCCAGGTCCAGTCCCACTACTTGTTAGCTTTGAAGCCTCTCTGGCTTTCAGTTTCTTTGTCAATGAAGCAGAGGTAAGAAGGGGGCTGTGAAAAACCCCATAAGCGAATGCATGCAAGCCTTACCACCCAAGTATTCGTAAAGTGTCCCTTAGGGTTGGTGTTCCGGCTGGGAGTGGGGAGCCGGCTTCCTTTCTCCCTTGCTCTGGCCACACAGAGGAATTCTGGAGGGTTGCAGGTGTTCATGACCTGAAGAGTTAGAAGAAGAACTTCAGTCCTTCAAATGATGAGATTTGAAAACATTAGCAGAAGGCACTGTTGTAGAACAGAGCCCCAAGCCTCACCTCCGCCAGAAGCACAAGGGACAGCACACTGTAACCAAAAGAACTGTCCGTCTGTAGCTCGTGTTTATAGGCCAAGGGAATAACAAATGCTGTAATTATGATCAGACCAAGAGAAACCAAAGAGAAAGCCAAAGATGCCCCAGAAGGAACACAAGATACAAAGACCAAAACAGTTAGGGAAGCCCCAGACACAAAAGGTTCAATAAAATAAAACATTCTTGGACACCAGCCCTGAAACTGTTGTGCTATGTTCATGGTCAATTTATAAAATACAGAATGACTGAAAATAATTTGTATTTCTTGTAGGCCATGTATTTATTTCATACCTAATAAAATGAAGTAGGGTAAGATAACCCCCACCATAAAAATCTATTTTTCTAAATGTCAACCGAGCCTTAGCTAATGTGACTGTAACTTTGACAAGCTTGCTTTTCCTATACATCATTTGAGGGTAAATAAGGAATAGATGAAATGAAAAGAATGATTCTTAGCACGCAGAGAAACAGAATCAAACATGCAGCAGATTCCAGTTTAGACATGCCGGTGTCTCTGTGTCACGTTCTACACGCCCCCCACACCCACTTTGTTCATTTTCCTACTATTTAAGTCTGAGACTATAATGAGATCTAAACATTAGTGGCATCTTTATTCCTAAGTTATTTATTCTCCCACAGTCTCCCTACTGGGGACTCAAAATGAAGTTCCAGTGTTTTAATTATATGTGGCATCATTTATTTCAATTAATCACCTGGTGCTGCCTTTGTCTAATGACGATTTCATTTCTCCTCAGACATTACAGGCATCTGTAGGATTCGAGTGGAAATCATTTTGTGATCTTGTTCTTTGATTTTGTAATTGATGACGTGTACACTTGCCTACAGCATGAATGAAGGAAAGAAAAGATTGATATGAGCTAATGAGACAGACAGTCCAAGTAATGGATTTATGATAGACCTAACAGAATAAACAGCCCAGGGAAATTCATCCATGTCTCCAGAAGCCCTCTGGAGAACATTTTGGCTAAATTCCACTGTAAATATAAAATATGCATTCCTTTATAAAGGAAACATTTTGTTTTGTTTTGGTTTTGGTTTTTACGAGACAGGGTTTCTCTATATTGTTTTGAAGGCTGTCGGTCCAGCCTGGCCTCGAACTCACAGAGATCCGCCTGTCCTTCACATCAAGTACATTGTAGATGCTTTTGTCTCCTAGGTTACCCACCATAGATCCTGTTTCCTGAACTGATGTTAAATCAACACTGCTTGGAATGACTGACAGGAACATATTTAACTCGGTGCATGATACACCGAGTTCAATGGTGATGCAGCACACCAAGTGTTCCATAATTAACATTTGTTCATCTAAATGTGCCTGGACATAAATCCCAACCCATTCTATCCTGTTATTAAAATACAAGGCTGGGGGAAATGTTCTGGGGCTAATAAAAATAAATGTATTGATAAGAAAATGGAGAGATGACTCAGTGGTTAAAAGCACTTTTAGCTTTAGCAGAGGACTTGAGTTTAGTCCGCAGAACTAGTGGCTCAAAACTGTCTGCAACACTAGTTCCAGGGTATCTGACACCTTCTTGTGACCTCCATGGGCACCAGACATGCAAGGGGTGCACATGTGCACATGCACGCAAAATACTCATACACATAAAATAAAGTAAATACTTAATTTTGAAAAAATGTTTGCTGAGAACTTTGCTCTCAGCTACCAATATTGAGTTCCTGGGTTAGGAACTGGGATTGTCAACCAGCATTTTTATGTTTATGTGTCTGATGGTTCAGCTACTTAATAGTTTTAAATAACATAAATGAATCCATCTACATTATAGAGGGTTATTAATTCAGCTGATTCTCACAAGATTTGGAACCATCAAGAGTCCCCTGTCACACTTAGATCTGCTGTTCCTAAAAAGCAGTGGACCTGACCTCTCCCTGTTCCAAGCTACAGCTGCCAAGAAAATATAATGTCAGGGTCTTCACAAGTTTCAAATTGTGACATGGCTTGTGTCCCTTGGTACCAAGTTTAAAAAATCTATGGCTGTTGCTGTTTATGGGCACACTAGTGAGTGGCTGGGTGGATGGATGGGTGGATGGACAGACGGACAGGTAGGTGTGTGTGTGTGTGTGTGTGTGTGTGTGTGTGTTACCAGACTTCTTCCTTACCAGCCGGAAGCTTCTCATCATAAGCTAATTAATCAGTTGTAATTCAACTGAAGCTAGATCTGCTCTAATTTCTCTTTAGCTTCCTCTCCAGTCCCAGCAACCCCCATCCTGCAGCTGGAGGAGTGTTGCACCCACAACAATAGTGCTACACTGTCCTGGAAACAGCCCCCTCTGTCCACTGTGGCTGCCGAAGGATACATTCTGGAGCTGGATGATGGAAGCGGTGGTCAGTTCCGGGTAAGCAGATAACCTACCTATTAATCGATGCCAGGGACTCCCGCAGAAGACCTGCTGTGGCAGTCACAGCATGGTCTTCCCATCTCTCCTGGAGGTGGACCACTCCGTCAGGGATTTCTTGTCTTGTATTGTCAAAAATGGATGCGGGTCTGTCAAATCATCCTGCCCTTTCAAAAAGACAGTTTAACTGTGTGACAGAGCCTATTTCTTGTCTCTGAGCCTTTAGGTCGGCATCTGCCAGTGAGAGGCCGAAGACAATAACATGTGTCTTAGTTAGGGTTTCTATTGCTGTGAAGAGACACCATGATCACAGCAACTCTTATAAGGGAACATTTAATTGGGGCTGGATTACAGTTTCAGAAGTTTGGTCCATTATCTTTGTGGTGTCATTCGGGCAGACGTGGTGATGGAAAAGGAGTTAAGACATCTTGATCAGCAAGCAGCAGAAGCAACTGTGTCAGTGGGCGTAACTTGAGCATAGGAGACCTCAAAGCCCATCCCCATAGAGACACACTTCCTCCAAGGCCAAACCTACTCCAACAAAGCCACACCTCCTAATGGTGCCACTCCCTTCCGGGGGCCATCTTCTTTCAAACCACTGCAGCATGTACGTGGTGCTTTGATCGTCTATGGAAACCAGCATGCTGCTGCATCCCTGATGAGCCCGCAGCACTAGCTGTTACTATTACTATAGCGATTTAGTGCTAATAATACCATCAACCATTGTCTAAGCCTTGTTTCTGCTATGACAGATTCTAGGGTTTTGAACTGACACTGTTCTTAGCTAGCAAACTCTTCTATTACAGCCTCCTTGCTGAGAGAGCTTTCCTAGTAAATCTTTCTCCAGTCATACCTCCCCACCCCTGAGCCTTTCATCAGACAGAACCGGAGCCAAAAAAGTATTACATCTACAAGGCAAGGGAATACTAACCCCACTGGGAAGTTCATGGGTCCCTCTGGATATGAGGCAGACATGTTCCTTTGGCAAGACATGGTTTTGCTGCCCACAGATTAGTGATCTTTGTATGGCAGTCTGTCTGTGTTTCCTGCTTCTGTCTCAAACATACTGTATTAGTTAGGGTTCTCTAGAAGGACAGAGCTTATAGAATGACTCTATAAATGTACAGAAAGGGGATTTATTAAAATGACTTACAGGCTGTGGTACAGCGAATGCAGCAATGACTGGCTGTGAACAGAGAGTCCAAGCAGCCAGCAGTTTTTCAGTCCATGAGGCTGGATGTCTCAACTGCTCTTTGGTCTGCACCGGAATCCTGAAGAAGTAGGTTCTGATGCCAATGATGGAATGCACTTGCTAGTGAGAGCAAAAGCAAGCAGGCAAAGAGAGATGCTTCCTTCCTCCTTGTCTATATAGGCTTCCAGCAGCTAAGGAGTAGAGGCAGCCTTCCCACCTCAAATGATTTAATTAAGCAAAAATCTCTCACAGGTGTGCCCAGCCATTTGGGGGTTTTAATTTAATATCAAATGTAGTGAAATTGACAACCCAAGTAGCCATCACACACACACACACACACACACACAGAGAGAGAGAGAGAGAGAGAGAGAGAGACAGAGAGAGACAGAGAGACAGAGAGACAGAGAGACAGAGAGACAGAGAGAGAGAGAGACAGAGACATTTGCTTTCTACCTTTCTGGGTACCAAGGCCCGTCTCAGCACTGACGAACAGGAGAACCTGTCCAAAGCAAACCCCGAGCCCCAGGAGATGAGGTTTTCTCCCAGTCAGCAGCAAAACCTGGGTCAGTAGTTTCCAAGAGCAAAGCCAAAGAGGTCTCTCTCCTCCTCTGCTGGGATTGAATACTTTCAAGCAGGAGTCCTGTATGAGTCTCCAGACTCTCTCATTTGGTAGGGAGGCCTTTGTTTACATATGTGCTGCCTAGCATGGAAACGTCATTGTGTGTGGACACCACCGGAGGCTACTGCCATCCCGAGGTCTCTTGTCCCTCCCGCCGCCTGCCTCAGCGTGTGCCCAGCGTTCCCCAGGCATCTCTTTCGTGCACGTCTTATCTGATGGGCCCGGGGTTTCTACCTGTGGGGAATTTTCAACTTTGACACATCGAAACCAGCCTAAACTTAACATTTGAACTAAACCACTCATCTTCTCAGAGCTAAGTTTCTTTTCTAGCTATTCTTTCGCAGACATTGCACTCAGAACCGTAACACTAGCTGGCTCCTCTCTCCTGAGGGCCCAGGATTAAAAGAAAATTCAATCTGGTTCCTTCTAGTCAAACCATGGCTCCCACACCTTGGTCCCTTCCACTTACTCCACAGCCACCATAAGAAGGGGTCTCCCTTGTGTTAGGATATGACTCCCTCAAGGGCCCATTTCGTTATTCAGCCCTGGCTTTACCTGGGGATTTGTTAAAAATGGATAATGTTGTTCCCTATTTCAGGGACCCAGGGGAACAAGAACCACATTGTAATAAGATGCATGGGTAATTCATATGCATGAATGTTCAGAATTCCCGAATGAGCTAGTGTCACATGCAGGTTTTCCTAACTGCTGCGGCAGGGATGAATCTGCAATGGGTATTACAAGACCGCAAGTGGACAGCTGCCACCTTAGACTGTGTCTGGGGTGCAGACTGTTCTTACTCACTACACCAGCCTGACTTTGCAAGGTGTACAGCTGAGGAAAGAAACAAATGCCTGACCTGTGCTGAAATGCATGATGTGAGGCTTTATTCTAAGCCTTTGAAATGTCTTCCTCCCCGCTTCCCTCCATTCCAGCAGTTTTGAGTCTAATCCTGTGACAGTTCCTGAGGTTAGAGACACAGCTTACGGACTACCCTCATGTTTTCATGTTTTTACAAATGCTTCTTACATACCGTGCTGATGGATAAAGGGGTTACGTTCTCTGTAAACACCCACCATAAGCATAATCCTAACCAGACTTCCAATTATGACTTTTTAAATACTAGCTGTGGAGAACTCTAAAGCTACTGAACCCACTACAAATTTAAAGTTACATTGTTCTCACGCCCATCTTGAAAAGTAGGTATTAATGTCCCCGTTTTACAGATTAAGTAACTAAGGCCTTTAAACAATAAATTAAACAGTTCAATAATTCACAGGATTCAAGTCTGGGTCAGGTGGATATGGAAACTGTGCTTCTAAGCACTGAGCGGAATCCCTCCTTGTTGCTCTCAGGATTCACATGAGGTGGGCTCCTCTTTTCTGTTGACAGGAAGTGTATGTTGGGAAAGAAACAATGTGCACTGTGGACGGCCTTCACTTCAACAGCACATACAATGCTCGAGTCAAGGCCTTCAACAAAACAGGAGTCAGCCCCTACAGCAAGACACTGGTCCTCCAGACGTCTGAGGGTAAGGCCCTTCAGCAGTATCCCTCAGAGCGGGAACTACGCGGCGTCTAACGTGGCTGGCAGCCTGGAGGTAACCCCATCAGAGCCACATCCCTCAAGTTTTTTCCATGACTTGCACTGTCTCCGGCCCAGAGCCGCTGTCCCTCTCCCGCCTTTAGAAGGCCCGTGAGATGTGGATTGAGCAAACCAGAGATCCCACATCAGCAGCTCCAGTGGCTTCCTTTGCTAACACTCTAAGCTACGTGGAAGAAGCTGAACACGAAGGCCTGAATGTGCCCTGGTGTCTAAGACGGAGACACCTAGTCTCTAGAGCAGGCTCCCATTCTCCACCAAGCCGCACGAGTGGCCACTCTTGCCCAAATGATTCTCCATGTCTTTGTAGCTCTTGCTCGCTCCTGACGGGGCTGGGATATAGGTTCTTTCCAACTTTAGATCTGTATGACTAGAACATCTTTTCAGTGGGTGTGGGGTGCTAGAGCCTGTTGACCACTTCTGGCTTAACAAGCTTGGACTATTTCCCTTCCTACCCAAAGCCCAGGCCATCGGCACCAGGACTGAGATTTCCTGTGGGCACCAAACAGGAAGAGACCAGCAACTCTGCTTTACCTCGCCATGTGGGTGGTTGCCGGTCCCTCTAGGGGTGGTTAGGCTGCCTGGGGCCACTGTATGACATTGTTTCTCTAGAGGACATTTGATTCTTGGCTTTACTATAAATTTCCTGGTCATCAGAGGCCATCTGTCTAGAAGAGGCTTACATTTGATGACCTGGTATGACCTCTGAGGCTTTAATGTTTCTGTTTTAATTTTACAAGCTGCGGAGGCACATGAGACTAAACCTATGAAGGGTATGTGTGGCTGTTGCCAAAGCATTCTGAGACTTTGGGGTGTTGTTTTAATCATGGAAGTCACCTTCTACCCCATTGGAATCCCTCACAACTAATCTCTGATGTCGATTTTGTTCAAGATGTTAGCTAGAAGAACTGTGGTGTTTTCTCCTACCTTCCACAAACCTCAGAATGTGTCAGTCACCCCTAAAATGGTCCACATGGTTCAAAACAAGCACAACTTTGAGTCCCACCATGAGGATGAAAGACCCACAGCTGTGAAAGCAATGCTGTGGGGAGGGGGGTTGGGTCCCAGTGGAGCTATTCAAGGAAGAGGCTTTGTAGAGGATCTAGTACTCACGTGACACTGTACCCACAGCGATAACAGTGACATAACATCCAGCTCTTTACTCAGACTTAACATTTTAGCAACTTCCTTCTGGGATGACCTACCAGCCTGAGAGTTGTTGCCTCTTTTCCTGAAATACCATGCTAAATGCTAAGGGCCTCCAAGAACTCTTTCTAGAAGCAATGCAGATGGCCTTGATGGTGCTGGCCACACTTTCCCGGTGCGCTGATGGTGGCATGATGAGATGGGACATGCTTGGAAGCAGAGCAGGGAGGAACTGTGGTAGTGTTACTAATATTTGTCAGCAGAACTATATGAAAACTGTTTCTCTTCTCACTAGATTATAGAACTCAGTTATGCCCAAACCAGTTACTAACATAACCACCTGAGTACTCTGTCTGTCCTTTCATCCTGCAGGAAGGTGTCACTTCTTAGTCTCTGTCAATGTTCATGAGATACTGGTGTCTATTATTAGTTACAGGATGTGGACCTGCGATCCCCGGTACCACAGTCACAGACTTGGGGGTCATTTTCTAAGTGAAACTAACGGAACACGTTCTCTACGAACAAAGAAACTGTATTGTAGAAATCCATTCCTCCATGAATTTTATATATATTATGTGCAAATATAAGGTATGTATGTGACTACGAGTCAACCCCGGTCATCATGTAGATATCACCGTTCTCTGTTACTGCCCAGAAGTGATTCGCTCATGATGAAATAAAGTTCGCACACATACTTTCTCCATACTTTGGTTTGTTCTATTTGTTCTCCCTCATTTAAGTAGTGACACAAGATTTAGGAAGTGAGGGGAAATGTAGTGAATTGTCTTTTTCAAAAGAGACTCAATCAATCCATTACAATAGAGAAAGCCCATCTCGTTATATCCTGTTTGGTTTTCTAAAAGTCGCTGAGAAAATGCCATAATAGATACTTGAGAATTCTGTTGCACGTATAATTTATCCTGTTATTTCTACAGTTTCTGCAATTTTACCTTAGAGTTTGTTGCTGTTGTTTGTTTGTTTTGTTTGTCTGGTTTGGGGTGGAGGGGTGGTTTGTTCTAGCTTTTGCTGTGATAGTCGTTTACATTCTTAGCAAGAATCAACTTCTTTCCAAACTTCAGAACAAAGGTCTGTATCTCAGAAAGGTACATTTCATATGTGACAGCAAGTCCAAGTTAATGGCATATTTATATTATGTGGTTTAAATCATTTGTCACTAACACTGTCATAAAACCTTCTGCTGGCCTAGAGGTGACATTACACAGGGGGAATCAAATGTGTGCATTGTTATGAATTCTGATCATCCCCCCCCAAGTCAAATGTTTCTGTCTGTCTATCAGAGAGAGTTTGGTCAGTGCCCACGGCACTGTGTAGTGGATAGAAAGTGTGGAGGCTTATTCCTTTGCTGCGTGGAGCTTTGGGCTAATAAAGGGATGAACCTTAAAGAAATATACACATACCCCAGACAACATACAAATAAGATAATTGGTTCAAAAACAATACATGGTAATTCAAGTTAGTGGAAAAAGCAGTGTTACATGAGTTCAAATAAGGTTAGACCCTGAAAGCAGGTTTCTGACACATGAATGAGGACAGTCCCAGATCTAAACCAAACTTAATAAATGTAAGCAACCACTAATTTTAATGAAGTGGGTCTAACAGAGTAACCCAGCAGGGAAAGGCACTTGCCATCTAGCCTGAGTATCTCGAGCTCAGTCCTCAGGGCGCGCGTGCAGAAGGAGAAAACTGGCTCAGGAAAGGGTTCTCTGTCCACACAGGCATGTTGGCGCCTCCCCCCACACCATGCACAAGTAACTGGATAAGTAAATAGGCTAAAATTTCTGAAGAACGTTAATGAAATTTTAAAATAAGGCCCACAAACTTTGTTGTGTCTTTTTTTCTGTTTAATTAACTCATTGAAATGCTGTCCTGGCCACGCACTACCTATAAAAGAAAGGAGTGAAGCATTATGTAACAAGTCTTCTTAAGACACTGTTCTGAGGCTCATTCTGTGTGATGACTGCACCCCCACCCAAAATAATCAGGCAGGACTGAGAGCTGGTGAGGAGCTTCGGTTTATTTTCCCTGTCATTCCCCTCTGCCTACCAGAACAGACAGTGTCTTCTGTTTGTCATACTCTGGAGAGACTGAAGTGGGACACAGGTAACATTCCTGAGACCAGGAGCTGGCCGTATAAACAAAACCTTTCCTGGGACTCCACTCTGCTGAGCAGCTCAAGGCCTGGGAGCTTTTTAGTACTCATCTCTAGCAGTCTCCTGGGGGAGTGGGAACTGCCCCTTACTTGTCCCTTGGGGTTAAGTACAGGACTGAGACCTCTACACAAAACCTGCTGTTTAACTCCAGCCTCTGTATAGAAGGTTCATCTGGACAGGTTCTTGGGTGTAGAATTACTTCTGAGCGTTTTTGAGGCCCTTGACCTGTGCTTCCAAATTACTTTCCAGATAAGAGTATACCAGGAAAGCGTTGATCATTCCAGAGTAGTGTATTACCTTAATTCTACTACCCCAAGGTTTAACTTAAAATAATAGCTAGTTGCTTCTAAGAATAAAAATGTTTCTGAAAGAATTTGACCTTATTTCATACAGTTACAATCGTGATTGATTCATAAATGCCACATGAAATAAGTTACAACACATTAGGGGTAGGTGGGTAGTGATATCTTAGGAGGTGAGGGAGGACTTCCCAGAAAAGATGTAGAGGGAGAGAAATCTGAGCAGACAGAATTGTGATGTACCAGGCAAAAACTTCCGAAATCTACTTTGAACTGACACCAATAGTAAACTAGACCGTTTCAAAGCTCTAACTAGAAGAGAGCATCTCAGGGAGTCAGGAAAACTGTTTAGCCCCATGTTCCCAAAGATGGCACAAAGTACAGCCCGCTCCTACGTATTTGGGGCCTCTCCGCTGTTTTGCACACTCCCTGGCATCTTGCTTAGACAGCAGCACGTGGTGACACTCTTCCTGAAGCTGTCTCCCTGCAGTCCAGACTGCCGTCTTGAAATGATGAAGAAGAATGGCCTCTGGTTAGCAGGGCGAGAAAGAACACAATGTCCAGGCCCATTGATTTCTAGGTGCCCTGTTTCCGCCTAGGAATCATGAACTCATTGACTCATTGCTAAGATCCCAGCAGCACATTAGAGAAAAGACTGGGAGTCACATGGAATCCCAACACCTGGGAGGGAGAGTTAAGGGATAAGGATCTTCCTTGGCCACAGGGTGAGTTAAGTGAGCCTGTGCTACATGAAATCACACACACACACACACACACACACACACACACACATGTTTGTCCTATGTTTCACTATAAAGTCATACATTAAATTATTCACCCCCAAGGGAGTTAAACAGACTACTGTACTATACCTCTGTACCTGTAGCTAATGTCTAAACTCCCACCCTGCTTTGCTGAGGCGACCATACTCATGTACCTAATGTATTAGTCTTCTACTGCTACAATAAGTGGCCACAAAACTAATGGTGTAAAATGGCACACACATATCCCCTTAGACTTCTTGAGATCAGAATCTCAAGTGAGGTATCAGCAAGACCAGGTTCTTTGAGGACATTCTAGAAAAACATCTGTCTTCTTATCATTTCCAGCTTCTAGCAGCCACCTGCCTTTGCTGGCTTGAGGCCCTTTCTTCTATCTTAAGATCCGCCAGCATAGCGCCTTCCAGACTCTGCCTTCCTTACGTAAGGTCCCTCGTGCTTACTGTGGTCTGACGTGGGCAGCCCAAGATAGTCTCCATGTCTCAAGAACCTTAATGGATGGCTGCAAGTCCCTTTCCCTCTGGAAGGCAACCCATCCAGAGGTTTCTGGGGTTCAAATGTGGACATTTTTGGATGGACCACTAATACACCTACCTCTCCGTACAAGGACGCTGTTATCCTGTCCTGTGGGGAAAATAAGCTTCTGAGTCACGAAGTATCATTTCAAACCCAGTTCTTTCAGACATTGGGTGCAGCATACCATGGTGCTGATGATAGAGATGTGCCACTTGCTTTTACCTCCGGAGAGAGATTGGAAACTACCCTGAGCCTGCCCTGGTGTGTAAACACACCTTCCAAAGTGAGCCCGCTTGTAGAGTTGCCTTGTCTGCTCTACTAACCAGAAACAGAACACTGATGTTCCCAGAGTCACAGTAGACTTTTCGTCAAAAAAGAATATAGCCTCTTCGCTTTAAGAAGATGTGGAAGTGGCTTCCTGTCCATCCCATCTAAGTCCGGCAGACAGGTGTCTCTGTCCATCCTCTGCCCCCAACCCCAGGCCAGTAATTAACCTAAGGAGTCCTGTTCCCATGAGTGTTACTGTGGATGCTCTGGGCAGGAGGTGATAGTCACTGACTGTCGAGGAGAAAGAATGTCAGCGATCTATGAAATCCTCAGAGCTCCTACAGAGGGGCCTGGGGCTTGAAATCAACTTAGACCGAAACCATCACAGAAACTACTGATTGATAGAAGCTTCCTAGCCTTCCTTATCTCAGCTTGGAAAGTAGAGAGAAACAAATAGGGGATATGAGAGCGCCATGTTTTACATAAGGCTGTATGCACCATCCAACACTACCACCAGCTGTGGGCCCTGGGCACTGAAGAAAAGAACGTTAATCCTTAGAGCAATGCCCACAGTGGCCATCAACCCAGCATCTACCTGATCAGGGATTCAGCCTCACACTGTCCTTTCCATGGTAACAGCCTCCTCTCCCACACATCAAAGGAAACCATCCTGAAATATTGAGTAGCATAGGCAGAATCCACCTCCATCCGTCTGAACACCGAACTGCCTCAGGTACACACACCCAGAATCCTTTTGTAGCTATAATTTATAATAATCCAAGGTCAACCCTAGCATTTCTTTTTAAACTGTAGTGTACTGAGATTTCCCCCACCCCATAGAAGCTTTAACCTTGTGAGGAAGAGAACCCCTCAGGAAAACAGTGGCGAGGAAGACCACAGTCTCCTCCCAGGAGCTAGTGTTCATTTACCTTTCAGGTCTTAAGCACCACTAAGGTAAACAACCCCATTTAGATAAGCTTCCTCCTCAATGCAGTACAGGCTGGCACTAAATCATCCCCTTATCCTAGGTGGCCTCTTATGCCATTAGAAGACACTCCGTGGCCAATGGCATACACTTCGCCTTTTGTTATATTTCTAGGACAAAAACAAACAAAAACCTTTGTCACTCTCCAATTTTATCACTAGGAACTGATCCTTCCAGTCTGTCTCCAACCCCACCACAGCTGGGGATGTGTTCCTTGGCCTTTCTAGGCCTCAGTTCTCTCATATGTAAAGCCACAGAACTCTGAGTTCCTGCAGTTAGTGCTTCTGTGGTCCCGCCCCGTAGTATGGCTGTGAAGCAGTGTTACTCTATATTGAATGCAGGTCAGATGCCAGGTGTCACCTGCTTCCTCCAAGATCTTGGTGGGTCTAAAAGTTATGTCTATAATACTGAATATTCAGCACTAAGGTGGTTTCTTTTGCCTCACTCCAAATATCTGGATCTCTCCACAAACTCACTTAATTAGAACATCCATTCCCAGAAAAAAACCATCAAGGTAGATAAATTGTACTTGACCAATTCAGGTAAATTTTACCATGTACAGAGAGACAGAGACAATGATAAATATCAGAACACAGAAGAAACAAGTATTTTGTCCTTTTCATTTTGACAACATGGAGCATTCCAAGAAATTTCCTAAAATTGTTCCTAACCCTGAATTAGGTCTACCCACAACCCTCTCTGGAGGTGTAGAAAATGTGCTGTTCGGTCCTGTGGAAGTGTGTGTCTAATTAAAGTGCAAGGATTCTCAGGCCTCCCGATGAGGGTTGTTGCTCATAAATAATGCCATGGTGTTCTAAACTGGAGTGGAGGATTGATCAGGGAAGTATGCATCCAACCTCGGGGTGCCAAGAGCTGGTTCATCCTTAAAAGGAGGTTTTCAAAACAGATTTGTTTCTTATTACTCAACAGCAATTACTGCCACTCTGAAGAAAGCTTAAGATGCCACCTTTTGTTATAAATTATACACCAGTTGGACATAATTGTGACTTCAGCTGCTTGTTTGATTATTTGAAAAAAATAGCCTACTTTCTCATGCACTTCCTCGTCCCCTTTGAAAGTCCTACCAATAAGAGCAGATTATTTCACAGCTGGCTTAACACACACACACACACACACACACACACACACACACACACACACACACTGTGAGTATGTTCTCTACCTTCAGCCATAGGAAGACTCTTCTACTGGTCTTTCCCACGGCACGGCTCTTGGTAAAGTTCAACCAGGCAGGACCAGAGATGTGATGCATGCAATGACATAATGGCAATGTCTTAAGACACCCCTTGCCTTTTCTCCCATGATTGCCAGATAAAGGTAATGATCGTCCACACAAGCATTAGCTCGCTAGCCTGTGTTCAGGAAAACAAAACTAAAAACCTCATTCTTTGTCTTGACAAGAGAACATTTACAGCCAAGGAGCTATTGAGATTAAGAGTTGTGCTTGAATGAGAAGGTGAGGAGGTAGGATACGCTTTCTTCCTGTATCCCACAGTATAACACCGGATACACACTGACTGTACTTATGTTCAATGTGAGCTAAGCATGCTTTGGCTAAATGAGGAAGTGATAATAGTGTTTACAATCTTGCCATAATATACTTCGAACTTGTCCAGAGGAGCATGACCAGAAAGAAAATCCATATGTTAAAACGTGGTTACAGATATCTTCTTAGCTCAGAAACAGAAAGGTCTAAGGAGGATTGACGACTGGTGTCCAGTGCTTGCAGGACAAGTCATCTGTCCAGTTTGGCCCTAAATAGTACCTGGTGTGTGGAACCCCGAAAGGAGCATATCCAAGCCATACAATCAATATCTCCAAACACAAGGTGCTGGATGGAGATCTATCCTCCAGGGGACGTCATGGGAAACGCGGTGGTTCCTCCGCAGCTGTTTCTAAGTGGCCTAAGTACCTTGTAGACAACTGACCAAACAATCCCCATGGGAGAGGCATGAGGGAGGATCGCCTGTTAGTCTGACTGGAACTGGGTGGAAATGATCTTTTCTCTCCCCTCTAATTTGTTTGGAAAGGTCTCATAGCAAGGTAGGTTTGATTTTGTGTGGTTTGTTTTACTTCATTTTGCTTGGAAAAATGCAGGAAGGTCCCACCTGGTTGGGCATGAAAGATCTCAAATCAAAGACAAAGAATGAATAGTTGTTGAACCTCTCTCCTTGGGTAGAGGACAAGTTCGAGAGTAAGAAGAGTTAAGGAAAATGTGGCTTATTGATAGGCAATCAGTCGATCCACATTAAAGAGTAGAAAAAACATGTCTTATTGCCGCTATTGATCCCAGGACTAGCCATGGCTGCGCTCAGCACCCCAGCCTCAAAGCGGCACTGAGGATAAGAAGGGTGAGTGTCCTCACGATGGGTAGAGTACACATCTCTCCATGGGTGTTCAGATCACTGCTTGGAGATCCAATATGCTCCAAACATCATCTTACCTTAATTTTCAAAGCCAAAAGTATCTGCAGTATAATGGATTAATTGTCACATCTGTTGAAGAATACACTTTCAAGCAAACTCTTGTGAATTAAATGTATACTGTCACAAATACAGTGGCAAATGTCTTCTCCAACTAGAAAGAGCCCCTGTCTCCTAGCAGCTCTGTGTGGTCACATTTCCAATCTTTTCATGAAACTAAGCTGTTAGTTTCCCGTTAAGTTGATTGTGACATAAATAGGGTGGAGGCCAGGGAGAGAGCTCAGCAGCTATAGGCACCTGCTACCAACTCTGACAACCTGAGTTCAGTTCCCTAGGGACCCACAAGATAGAAGTAGACAACTAGCTCCTGCAGGTTGTGGTTCTTGGCACGAGCTCACACACACACACACACACACACACACACACACACACACACACACACACACACACACACACACGGAGCACACACACTTTTCTTGAACCTGCATGCGCAGTCTGGCATTTTGATCAGAAAAGGCTGTGTATAAAGACAACAATTCCAGTAACACCCACTGGGTCACCAAAATAAAATTCCCTTTTGAATGAGGCCCTGTTTCCTTGGGTGTGTGGACTCTGGGTGCCTGGCACGTCATCTGTACTGAGCGCACCAGGGCTCCAGCTGGTGCCCGAGACCTCCCTTTAGTACAATAATGGCCCTAGTGCCAGGCCTTTCTGAGAAGCAGCAGACCCTTCCCACCTGTGTATCTTACCCTGCCCACACTCTGCTCATTATCAGAAAACTCAGGAGAGTTCAGTGGGGTCCACAGAACAGGAGAGTAATTCAGAAACAAGAGAGGTCTCATTCCCCAGGTGCCTGGCCTGTCTTCCTATGGTAATCTGTATTGCTTCCTCCATTCAAAGATCAGCTCTTGTGTGCTCTCGGATTAAAAAAATTCTGGGAATTGGAGAAAAGCTTTAGTAAAGGAAAAATACTCCAGTTTCTAAAAGTTATCATCTCCTAATAGGAACTCTTTAAGAAACCATTGTTAAATGCATAGCAACTTGGGGAATAGCTGAAGCAAAAACAAAAGACCCCAAAAGGTGTTGATTTCCTCATCAATGGGTAAAAGGTTCCTGTAAGTCTCAATATTTTTCACTTAACAGGAAGGAAAACCCTCCTTCATGCTTTTCTATTGCTAAAAGTTAGAGGAATATATAATAGCTGGGGGGGGGGGCTGGAACCTGGCACAGAAGCCAGCAGATGTCTGATCTCCCTTGCATTGATCTTACATTTAGACACAGATTCAGAGGAGCAGACCCTCCCTTTTCCAGTGCCTTCGGAAAGATTGCCGCTCCGTAGAATGAGTCCTTTCTCCTCCACCCTTAATCTGCAACCCAGCTTCCCCGGGAGATCCTACTTTGATTTCCGTTCCTCACCCCACCAGCTGAGCTTGCATTCTTCTTTACAGTCTCTCAATGCACCGGGTGAGCCGAGCTCTCAGATCGTTCCCTTCATCTCTGTGTCTTGGAGGCATCTCTGAAACACTTTTGTTGTTCATGCCATCCGTGTGCGTGGTGAGGGGGGTTGACCTGCGTCTGTGTCTGTGGCTTCCAGTGTGGCTGAGGGAGCTTCCTGGCATTCTTGTTTGTATGGTGGAACCACCCACCCTAGAGCTGTGGTCCGTGTGTGATGGCACTGGAACGGGATGGGCAAAGCTGTTCTTTTTTGCACCGGCTGGTACCACCATGGAAAACCCGCTCTTCATCTCATGCAGCGCCACAGCACAGCACAGACACTGGCTGAGTAGAGGCCGTGGCGGTAGTGTGGAGGTTTGCAACCTTCTGTATCCAGGAAACCAGCTGTGTCTGGGAGACTGGATCAGCGCATCCAGCCTGGAGTGGTCTGATTAAACATAGACTCAAGAGATCTTTACTGACGGAAGGAAAACTAAAGCCCCCCCCCCAAAAATGCCAATAGCAGAACGCATCCTACAAAGCAGGAAAAGAAGCACAGGGCAGAAAATAAAAGCCTTTTCTGCAAAGGCCCGCAGTGCATGTACTAGTAGGGCTGCAGGCTCACAACAGATAACTTTCTCTAGCAAAGGGCGGGGACCACCGTTAGCTGAATTAGCAACCCTTCAGTCATGACACACAGGGCCAAAGGCCTTATGATCAAAATATGAGGCCTCAGGACGATGCTCACAGCCAAAACGTAACAGGGCTTATGGCTGGTTCCAGGGAGGCTCTGCTCGGGTTACTTTACAGTGAGCTCTGTCTAGCAAATAGAATCTTCAAATTCTTAAAACGCAGACCTATTTGATCTCTTCGGGACTATATTGTAATCACAGATACACATGGCGCACATCCCACGTTCCCAAGGGTTTCTTTTGGGTTTTAATTTCTTCCTTTGGCTCATCCCACATCCTGGAATGAAGAAGGCCACAGCATGACAGTGCAAAAAGGATGCGGGGACTTGGAGCTCCCTTGAAAAGTGACATTTTTCTTGTGTTTTTTACGTTTCTTCTTGTTTTTCTGTGCACTACCAGCTTTGCCACATGCTTTGTTATGGAGCCCGTTGCTTGTCTCTAATGTACCAAAATACTGTTACAGTCTCTGTAATGTATATCGTTTCGAGAATAAAATGAAATGGAATGTGGGGTGCGGATGCTTGTCAGGTGTATTTAATAGACTTGTTCTAGTTGTATCGTTGAATCATAAATGTATGATGTTGTCTTTGAATTAGTAGAAAAAGAGCTCAGAATATTTGTTTTTGGAAAGACTCCACAAGGCATGATTCATTTAAAAATTTTGAAAGCCCTATTTAGATTCCACTAATTTATTTCCAAACCTGGATATGAAATTCGGCTTTAAAGTTCTTTATATTCCATACCTAACTGTGCTCTGACTCAGTATGAGGAATCAGACAGTTGGCAAAAATTAAAAATAAAAAAATCAACTATGAGCTGGAACAAAATGAATGTATCCCAGAATAAAGTCAGCTAAGCAAGAGAAGGTAACAATATCTAAATTGTTAACTCGGTGCTCTTTTATAGTAAGTCACCTAATTAATTCTTGCAAAACTCTTTCAAGTCAGCACCTTATCCTTCCAATTGTTTTAGAAACCAGCTTACTAGGACAATGCTAAATTGGAAAAATTTGCATGGCTCTTTCCACCAAGACTCACATTTCCTAGACTAGTCCTCAACATCACTGGAAATTGTAGGTCACACATCTGTGGACATTTTAAGTCCGAATCACTTTCCTCCTCCTTGATATGGGTCTCATCAGCATGGCAACCAGACCTTAGGGAAGATGAGAGTAGAAGTCCCACGAGTGATTTCTATATAGATCTGAGCCCGTGTCCTGCCCTGCATCAGCCTTCCTCCTCTCTCTCAGGTGAGAGGAACTGCCGTGGCAAAGCAAGATAAGACGAAAATAAATAATCTTTGTACAACATCCAATTCCTGCCACTTTTAATTATAAGGAATTATCAGGTGCATTAAATTCCACCCTTCCTTATATGTGAACTGTTTGCTCATCACAGCAAACAAAGGCTTTCTGCCATAAACTAGTAGAGAGTCAGTAAACTATTGCCACAGAGCAGGCTTATCACTACCCAGTGATTTTTTTTCCACTTCTATTGGGCAAGTTTTTCTCATCTTTAAAACAGCCGACCTCCTCAGTTTGCAAATGTTAGTTTACAAAACTAAACTAGGAAGATAATGAAATTTTAAGCTGCAGCATTTACAATCAATTGGCAAAGCTTTTGCTGAGATGTAAAAAGATGAACTTTTTGTTTAGAAAGAACACAAAAGCAATTTATACCCAGAAAAGAAAAGAAACACAAAAAGGGCTTTGGTTTTTGGTTTTTGTCTTTTTTCATGAATCAGGCCTCTGGGGACTATAGTCAGTTGTGCTTTTCTAAATGAATGCAAATAGTTTTTATCAACCTGGTTGTCATTTCATAGCCTTGATGTGTAGTATCTTTTTATAGGATGCAATTTTGAGACACAATCTGCATCTTACTCTCAATTAGGCAAGTATACCTACTGTAATCGTTACCTTTGCCTGTGTGACTGCTATGCTCAATTCCTTTGCAAAATAAATGGTGGCAGCTTTGTCATGTCAATAAAATTTTCCAAATGTCATTTGAACTCCATTATAACAGTTTCTCAATTTCTTAGAAAAATGCCTGTCTTTTTTTTTTTTAACATTATGCCCTTCACCGCCCCCCCCCCCCCCTTCTGCATCAGTGCAAAATACTCTTCACGAGCACTAAATGTCAGTCAAGGCACCAGTCAGCCGGCTGTTGTGTATGTAATGTTCTCAGTGGAGCCCTTGTTGGTATTAGTCTATCAAAAGAAACATGCTTTCTTGTCAATGTCAATTTTGCTTCCTATTTCTCTCCCCCATGCCTTTCACTGGAATGACAACAGTTGACATAAAAAAGCTGTTGGCAGGTATGGAATGACATTATTCTTTTACAAATAGCAGAGACGGTGCATGTGAAGGGGCTACAGGCTCAGTACATCAGTACTCTCACCTCTGCTGACCACTCTTTGTAGGCAATATGCAGAGACTGGGGCACAACTGTGTATCCAAAAACCTCATTCTGGGCTGCAGAGATGGCTCAGAGGTTAAGAGCACTGGCTGCTCTTCCAGAGGTCCTGAGTTCAATTCCCAGCAACCACATGGTGGCTCACAACCATCTGTAATGAGGTCAGGTGCCCTCTTCTGGCATGCAGGCATACATGGAGGCAGAACACAGTGTATGAAATTTAAAAATTAATCAACTAATTAAAAAAACTCATCCTATCTCCACCTAATGTCCAAACTGCTTCTGCAATGTGTATTACATGCCAGCTTTAGAAGTGACATTTATCTACAAATTATAAAGGAAGCAATCCGTCCTACACACAAGTCACAGTTGTACATGAAAATGAGTTTATGTTGCTTTGCAGCTTCAGGGCTCGAGTGAGCAGGTATGAAAGAGCCTAGGAAGTTTTCCGACACTTCCGCCTACACGTACTTCCTGATTTCGCTCAGTGTGTCTTATCCTTCCTCCATCCAGGATTATAGACCTAGCCTCCCTGCCTCAGGCTTACACAGGCATTCTAACACACCCCTCACCCTTTATGTCTCTGGTGCACTATTCTGCCAGTCACCAGGTGAAGGGACTTGATGCCACTTCACTCCTGGATCAACTGGTTGGGAGTGCACTCTAAGCCAGGTAACCCCTGCTGAATGGGTCATGTGTCCTCTGTCCACTCCTGGTGCAGAGTGTCAACTCCCAGGATGTGCCCCGTCTGTTCACGTATGGTGACTTTGGCCCCAAACACCTCCTTCCTGCATGGCAGCATGAAAACGTGACACTTCGTGCCACACTGCCCAAAAGCCTGCTACAACCCCTGAGGCCATCCTAATAACTCACTTCCCTTCTGTTGTTTTCAGTGGCGTGGTTTGCTTTTGACCCTGGCTCGGCACACTCGGACATCATCTTCTCCAATGACAACCTGACGGTGACCTGCAGTAGCTACGATGACCGGGTGGTGCTGGGGAAAACTGGCTTCTCCAAGGGCGTCCACTACTGGGAGCTAACCATAGATCGCTACGACAACCACCCGGATCCAGCCTTTGGCGTGGCTCGCATCGACGTCATGAAGGACGTGATGTTAGGAAAGGACGACAAAGCTTGGGCAATGTATGTGGACAATAACCGGAGCTGGTTCATGCACAACAACTCGCACACCAACAGGTACCCTGCAGCCCCACACCAAGCCTTCTTCATGGTGGCTTGGGGTCAAGAGGGAGAGCCCTAGCTCGACAGCCTGTGACACAGACAGCCTTAGGAAGCAGGGCGTGCGGTCTTCACCTCTTAGCTTGGCCCACTCTGCTGCTTTCCACATTGCACAGAGGAAGAGTTGTGTGCCTTCTCCTTGGCCCTTTATAGTTAAATTCTACCCAGGGCTACAAAAGACAACCCCCAGGTGTATCCATTACAGACAAACAACCCAGGATCTAAAACCCAGACCTAGAACTTTCCAGGAAAGTGTTTCGGGCCAAGGTACTTCATTTTTTCCTGAATCCTGGTTTGTCAGTCCTCCAAATTCATATAATAATGTTTCCGTGCAGGAGTGGTCTGAAGAGCACATGAGATGAGATTTGCAGAAATGCCTTATGTTGGAAGTACCTGGGAATGGAAGCCATTGTTCTTTTGTCATTGTCACCAGTACTGTCTCTCAGAACAGAAGCCATTAACTAAACTTGGTGTTAGGGATGCCCGTGTGGACAGCTTTAAACTTGAACAACTCACTTGATACTGTATGAATCACCACACCCGGGTTGCTGAAGAAAGAGGATATAGTATCTCCTTGAGAGATGTCCTCCACCACCGAAGTATAGACAGTTTTAACTTATTACATCATTTCCTTTCCCATTTGTTTGTGTTCTCTTCAGAAGTATTTCTTCTCCTATTTTCTGGGCCAGGGGTGTCTTTTCATGGACACTGGTCTGTCTTATTCTCGGGCATTCCCCCAGGATACATTCTCTTTGGCATCTCTGAAAAAAATACCCATCGTGTTCAGTGAGATCATAGGAAAAGTAGACCCGGCAGGGGCAGAATAATAACTGTGCTATTTCGGCTTCTCCTGCAGTTTGCCACTGACCCTTTGACATCCAGTCGACTCCTAGAGCTTCCTGGCCCTCGGACACACTCTGTCCAGCTTCATTCATGTATATCTTTGCTAGTTACCCCTTGAAGTGAGCACGCAAAGAGTTTATATCTTGATATCAAATCTGACAGGGTACAGACAGCAGCTACCTTCAGTGATTCACATTTAGGGGAACTCTGTCACTAGATTCCTGATGCCATCACCCATGCACTTGTGTTTAGCCTCTTGATTTTGGAGTGACGGCCTAAATAAGAGCAGTACCATCACACGATGCAGAAAAGCACATTCCAGAAGCTGAACACATCTGCTTGCATGCAAGCTGCATGTCCCTTGTGCTGTCGCTGACGAATTTGTCAATGGCGAGATGTAGTCTGTTAGCCTGTCTGTGGCAGTGTCCAGTCTGTCTTCTGCATGCAGGAGAAATGAGTGAAGCTGACACATTTCTGTGCCCTGCTGAGATGAAGTGCAGTTTTGCTAGGTCTCCAACTCAGGAGGGAAGAGAGGTGTGACTAAGCCTATCTAAATGTCCTTCTGTGAAATCATCAGTGCAGCAGAAGGCATAGTTCTTTGTAAGATGCCAGTTGTAGTTGGGTCTCTGGAAATCATTGCATTCCCTGTAGTATAACTATGTCTCAGGGAAGCAGCTCCTTCAATGCTGTCATTTTTACTCTAATGCCTTCTTTCTCATTCAACATGCCAAAAGATCTGAGTCTTTCCAGAGCATGTTTCACCACCTAACGGGAAACAGAAGGCTCTGAGTCTGGTAGCCCATGCTTACGTTCCGGGTTCCAACTAAAGAAACGCTCCTTTATTTTGACTTTCAGATTATGTCATTCTGTACTGAATGCTGCTGCATTCACACTGTTTATGCAAAGTCTGCAATTCAGCTGAGGTGCCGGAGTAGCTGAAAGGCTACCTTGGCCCAGGCTTCTGTAGTCAGTTTTCTCCTGCTACAGCTCAGTAGTAGAGATTCCACGTGGACCAGTTCACTCTCAGCAAGGCACAGTAAACAAGGGACTGTGAGGGGTGGCTGTCTCCACAGGGAAGTGGGAATTTGGGGGGGGGCGCAAAAAAATCTAAATCATATTTTCATATGTAAAGCAAGGATACACCAAATATAAATAGTATATAGTGTATCTAAGGCTTTAAAGTTTTATGTTCAAAGGATTTCTTAGAGCAAAAAAAGAAAGAAAATGGGCAAAAAAGCTGAGCTGGGGGCAAAATGTAAACAGGTTACAAAATTCTGGTTTGGCTAGGCCTGGTGGGACTATAGTCCCCTCTGCCTGGGAAGTTGCAACAGGAGGATTTCAAGTTTCAGGCTTGCCTGGGCTGTGGTGGAAGTTCAAGGCCAGCCTGGACAATTTGATAAGACCCTGTCTCAAAATAAAAAGGTAAAAGAGAACTGGGGATAAACTGGCAGACCCCTAGGGTCGAACCCCAGTACCAAATATCAAAAGCAAAAGTAAAGAATGGTTAGAACCAAAAGGGGGAGATTTAATAACGGCAACAAGCTGGTGAGACTCCATTTTTCTTCCTTTTCCCACAGAACCGAAGGGGGGATCACAAAGGGGGCCACCATCGGAGTCCTCCTCGACTTAAACAGGAAAACGTTAACGTTTTTCATCAACAATGAGCAGCAAGGTCCCATCGCATTTGAGAACGTGGAGGGCCTGTTCTTTCCTGCAGTCAGCCTGAACAGAAATGTGCAGGTGAGTGCCAGGGCCCCGGGACTAAGGGAGCTTCCTCAGGTCGCTGCTTCAAAGTGTGCCCGGGGCAGTAAAATCCTCACAACCCCCAGAGGGAAGCTGAGCCAAGACGCAGACTGCACACCAGCAGACCCTTGTCAAGGCCTTGTCATGCCCTGGTCACCACCCACAGGAAACACAGGCCTTCTCTACCCTGCTCTACATGATCTGCTCTAGTTTCATCTCTAAATAGAGGTGAATGTCTTTGACAGACTGGCACAAAAGCCAGTGAGATGACTCCTAGGGAGCACCAGGAATGGCCAAGAAAAGCAAACATTCGACCCTTATCAGAAGGCGGGAGAGGGTTGAGTTCCCTTCACTCTGCCTTGCACTGTTGGCTGGGAAGCATAGTTACTTTCAGTTTCCTATAGATACAGAACAACAGGTTCTTCTCACTCCTTTACACAACAGATATCTACAGGGCCCCTTTGACATGCCGGCTCTGTTGTAAATATTTGATAGCCACCAGTGGAAGAGAAAATAAACAGATACAAATCTTACCCTCCCTAAGCTTTTATTCCAGTTACCTCTATTAAGCAAGGTGGCCAGTGGGCTGGCCTTATTGCGGTCGCTGCTGATCCTGAATCCTGAAGGAGGAAGGTAGTAGGCTGGGTAGTTTCCCAGAGAGAAGGATAGCCCAAACTTATAAGTTTCTAAGGCACGAGGGGCTTTGATTGGGCAGAGAACAGCAAAGGGGCTGGTGGGCTGGGGCGGGGAACAGTAGAGGGGTTGCAGAGCTTGCAAGGAGTGTGGGTGGTGCCTTCCAACCACTGCCAGAATCCAGGGCGTTACAGCCCCCCTGAGTTGGTCCTTGCATTACCCGACATACCCCCCACTAGCCTTAAAATAGGACTTGAAAATCAAAATCCTGCAGGTGATCCATGCCCCCATTACAGCCACAGCCTTGAAACCCTTTTATATCAATTACAGTCTATGAGCACGTGAGGTAAAACTGCTTACAACCCAGCAACCCCTGCTTCCTGCTTTCTGCAAGTAGGTGAGACTGTCTGAGGGGCTGGAATCTAACTCTTCAGAGGCCAGCCTGACTTCAGAAGACAGAAAGTATAAACTGCTGTAGAAGTGAATCTAAGAGAAAACTCATTTGAAATATTGTACTTTTCCAGCCATTTCCCTTCCAAAGACTACCACACTAGTCATGCTTCAGGCTTTCAAGGATGTTAGAGCATCTTTAGACAAAGACTCTTGACAGGGATGGTATAGACAAGAAGGGAAAAGTGGCCATTTTTATGAAATACTTCTAGTCTTTTCCCATACTAGTCTTTTCCCATAGTTATTCACCATAATTTGAGGTTGCCTAGAATTGGCACAACATAAGTGCCGGTGTTTCTTCCTACGAAAGATTCAACCCCAGAAAGATTTGTCCATAGCTGGAACTCATGAACAAGCTAATATGTTCTTTGTCCATAGACTTGGGCAGTGGTCACTTCGTGTAGACCAAAGGTTTCACTACCCGCAGACAAGTGCCTTGTCTTCAGCCCAAAGAAATGCAGTCTCCCAGAGTGCTTTAAAAGAAGTAGGTATTGTGTCTCCTGGGTTTGGAGGCCCACCATGGTCGCCAGACTCTTACTGCAACTGGGATCCTGCTAGAAGTCCCTTTAGTGTCTTTAGGACAGATGTTCAAAAGAAGTGAATGGGCCCTTATCCAACTGGGGGCACACACCGCGCTGAGACTAGATGATGCAAGCACAGCGTCCGTCCGGCGTAGCTTACAGTCTCATTCCCCAGGTCACGCTCCACACTGGGCTTCCGGTCCCTGACTTCTACTCCAGCAGAGCTTCCATAGCCTAAGGGTATGCTGCGGAGGCACTAGCTGTCCGAGAGGGACAGCGTGGAGCCACCAGCCTCGGCAGACGCACAGTTGGTAGAAGACTGAGGAGAGGAGCTGGTCCTCCGCCATCTTCGCCCTACAGCGCCTCCCTTTCCCATCAGCCTGTCCGCATCACTTCACCTGCGCTCCTTCCTCATCCAGACGTCCTAACCCACAGAGGACCTCAGCTGCCCACCATTCCCCTTTGTTTCACATGTTGCTTTTCTTTAATTTAATTTAGGGTTTTGGTTTTGTTTTGTTTGTAGACTGAGTTCATTTTGTTTTGTTTTGTTTCTGATCATGTTTTGCTGACTTACCTAACTGGCACTGCCAAGAGAAAATTCTCCTAGAAAAAAATTTTAAGCTTTAGGTCTCACAAAGATGTTGTAGGAGAGAAGATAGGAAAGAGGTCGAATTTAGAATGTTCTTGCCCTGTTTCTTGTCAGGCAACGTCAGCTCTTCATGGCTCCTTCTCGGGAGGTAGACAGAAGTCACACTCTACCCAGAAGCACAAATATATCAGCTAAACGAGTTCACAGCAGGGTGAGGACTTTCAGGAGGCTCTAGACATTGGGCAGGCCAGGGGACTCGATGATCTGATTCATCTTAGCTAATACAAGATTTTAATTAAGAAGGCTATGGACAAGGCACTGTTCGAGACACTAGAATTCTGTGTTCCAGACACTGGGGAAGGATAAGGGAAAAGGTGACAACGCCACCTTCCTGGAACTTATATTCTAGAGGGGAACTTAGCAAACAATAACTTCAAGTTGTTCTAAGTACAAAAAGGAAACAGTCAAGAGTCCAAGAAGGTGTCATTGACAAATCCTTAGCTTGATGCTGAGCCCATGCACTCCAGGCTATCACACAGACATGTACCAACCCAATGCTTCTTCTACCACACTCTTTTAAGTATGGTCCTTGCTGCCACTCATCACAGAGCCCTTCTTTGGCAGAAATGATATCAGCATTGTTACTCATTAATGCTGCAGTCATAACAAGCCTTAAAAAAAGAATGTTAAAAACAAAATGACCAGAGAGCACAGGGCCCAGTCACGGCACTGGGGCTCCTAAGTTGCAGACCACAACATGTACATTCTCAGGACAAACACACTGTCTCGATGTATACTCTCTGTGCCTGTCACAAATGAGAATCCATCCACTCACAGCCTGACTTTCTAAGGAAACTCAAATCAGGTTTGGAAAAGCGTGAGCGTGGCTGTCGTTCCTGGGACTGAGTGCAGAATAGTCATGCTACTATCCATGTTACTGCTCCTAGCAGGGTAGACATGTACCCTTCAGATGCTTTCGTTTGACACGAAGTTACAGAGAACATAGGACCTGGAAAACAAATGTCTGAGGAGTTGCCTACATATTTTCCACTGAGCCAAGAAACCCACTAGAACAAGGGTAGGACGACAGAGGAGGGATGGGAGAGCTGACATTGCTTTGGCAAAAAGTAATCTATGTAAATAGCTCATTCTTTACTCTTGTGCTTCTAGACCATCTGTCGTTACAATGTTTTTCTAGTTAGAACCTAATTTATTGAATGGGTGCTATCCTGTCTGTGTCTGTCTCGGGTTCTCGTGGCTCCAGGACACTGTTGCAGGACAACACTAGTTTGATCTTTGATTTATGCTCTAATGAGACTCGATGGCTGGGCCGCTAGTTACTATCTTTATTAAATCCACCCCGCTGGTTAGAGTTCTAGTGACTTGTAACAAATAGTTTACACTAACTACAATATAGATGCATACAGCTACTGTACTAGAAAAATAAAAATAAAAAAACTGTCGTTCCTGGTATGCAAATAAAGGGTTTTTATGAGAGAAAACTGTCTCCAGAGAAGTTCTTTCTGAGTTTGCACATGTTTTGCAACGCTTTGGCACATGCCTCCACACACTGAGATTTTACTTTAATAAGCTGCTTCTCAAGTGGCCACAAACTGTGCTGCAGAATATCAGTGTTCCCCACTCCTGTAATGTTTTAAGATAGCTAAATAACACGACTGTTTTCATGTAATGGAAACACTACTGGTCAGCTTTCATTTCTATTCCGCCCTTTTCAGTGGACCATCTTTGCTTCTTATTAAAAGGGAAGCAGGGAACTGGAGTGATTTCTCAGGCAGTAAAGCACTGGCTGGACCTGAGTTCAGCTTCTAGAAGCCAAGTGACTCCTCTGTAATCCCTGCACAGGGGAGATGGAGACAGGAGGTGCCCTGGGGCTTGCTGGCCACCTGGTTTAGCTGGTTTGCAAGTTCTAAGACAATAAAAGACCCCGAACTCTAATTAATTAATTAATTAAAGCAGGTGGTTAGCACCTAAGAAAAAATTCCTGAAAGTGTTCTCTGGCCTCCACACTGGTGTGTACACATGTACATATGCACCTGAACACACATGTGTACACACACACACACACACACACACACACACAGATTATGTAATATTATGTAAAAGTCACTGATCTGAGCTGCAATGTCTCAGGGTAGCATGAGACACACTGCCACCAGCTGCCCTCTGGTTGGTTTCTGTCTGGTCTTTTTCTTGCTTCCTAATGGGGCACTTTTATTTGTCCCCTCCATTCCTGCCAGGCTTTCTTCTCCTCGCTACTTAATGAAGCCCATTAGCTACTTTTTATTCTTGTCTGGTGCTAAGGTTAATGACTTTCTGTTCCTGGTGTTTTCTCCCAGGAATGATGACATGACTTACCAGCAGTCACCCTATTTTCTGGAAATGGTGTCCTTTCACCCATATACTTAACTTGAAGAAGTAGAGGGGCTTGCTATTGTATCCAGAGTTCTGATTAGAATATACAGGACTAGCCGGGCGGTGGGCTTTAATCCCAGCACTCGGGAGGCAGAGTCAGGTGGATCTCTGTGAGTTCGAGGCCGGGCTGGGCCAACAGCCTCCAAAACAATACAGAGAAAAAAAAAAAAAGAATATACAGGACTATGGTAATTAAACAAATAAGTTCTCAGATCACACCACCTTACAATCTTTATGGACACACTAGAGATCACTGTGTGCATTGCAGCTACTTCTACCAAGTCACAAATCTTTCAATGTATTGTCCTTAACTGAGACCACCTAGATTTTTCATGTCTCTGAAGAACCAGAGACAAACATAGAATTTGGGATGCTGGGTGTGAATGAACAATAGGACCACCCAACAAAGCAACAGTCCAGCTCTTTTATTCAAGACCTCTCCACCCTGCCAGTGCTAAGTACAATCAAGGCTACTTGAACAGAAGGACTGTAATACGTTGAGACTGTGGGACTGGCGATCTGTGGCAGCTACGAGGTGACGAATGGGCGTTTGGAGCAGGTAAAATACTGAGAGGGATATCCTGAACAAAGGAATGACTCATGGGGAGGATGGGTCACTATGGCCCAGGATTTTAGCACACTATTCAGAGGACATTTATTTCATTCTCTTGATTTTTTAAGATAGAGTTTCACTATGTAGCCCTTGGTGGCCTGAAACTCACTCTGTAGACCAGGCTGACTTTGAACTCACAAAGGTCTTCTCGCCTCTGCTTCTAGAGTGTTGGATTTACAGACATGTACAACCATGCCTGGACCAGACAATCTTAAACTTAGAAATTGTTTGTTTCCGGGAGCTTCTATTTGATATTTTCAGACTGTGGTTGGTCTTGAGCGACTAAAGCCATAGATGACAAAACTGTGAATGACAAGCAGGGGGTGGACTTGTTTGCACAGCGAATGAGACACACAGGGAGGAGAAGCATCAGGAATGCTCTGAGTGGTAAGATGAAAGACATGTCAAACATAAGAATGAATTCTTAAGTAGCCTCCACTCTCTGCCCCTCGGATGACTTAAGAGCAGGGAAGCCCACTGGCAGAATGCAGCAGCCCAGAACCCAATGAGTGTCTGGGTTCTGGATCATACTATGTGGGCTGTGTGTGCCTGAGCACTTACCCCAGCATCCGCATCCCTCAAGTGGAGGTGAGCACACAATTGTTCTGAGGGTTTAATCAAATGATGTTATCTACAACAGTCAAGAGAGTGCCGGGCTATTCTGTAGCAAACTGAAACATCCTAGAGGAGGAGGATGTTCATGAGATTCAAGTAAACAAAGCTGGTAAGCCTAAGAATGGCGAGACAAAGATTCCCAAAGCCAGTCTGAAACTATCCATGACTATATAGACAGTAAGCAGTTGCTGGGGAGTGAAAACTCTCACTGGCCAGGTTTCTTGCAACTCTGAAGTCTGCCTGGTGCTCCTGGGATGCAATTTTCCTGAGTCAGCACTCACTCTTGGCTTTTCAGTGATTCATCCCTGCTCCTATAAGAAACCCCAATCAACTCACTGCATCACTAGACTAGACTTGTTGGAATTGTTTCTTTGGTGCCTTATATGGGATGGATAGATGTATGCTTCAAAGCTCTTAATGACTAGCCAGATCTCAATTGGGTGTCAATAGTGACTCTTACCTTCACATTCTGACAAAACACGGACCCAATGGAGTTTTTACAACAGTCATCAGAAGAGTATAATGAACCCAACTATATAAAAGCATTAATTGGAATTTTCATGTATTTTGAACAAGGAACCACAAAGAAGGAGATAAAAATTATTTCAAATGGTGAAAAATATTATACAGAAATTGCCCAGCTAGGATGGGGGAGATGGCTCAACAGATAGGGTCTTGCCACCAAGCCTGATGTCCCTAGGACCCACCAGTGGAGGGAGAGAGCCAGTTCCCACTAATTGTTCTCTGACGTCAATACTGGTACCATAATGTGCTCACTTACATGTGTGCACTCTTTAAATACATAAACAGTTAAGGGTTAAAAATTTTAGAACCTGGTTAGTTAGAAAGCAAAACCATATTCTTCATTCTTTACCATAGAACATTCAAGATAATAGCATGTCAAATATAAAATATTGAAAACTTTACTCAGGTGGTAGTGATGCACGCCTTTAGTCCCAGTACTTGAGAGGCAGAGGCAGTTGGAGTTCTACGAGTTCAAGACCAGCCTGGTCTACAAAGAGCTTCAGGACAGCAAGGACTACATAGAGAGACCCTGTCTCAAAAAAGAAAAGAAAACTGTAACAAACAGGAAGAGAATCCAAATGTCTATAGGATCTTTCTCAAGGAAGCTTAAACTTCTGTCAAACATTTTATTCCACAGATGTCTTGATTTTCTAAATGTTCTATCCAATTTTTCTCTGATTTACATGTTAAGCCCTCTTTTGATATTCCTGTCCACAGATCATCGTCTTCCGTTTTCTTCTCTAATTCTTTAATTAACCACAGATTCATTGAATTTGCTGATGTGTTGTTATGCCAGCACGTTAACAAACTGAACACAGGATGTGGTGCTGTCTATGAACTGCTGTGCTTTGAACTGAGTAGTTAATGAGTGTGTAACCAGCAGCTGGGCAGCAGTCAAGGATAAGTCACCCCCACTGTGGTGCAGCCTCAGGGGTCTCCCAGCACATTGTCCTAGATGTCTCTGAGCAGCGCAGCTGTTGATGTGAAGAAGGACGTGGCCTTATGGGCTGAGGATGGGGGTAGGTGAAGGTTAATTATGGCTTCTCAAGAGGCTGGCTTCAGGGTTAGCATTTGGCAGATACAGTAGGTTTTGTAGAATATGCAAGCTTAATCTAGGCATAGCAGAAAGATATAAAACATCTTCATCTGAACTAAATCAGCCCTCAGCCCTTCTGAAGGTGAGCTGAACTCCATGCCACAGTCAAATTCCACATCAAGACTTTAACTCAGACCAAGAATGAAAATGCAGCTGGGTGTGGTAGTATCCACATTAATCCCAGCACTCAGGAGGCAGAGGCCAGTGGATCTCTGAGTTCGAGTCCAGCCTGGTCTACAGACTGAGATCCAGGACAGCCAGGGCTACACAGAGAAACCCTGTCTGTAAACAAAGAATGACAAGGCAGTGGGTATTCACCTTAGACACATATGCTTTCTGGCAAGCTAACTGTCCATCATTGCACCTCAGAGGACACTTCCCCTGATGTTCAGAGTATTGAAGCATCCACCCAGTAAGTCTTGAGGATGGAATCCCAACGAATCAGATGAAGCACTGAGGACATGCCCTGGGGGCATCAAGGTGACAAACCAGGGGCCCATGGGAAACAGCATGATATAGGAGACAGGAGTGCGTGTGAGCGTGTGTGCACACGTGCACACGCGTGTGCACACACACACACACACACACACACACACGGTCTCCACACCACCAATTTAATGGTTCTGAGATGCAATGTGGTCTGAGAGTCTGTGGTTCCACAGTTTCCTCGGTTGGTCTTAGTAGCACAAAACATTAAAAGGCCCCTGGGAGGGGCCTGAGTGAGCACTTGGAGGCAGATGCAGCTGTTATCACCTGTGCTTTTACAAAAATAGCAGAGTAGGAAGGTATCATTCCATCAGTCTGTCACTTCTGCTGTGTCATTTGTACTGATAGCTAATGACTTAAATACTTCCTAAATACCATTCATGAAACTGGAAAGATAGCTTGCTGCATAAGCATGAAAAGATGAATTTGAATCTCCACCATCAAATAAAAAACTAAGTGTGTGGCGTGCACCTGGAACCCCAGTGGTGGGGATAGGAGACAGAGTCGGGCAGGTTCAGAGAGAGGTTGTCTCAAAACATAGGTTGGAGAGCAACAGAGGAAGATGCCCCTCCATACATGCAGCATACACACACGCACACTTCATCATGATGCAACATAAAAAGGAAAGACACAGTGTATATGCCCAGAACAAGCAAGTGGTCACTGCTGGAAAAATATCTTGAACTAACCCACCAGTTTTCTTTTTCAATTGTGCAACTAGGCATTTAAATGGTAATCGCTTAGAATAACTTAGGATAACTAATGAGGATTCAACACTGGCAAATACAAAAACTGCTATTATGCAGCAATTCTAAATAACACCTGCTTCTTCTTTCCAGTCACTTAGTCAAGCCACCTAGCTTCTTTTGTTATTTAATTCCTTCCCTTCAAAAGCCTGCATATCTGAATCAAAATGTCTTAGTGGGTTTTCTGCTGCTATAACAAAATGCTGAAGGCTGGGTACTTACATATTTTAAAAAGTTAGTTTGTTCAGGTTAGGAGGCTTAATGCCCCAAATTAGGCAGTCCCGTGTTCTTGTGAAGTTCGGCTCCGTGCCTGTCTGATGTCATAGAAAGGGCTCGTGCAAAACGGCTGTCCTGTGGCAAGAAAGGAAGCAAGAGGGGTTCAGAGGCCAGGCTTGTCTTTACACAGGAACTCACACTTCCAGGAACTAACCTGGGCCTAAGAGAACTAATCCTTTCCGAGGGTAGTGTCCCTAATAACCCAGCTGCCACCCACTGGCCCCACCTTCTAAAGGACCCTCGACTTTACCACCACTACACTGAGAACCAAGATTCCCAGTACATGAGCCAGGACACATTCAAACCACACCCAGATTACAACACCAAACTATATTTTCCCACACAAGAGATTTTTTTAAAAACTCATTAAGATATATCGTATCTAGCCACTACAATCCGAAAAGAAATAAATGCATGTGTGCAATAAAAAAAATGCACCAACGTGTTCATGGCAACTCTGCTAATAATCACAGTAGATGTTTCTTTGTTGTTGTTGTGATAAAAGGCAACTTAAGGGGGCAATGGTTGGTTTTATCTCACAGTCCCAGGGAAACCACAGCCATAGGAATTGAGATAAATGATCACATGACAGCCACAGGCAAGAGAAAACTGCAGTGAATTAATGTTATCAGACTTGGGGGGGCACAAGTTGTGCCCCAACTCACGTGTGGCCGCCGGTCCTCAATAAGCCAATTAAAAGAGCCTAATTAAGAGTGGAAAGTGGAATAAAGGAGATTCATCCAACATGCCCACACTGGGGAGAGGAACAAGAGAGCATTGAACCCCTCAAGTCTGGTGTCTGTCAGGGTCTGGAAATGAGACCAAAGTTCAAGTAGAGAGTAAGGATATGCCCATCCAAGCAGCCCCAATCAGAGTGTGGGCCACCCACCACTAACCCACTGATGGCTGGGTTTCCAACTCAGCTGGTCTGACGAGCTATGTGAAACCATTTCCCATCTGGCTGGTGCCTTTTACTTCTCCCAACCTGAGATCACTGGAGGAAATTCCCATTTCTTTGGATGGGTGGGGCGCAGGGTGGGCGTGGGGGATCCCTTATTTCCATCATCTAACAGTGGATTGAGAAACAGTGTCTCTCCACAACAGCTTCGTTTCTGCCAGGCTGGTTAGGTCATGCATTCTGGTGCTCAGCAAGCCCTCTCCACTTTATACACCCGGAATTCCCTGTGCAGGGAATGGTCCTGCTCACAGTAAAGATGGGTTTCCCCACATGGTAAACTTGGTCAAGACAATCTCTTTACAGACATTTCCAGAGGCTAATCTTAATCTAGACCAGTGATTTTCAACCTTCCTAATGCTTTAACCCTTTAATATAGTTCCTCATGATGTGGTGACCCCCCATGACGGGAATAAAGGGTAGTAGGTCCCTAGTCCCGCGCTGGATGATAGATGGATGGGCGGATGGGAAACAGAGACCTGTAGACGAGACTTCTGGTGAAAGTTTTATTGAGGGGGCAGTAGGAAAATCAGAGAAGGAAAGAGAAAAGAAGAGACAGAGACAGGACAGAAGAGAAGGGGGGGGGGCAGAAAAAGTCCTGGCTGCCCTCCAGAGGAATATGGGGGGAAGAGAGCGAAAGTGGGTTAAAGATCCAGGGTACATGCACCTGACATGCGCAGGTGGGTGAGAGGCAGCGCCAGGTTTGCCTGGATTACAACACCCTGCTCATGACATTATTTTGTTGCTACTTCATAACTGTAGTTTTGCTGCTGTTGTGAACTGTCACGTAAATGTCTGATGTGCAAGTTATCTGATACGTTCCCAAAGGGGCTGCAATCCGCAGGTTGAGAACCACTGCTCTAGACAATCCCACAGGTGTGCCCAGAAACCTGCTTCTTTGGCATCAAATTGACACTTAAAACTAGCCATCACCCACTCAGATGTCTAACAACAGTGTGGTGGCCTGAATAAAAACGGCCCATATAGGGAGTGGCACTCTCAGGAGGTGTGGTCTTGTTGGAGGAGGTGTGGTCTTGTTGGAGGAGGTGTGGTCTTGTTGGAGGAGGTGTGGTCTTGTTGGAGGAGGTGTGGTCTTGTTGGAGGAGGTGTGGTCTTGTTCACTTTGGCTCATAGTTCACTTTCTGCCCTGCCTTTCCGGTTGTAGAATTCTCAGTTCCTTCTCCAGCACCATGTCTGCCTACGCACTGTCTGCTTTCCTGCCGTGACAATAATGACCTAAACCCCTGAACTGTAATCCAGCCGTGATTAAATGTCTCCCTTTGTAACAGATGCTGTGGTCATGGTGTCTCTTCACTTCAACAGAACACTGACTAAGACAGATAGTAAAACTACCACATTAATGTGCTGGAAAGCTATACAATAGAAACCAAAGCATATGAATTTGACAGGAAAACAAAACTTGCACACGTAATACTTGAAGATGTTAAGTCAGATGAACAGAGATGTACTATGGATTCCATTTATACAAAGATAAAAACGGGCTTAAGAAGTCATTTACACTATTTGGCAGCTTGTGCCTGTGATCCTGGCATTCAGAGGCAGAAGCAGCATGTTTGCCATGAGTTAGAGCCAGAATGGTGTAGAAGACCCTGTTTTTGAAAAAATCATTTGCAGAACTGGAGATCTGTGGAAGATACAGTGACTAGGATGGGACAATAATTAGGAGTTAACAAGTTATTCACCTATAAATACTGTGACACACACTTCAGACTCAACATCTGTCCACAAAGGTGCTTTGCTGATATGAATTTCATCCCAAGATAGGGTTTTCAAAGAATTATGAATCAAGGGAAGTATCAGTTATTTCGATCCATCTATTAACCGGAACTCCAAGAACTGAAATGATAACATACGTGATACTTAACACATGTCTGATGTTTTATGTACTGAATATATGGAATGCATATTTATTAAATCCCCATGAGTGTAAAGCTGAGGGCATCCCAATAAATACAGCACAAATGTCACCGCTTCTGACAAACTTACAGGACTGGCTTACAGTATCCTGCATTTCCAGGAGTCTCCAGAAGGTGTCCCCCATAAGCTCCCACTCCGCCGCTATGCCCAGATCCTGATTCCCCACCCCACCCCAGTTTGTGGGGCTCTTCTCTAAGCCCTCTCGAAGGTGTGGTACAAAAGGCCGACTCCCGTGTTCCCGCGACAGAAGGTAAAACAGCGCTTGTAGGATCCGAGCATCTGTTGTAAAACCCCGTGAGAAAGGTCTCTCGGTGTTTGTGGGCCGCCCGCCACATCCCTGGGGCACACTGCCTCCTAGGCAGCAGAGCCAGGGAACAAAATCAAGAAACTGCCACAATCCCCTGACAACTAAAACCCATTCCTGGGCAGGCTAATCATCAGACTCCTGCCCTGTGGGTGAGTTCTCACCCGAGAAGCTTCTGAACCCTCTACAGCCACCCACAGCTCTTAAAGTCAGCAAAGGGTGGGACCCTGGAACTCCTCTCCCCTGATCACACTGATGTCGCTCTGACCAGTCAGTTCCCAAATGAGTCTGGACAGGATAGACACCTGTGTTAGACACCAGCAGAGCCCTCCACCCCACTCCCCGCCCCCTTACTCTATTACACTAATCCTGTCGGCCAAAATGGGTAACTGGGAGGTCCAAGACATCAATTTTGAGCATTTCTTATATTTTTGGTTGTGAGCCTAGCCTTTAAAGACTGAGCCATCTCTCCAGCCAAGCATTTCTGAAATCTAACACAACAATACCGAATTCCTATTTTTATTTATTTATTTATCTATTTATTTAATTTTCCCCCAATGCTCTGCATTAGAATAAACTGTTTTTGTTAGATTTCAGTAATATTTGTATCTAAAATTTTGAAAGTCACAAACTGCTATCTACTTAATGCTGTGGGTAGAGTGATTAAAAATAGTAAAGCTTTCTTTGTCATCTTCTGGCTATGGGTCATTTTCTCTAGGTGTTCGAGGGCATGAATAGCCAGAACAAAGAAAGCGAGCTATGATTTAAATTACAGCCACATCCTGCTGAAGCCCGGTGTGCATGTGGTGTGTTCAAAGGACAAAGTCCTCCACCTGCTGGTCTCAGGCCACCTCTGCAGCTCACACACACACACAAAGACTGGGTAACCATTTCATCAAAAATCTAAAACAACGTCTGGTGAAAATTCGGAGTTGAGGGCAGCCTGTTGTTTTTATCATAAGCTGGAAATGTGGTTAGTTACAGCATCCTTCAAGAGGTGGGGAGGTAAAAAAAATATCAGTTTTCTTCTAAAGCAGATCCAAGGCACTGTTTCCTTCCTGTAACCAGCCTTCAGGTCTAGACTACTCATAGTATTCATCTGGTTGTTTGTTTGTATTAGCATTTTGGGGGGTCTAACTTATATTTGCATGGGAATGTGGAGCTTCAGTTTCAAAGCTCTTGATAGACACACAAGGAAGCCCTGTGCTTCTGCAGGGGACCAGCCTCCAGACTCTGGACCTCAAGCCTTGAAAATATTGAATGAAAACTATTTTCTATCTGGATTTTTTAAAAATAGCTTTTAAACTAAGAAAGATCACCCTCCCATGGCTAAGCACTTTACTGCTAAGACTTTAAAGATAAGTAAATAGAGGAATTAAAATATTTGGCATTTATGAACTTGAGGGTTTTTTTAGGCCTTTAGATTTGCTTCCCCCACAGAAGAAACCCCTACACACCAGCATGGGTTAGGCAGGAGTCTCTCTCTGCTTCTTGTTTTTAGTTGCTGTTGTTTTATTTATTACCTTGTGGTGCTGTGGGAGACCCTAAGGGCTTGCACACGCCAGGCACGTGCTCTATCACCGAGCTATGTCCCTAGCTCCGGGAGTCTCCTGGACTCCATCAGCTGAGAGCACAGATCCAGCCAAGATGTGGCTTCTGGGGACGCTTTGCTTTCACAAAGGTCCCTAGACAAGGGAACAGGAAGGTCAGCCCTGGAACGTGTTGCATCACAGCGGTCTGTGGAAACCCCGTGCTTACCACACGTTTCACTCCCTTCCCTGGTCAGGGTTTTTTCATGTCTGTTGGTACAATTCTTCCAGAAGCAATCTTCCCATCCATTCCCCTCACATGACTAAGTGAAGGTTTGGGGCATTCATTTGTTTTTTTGTTTTGTTTTGTTTTGTTTTTCTGAAGCCCAAATCTTGTTGCACTCATAGGTAAGCAGATGGCAAAGCGAAACCATGCCTGTAATTCAGCCATGTATGACATGCAGTGAGATTTTATGTATATAATCTCACTGCATATATATACAAATACATATACATACATACACATATAATATATATAAATATATACACACATATACATACATATATATATATATACACATATATACACACACATATGCCATCCAGTAAGGGAAAACTACTGCAGACCCTTAGCAAGGTTCCCTAGAGCCAAGTACTCAAGGCTAAAAGGAGTAGCTGGGAGGCCTCAGAGCTTTGTACCTTTCCCTTTGGGGACCCAAGAGATGGTCCCTGTAAACACATCTAAGATCAGATAAGGCCATCACACTTCCTGCCTGGGGACTTTTCCTGCTCAGGCTCTTCCCAGAATTCAGTGTTCAGTGTTTAGTCCCTGGATTCTCTGATATGCCCAGACTACTTAGTGATTATGCTTTAAGCAGGCCCCAGGCTCCTCACTCCAAAAAATGGTGACACAGCTATTCCCACCGCAGTCAGTGGTCACACAGATTAACTTGCATTTCCAACCTGGGAAGCTCATGCCTTTCTCACAGGCAGTAAACCCCTCCCCCCACCAACTCCCACCCTGCTAGCTCAAGGGAAGCAGAAAAAGCAAACTACTGGGAGTAAATGAATATTATTTCATGTTCCAAAGGGCAGGTTTACACCTCAGTAATGCCTTCAGCATTTCCTGGTACTTGGCCACCCTTCTCTTTTCCAAGCTAAGCTGTCTTGAGGAATGAGTAGACCAGAGCATTTCCTGATTTTGCATCTTTTGACATTGGAACCCCGATTCTCTGGGGTCACCAGCTGTTGTAAAAACCATCGATGATTTGAAGGACAGGTTGTACATCCCTCCAGCTTTTCTGGGACTTCCACTGGACCACACCTAAAAAGCTTGGCCACTGTCCTAGCAAGCTAATCAAATATGACAGGAAATGAAAGTGCCAGGAAGTGGTCTTCCTCCAAGACAAGCAGATGCACAAGCAGAGTTTAACAGCTACTGGTCACAGTCCCGGCCAATCGAAGAGAAAGTGATTCAGGCAGCCACCTGTGTGTCTGCAAGACATTTGATAGTCTAACAAACCTAGACTCTCAGTCATGATCCTAAATGTTTAAAACAGCAGGGTCTGAGTAGGAGCTTGGGCTGTCAGAGTCACACACTAAATACATGGATTAAAATAGTTCTAACTCCTGCTCGTCGAGCACAAAGCGCAGCTCTGCCATGACATTGGCCTTCTCTACCAGCCCTGTGACCTGCTTGTGGGGCCACGAGAGCCATTTCCCTGGGCTCCAATCAAAGGCAGGCCAAAAGGTCATTCAAGGGCACAGAGCAGTCGGAGTGAACACAGGGCATGAGTTAGCTGAGGTGCAGTCAGAGTTCTGGCTTCCTTAAGTCCCAAAGGGGCTTGAGGCCGGAATCTATGCTCAGGGATGTGAGATCTCTGCAATGGATGCGTGACATGATCTTGAGCAAACCTGAGAACTGCTCAGCGTCAGTCCCCTCATTCCTGACCCACCGCAGTGCCGAAAGCACCCTGGAAAAGGGACCACAGGAGCTAGGTGTGGTGGCTCAGGCCTGTAATCTGAGGGAGGCTGAGGCAGGAGGTCTTTACAGGTTTCAGGCCAGCATCAGCTGCGCTGTGAGACACTTTCTAAGAGAATCAGACCCAGGGCCTACCCAGAGTCCTTGTAAAAATTTGAGTTGTAGTTTTGGTGGCTCTGAATATGGCATATAACCCTGCTTTGAGCTGTGGTAGGCTTCAAGTTATCTTTGTTTATCTTGTATCTTTCTGGGGCGAGTCTCCCAGTCACTTGCTACAGCAAGTAGAACCACCCCAGTTGAAAGCCTTGCCCTCTCTGTAGTGTTTGCACAGAGGCCGCGTCCCAGGCTGCACACCAGTGGCTGAGCACATTCCAAGCACTCCTCTGACAGCTGACTAGCCTCAGAACTGCCCTGTGACCTGGGGGGAGTCTTCCTGGGACCGGGTAGTCTGGGACAAGCTCACCACCTCTTCCCTCCCTTCTCATTCATGGGATCACACTTGGGTCTGACCACACTCACTTGGACAGCCTGGTTCCCTCCTGGCATGCTCTCCCACAGACATTTGCCCTATGAAGAGCCGTGCAGGTCTAATGATGTCCCTAGTCTCAGAAGACCTGAGCCAACACAGGCTCCCATGATTCCCTTCTGACAGTGGACAACTTGTGCTTGGAGGTCTGGACAGGCTGTTCAGCCGCTCACAGAGGCCTTTTCATTATGGCAGTGGGAGAAGCGGGCATAATACAGGTCTTTGTCGGTCCTGTGAGCTTGTGGGCAACTTAAAGCTGCTGCCGTTTTAGGAGTCATGGTTTCTGCCCGGGGAAGGTCTAAAGGTGAGTTCTTTAAAAAGATTAATCTTGCTCCTGTAAGTTAACTCTCACAGTTGTTGGCTCCTAGCCTAGGACACAAGGAATAGATGTTGGATTTGGAAAGGAACTGGAACCCATGTTAGTTCTTTCTTCTTTCTGTTTTTTTGTTTTTGTTTTTGTTTTTTTGTTTTTTTGTTTTTTTTTTTTTGAGACAGGGTCTCTCTGTATTGTTTTGGAGGCTGTCCTGCAACTCTTTCTGTAGACCAGGCTGGTCTCGAACTCACAGAGATCCTCCTGCCTCTGCCTCCCAAGTGCTCCCAGCCCACCTTGGTTCTTAAACATCACATATCAGCACCACATTCCCTGCCCCCTTTTCTTTTCTTATCTTTTTTTTATTCACGTACCAACCTAGATGTTTTTTGTAGACACAAATTTACTTGAACTTTGTTTGGTGTTTGTTTGTTGTTTTTGAAAACAGGCTCTCTCAGTAGCCTAGAACCATCAAGTACACCAGGGATCGAGGTCAGCTCTGACGTTGTGCGCACACTCTGCACTGCCGGGCTTTCCTGTGTTCTGGGCTCCATGTCAGGTCCTCACGCTTGCATGGCAAGCACTGTTGCAGACACACCCACTTTCACATGGCTGGTGGCAGGGTCCCTCCTCACACCCAGAGCTGGGAACAAAAGACCTTGGCCCACTTCCCCATCAGCCTGGGAGCAGGCAGCAGTAAGCAGAGAAAACATGTTTACTAAAAACAATCTGGTGTCTTTAAGAAATGCCCCCCCATAAGGGCTGGGGAACACCCTGACTTTGATCTCTCCAATGGCTAGCTGCCTCTTCCTGACACCCCCCACCCTCCCACCCCCGCCACCCCCCAACCCCCCACCCCCCACCCCCACTCTGGTGTCAGGGGCATATATAACCAGCCCGGGGGAAAAATAAAGCGAAGCTTTTCTTGGGAAGCTTTCTTGAGCCTTTTGGGGGCTTCTTGAAGCTTTCTTTGCACCACCGACTGGTCTCTGTGCCGTCAATCCCGACACCCTCCGCACATTCTCGGACACAGGCTGCGCGAGCAGGCGCGGCACTGGAATGTTATGAGGTCTAATTTTTCCCATGTAAAAGAGATGTTCAAGCAGGGGATGGGGCTCACTGACTAGATACCAAATCAAAGAAATAGCATAGCCAATGTCATCTTTGATCCCTCCTAGAACCCTGACTCTTGGGTAAACCGGAGTTGGGACACACCCACACAAAGACATCCTGAGCAAAATTAGACCGTTGCTTGTGCCTTTGGAATCTTCCAGCTGTGGACAGTTTAGATATGGTCATGACAGCAGGGCAGTCGTGGTGGTGGCCGCATTACACCCACAGTCAGGAAGCAGAGAGGTGAGCACCGGCACTCTGTCAGCTTTTCCTTTGTCCTGTTTCACCATCCCAGGGTCCTTACACATGGGGTGATGCCAACCACACTCAAAGCAGCTCTCCCTTCCATCTGGGAAAACACCATCACATACCCAGAGGCGGGTCTGGGTATTCAGTTATTCCAAATCCAGTCAAGTTCACAATGAAGATTCGTTATCACAGCACTCAAAGATGTCAACCTGCCTTTTAAAAAGCTGTTTGTTCGGCTTTGCATTCTGCCAAAGGACCTTGTCATTCAGGCTTCCCTCAAACGTCACCATGAGGCTCTTAATTTTAAGTAGAGCACTCTGACAGAGAGCCACACTACTCTTAGCCCAGGCTATCTCTGTCCTCATCCAAAGCCAGCCTCTCCCTGTCCACAGCCATGCTTTCCTTGAAGCCACTGCATAAAGCCATTCAGTTTCACCTGTCCCAAAGGCTGGGAGCTGGACGGGGGGGGGGGAGGGGGTCTGAAGGTGCAGCCAGACCCTTGAGAACAGAACTTGCGTTTTTAGGGTAAGGGCTGATTTGGCCTGAATCAAGCAACTGCACTCCTATTTGTGCATCTACTCATAATAATTAGCTTTGATGAGGGGGAGGAGGGGGAGGAGAAAGAGAGGTGGGGAAGGGAGAAGAGAGAAAGGAGGGAGGAAGGGAGAAGGGGAAGGAAAAGACAGACAGACGTACAGGCAGACAGACGTACAGACTTCTGACATGGACCCTCTAGGTGGCTCGGCAGGTAAAGGCACCTGCTGTCGAGCCTAGACCCGTATGTGATCAATCCCAGGAACCCACATGATCACATGATAGAAGGACAGACCAACCTTTGCAAGCAGTTCTAACCTCTACATACCTGTGTGCACACAGGAAGACTCATGTGCTCATGCACACATACAATGCATACTTTTTGAAAAAAATCTGACATGTTTACCTTTCCAAAGTTTGAAACATATATAGACCACCACCACATCCGGATGGGGTGCAACGATCACACACCAGCAGCTTGACTCCATGAGTAACGTCTTCTTGTGGCACACAGACACATATAGACACATAGACTCTCTCTCTCTCTCTCTCTCTCTCTCTCTCTCTCTCTCTCTCTCTCTCTCTCTCTCTCTCTCTCTCTCTCTCTCTCTCTCTCACACACACACACACACACACACACACACACATACACACACTTCTTGTCTCCTTTGGTTAAAGTGTACTGTAAACAAAAGGTCTCAAGTCGAACTCCCGTTCCCCACTGAGCCTGAAGCTTCTACTCAACAGAGACTTTTAAACCTAGACACCAACTGTGACCAGCTGCTGTGGGCTAGTCCCAGACTGGGTCTAGGAGTCAATAAAACTTCAATCCTGCGTCCTCAGAAAATGAATAAAAAACAGCCCGGCCTCCCTAAGGATCCAGGATGGGTAGCCAGATCCGGCAACCTGGGTTAAATCACACTGACCCTACAGCGTTGCCCCAGGAACCTACAGTGGAGCCTTCTCCAGCTAAGAAATGGCAATGGCTTTGCTGGGTGGGACCTTGGGCCGAGGCCTCCTACCCCGCCAGCACACAGGTCGGAGACACCGCGCGCTACGTGACAGCTAAGTTCCTGGATCTGCGGGGAGGCGGTGCCCACAGCCGCGGCGCTGCCCCGGGGGCTCCCACACCGCCCCTCCCCCGGTACTCTGGGTGCCGAGCGAGGGGCGGTGCCGCGCCGAGGGGTGGATCCGTAGCTGCCCCGAGCCTCAAAAAAGCCTCACTGGAGACAGGGCCGGACCAGTCCTGCAGCCCGGCGTCCCGTTCTGTTGTCCCGCCGCCCGCAACCATGGCGAAGCCCCTGACCGACCAAGAGAAGCGACGGCAGATCAGCATTCGCGGCATCGTGGGCGTGGAGAACGTGGCGGAGCTGAAGAAGGGCTTCAACCGGCACCTACACTTCACTCTGGTCAAGGACCGCAACGTCGCCACCCCCCCGCGACTACTTCTTCGCTCTGGCGCACACTGTGCGCGACCACCTGGTGGGGCGCTGGATCCGCACACAGCAGTACTACTACGACAAGTGTCCCAAGGTACCCGGCGGAGGGCATTTGTCCTCCCTCCACACCCTGTCCTCGTCCCAAAGTTTGGGCGGGCAGCTGGGCACAGGTCCCACCTCCCCCGCAGCGCTGCGCCAATGACACCACTGTGCAGTGCGATCCGGAGACCCCTGGTGGCAAGAGCCCAGGCCTCCTCGCCCGTGAACTTTGCAAACTTTATGGAGTGCCTACTTAGGACCTAACTAAGAGTGGCCGGGCGCCTCCTTTGCGACGTGCGGGACGCAGTTCCAGGCCCCTGACATTACGCCCGGGGCGGGGGGGGGGGGGGGGGGAGGGAGGACACAAAAGCCCCGCCTTAGAGCACGGAGCTCAGTGTTTAGGGAAGTGTAGAGTTCTAATAGTGACCCCGCCCAGGCCTCAGGGTTGCCCAACCTAGCAAACTGCAGCAGAGAGATGGGGGAGGTCCAGGCCCAGTCCGGTGAGGGGAGGTTACAGTTTTCTGAACTTTCTGATTCCTGCATGACGGGCCAGGCTCAGCCCGAGACTCACCTGCAGGTATCCCCGTGAAAACACTCTCCTCCCTCCCAGAGGCCTATCGCAGAGACCTGGAGGACGCCGCCTTTCGGGGACTGCTCTCCTTTCTGCCAAGGGCCAGAGTGTGGGATCTCTGGGGGTGGTGGACTTGTAAGAAGAGGGAGCAACACCATTATTATGACCAATCTAGGTAGAGAACAAAACTAGTGTGGAAGGTCAGGGAAGACCAGGTAGGGAAAAGGATTTTACACACAGTAGAGTGAGAGGCAGCAGCCTTACTGAGGACAGGGATGATTTGGGAGAGGAAGCTGGTTGTGGAGTAATGTTGGAAATGATGACAGCAGATCCTGGAGGCACGGGGAAATGCATGTATACGCTTACTAGGCGTTTTAAATATATAAAAACGCCGAGAAAAGTTATCTCCACTCTTTGTGCCTGAGGACTACAGGAATTTCCAAGACTGAGGAATAAACTCCCTTAGTAAGATACTGCAGTTGTAAAGATACTTTCAAAGGAACGTCACTCCTTCCCCCCAGGAGCCTAGGGGACTGCTACCCAAATAGAACAACTGTGAATGTGTGCCCTTTCAAATCTAAACCTGTGTAAAAAGCACTTTTAGTCTACATTCATCTGCTTATTGGTACAACATTCTTCACCTCACATTAAAATTTTTAAGGGCTAGTACAGGACTTGTTTGGGTTGGAGCCATATTTCAGAAATGAGTGCGCGCACGCGTACACACACACACACACACACACACACACACACACACACATGCTATAGCATTTAGCATCATAGCACAGAGAGCTTTCTCCTCCAGTGGTAATCTTTCTGATTCTGCAGCTACTTCCTCCCGTGTGAGCACAGAGCTCACCAGGCAGGGTTACGCTGCTGGACGGCAGTGAACATGTTGCATAACTCTTTTTAGAAGAGCTTGGAAACTCTTAAAAGTTCCATTCGTGTGGGTTCATAGTGTTTCCTCCATGATGGTCTGTGGAAGTAGGATGACTCCAGGGTTCAAAGAGTCCTTTCCCAGCCTCACTCCCACAAGTCTCCAAGTCCAGTTCTCTAGCCAAAGGTTTAAGCACACCAAAGCCTCTCCGATCTCTCGAACTCAGCACACAAAAACTCAGATCACATTTCTTGCAGTCCTGATCTGCCCTGATGTTTAATTCATTGGCCCCTGGTCACCATTATGACAGTCACTTCAGCATAAAGTTTGAACCGTCATTTATATTCCCCTTTCAAATGTCTGCAGGTCCCCTCCAAGCTTCCTCTCTCTTCCAGTCTGACTTTCTGCCTAGCTGAGAGGCCCTGCAGATCTGTGGAATGGGCTTCTCAGTGGTGACCTCACCTCCCAGGAGCAGTAAGCTAGCAACAGGAGACTGACCAGGTTTTGCAGACATACATCACTTGGTCAGGGAGCTGCCTCTGGGTAGTTTGATTCCATGGCTTTGAGCTAGCCTCTGAGTAGTTTAATTCCATAGTTTTGGGTTTAACTCTGGGTAGTTTAATTCCATAGTTTTGGGCCAGCCTCTGAGTAGTTTAATTCCATGGCTTTGGACTACAGTCCTGCATGCTTCAATGTTTTCAGCTGTTTTAGGCAACTTCAGTTACACCTGCATCTGTCAGCTCCCAAAGGCACTGCATTTGCAATCCCGTTGCAGTCTGGGCCTGTGTCCAGCTGAGCTGCCCAAAGCAGCACACCCTGACTCTGTTGAGGTTGACTCCAGCCCTGGCCAGTCCTTAAGTGCTTCCCTGCCATGTTCTGCTGGTGAGCCTGTCCTTCTGTCTTCTCTGCCATCACGCCCTGGCCCATCTTCCTCCTCCTCTCCTGCTCCGCCATTTCCCACCTCTGCTCACCTCCCCTGGAAGTTCCCTCCCAGCACCAGTCCCAGGGACCACTCCTGCCTGCCCGCTGTCTCAGATTTGCTGCTGCCTGTTTCAGACGCCTGATAGTGTACACAGACAAGCACCAGTTCCTCTGCTTAGTGCTGGGGACAACTTGAACTATTTCTAAATATTGATAGTGTTAGGGCATTTTTATTCTTTCTTTTCAAAACTTTTGTAACTGGTTTTGTATACTGTTACAATATTAGGAGTGGTTTGTGCATGTAATTTACAATGTAAATGAAGATATTCAAATATTTTATCGTTAGGAATGTATAATAAATGTCCATAGGATTTAAGGGAGCAAAGGTCTATTTTTTCAAGGTCTTACATATTCTCAAATATAAAGTATATTTTCCCCTCAAAACATACCACTTGTCAGAAAAATGGGAAATGTAGCCGGGCGGTGGTGGCTTATGCATTTAATCCCAGCACTTGGGAGGTAGAGGCAGGCTGATCTCTGTGAGTTTAGGACAGACTGGGCTACAGAGTGAGTTGTAGGTCAGCCAGAACTGTTACACAGTAAAATCCTATCTCAAGATAAAAGAAAAGAAAAGAGAGAAAGAAAAAAGAAAAGTAGGAAATCTATAGTTTGTGTCCTTAAAAAGTCTGTCATCTATAAGGATACTTTGAGCAAGAGAACCAAAAATATCTTAAATATCCTTAAGGCGTTATTCATCCTAATGGATTTTAAGTCAGTGCTGCTTTGGCCTTAAAAGGAGGTCTAGAAACTTAGCCCAAATGCAGTAATTCCAGGAGTGTGACTTCACAACTGCAAGACTGGGGTAGGGGTGTATGTACAAATGAGATTTGTATGGACCACCTGAAACAGGAAATCGGACTTTGTTCCATCAGAGAGAGAATGAAGATACTCTTAGGAAGGCTGGAACGGGATAATGGTATCTGTGTCTTGATCTACTGTTTCCTGTGGCCTCATGCACAGAACCCCCAGCCTTGGGTAAGAGCAGAGCTCTGATACCTTGATGCATAAGTGTGCCCCAGAAAGATGTCTTTCTCTGGCATGCATAGGCATCTATCTGATAGGCTGGCAAGGACCCAGAATCATCCAAAGAAGCTGGACAAAGATGCTGTGCTCAGAACACCGTTGTTAGATATCCAGGGTACAATGCCAACAGTGCTTGTGAAGGTTCAGAATTCAATTGTTCCATAAAATGAAAGCGAGAGTGAACTTTCAAAGTTGATGTAATAGTGATTAGTTACATTAGCTCTATCACCAATATTATTATTATTATTATTCACTTATTGGGTTGCCCAAGTGCTTTTATTTTTGGTTCTTATCATCCTGTGGAAATGAGGAGCACCTAAAATGTGAACAGACTCTTACTGTTTTGTTCTGTGACCTTTGGAGAACAGGGTAACTGGTGCAGAGGACAGTGTGCCCTGAAAGAGTCCCGCAGTCACGCCATCATCCACTGCTTTAAATTAGCACACTGGGCTTGCATTTAAGGCTGTTGGGGCAGGCCTGAACTTTGTACCTTTCACTTCTGACTCTGCTCATATTTACCTGGCTTTTCCCATGCCAAAGGCAAATAGTTTCTAAGTCCATAGGGAAATTTACCATCTGATCAAAAACAAATGCTAACAAGCCTTGGGGAGTCTTCTTACTAGAAGAACTGCTATGTAGACTTTCTGGGGTAGGCTTCATTCCAAAGGTGATGAAGGAGGCATATTCTCTAGGCACAGAATGTGTGGGAGCTAGTCTGTGTGTTTCTTAGATGACAAGGCAGAACCAACCCACCTGACCCTTGGAGTGAAAGGTAATGATGGAAGGCAGTCTAACTTGTTTGTCTACAACATGTTTTATTCATGAAGTTCATGAATAAAGGGAAAATCAAAACATTGAATCTGATTAGTTAGATGTGCTTACTTTTCTTTCTTCCTGAGGATAAAAGATACTAAGTTATTTTGCCAAAAATAGTGTATAGCATGGTTTCCTCCTGCTGGTAGTAGGGGACACTGTCATGCATCCTGTTAGGTGACTGCAGGGGCTTCACTCAATCATGAGTTAAAGTAGCCCAAGACCGGATGGTTTTCCATTGGTGGCCTTACATGGATTTGCATTTTTATGTGTATTGACAAGCATGGTTGACCTCATAGAAGAATGATGCCTTTTCTTCTCTTTATTTCAGAGGGTTTATTACCTCTCTCTGGAATTTTACATGGGCCGAACATTACAGAACACCATGATCAACCTTGGCTTACAAAATGCCTGTGATGAGGCCATTTACCAGGTATGTTGTTTTCATGTTTCTCATATCTTCTTTCTCTACATCTCAAGTTCACTCACACACACACACACACACACACACACACACACACACACACACGCACACGTGTATTCACACGACAAGTTGCTTCTTCGGGTAGGGCTATCACAAACAATGAGAAATAAGCACAGCCTGGAGAACAGAGGCCTGGGTGTGCCCTGGGTGTGGTGGCGCATGCCTTTGATCCAGCACTGGGGAGGCAGGAGCAGGTGGATCCCTGAGTTCAAGGCCAGCCTGGTCTACAGGATGGAGGGAAAAAGAAGTTAGAGAATAGGGTGTCAGACATGAGGGTTTTATTTTCAATCAAAGTCTTGGGTAGTTTTTCTGGAACAAATCACATTTTAAAGATGGACCTTTTAAAGGCCTCCATTCTGAGGATGACAAACCTCTTCTGTATACCTTTTAAGAGATGATCAAAGTTGACAGTTATTCATGCATCAGACAACATTGAAAATGGTAAGCTTTTAAAAGTCTTCTGTCCTGTTTCTCTCTTGCCTAACGATATGGGAATCACACTTCCTCTTAAGGCGGTCCTAACTTGCTCATATGTGGTCACATCCAGCCCTTCCTACAGGTGTCTCTCCACCAAAAGTAAGTAGTCCTTCACCTTTCTGATGTGACGGGAAGGAGGAGTGCGTATTGACAAGACAAATCTAAAGGACATATGTGTCAGAATGCCCCTTTCCCCAGGGCTGGGAGAGCCCTTAGTGTGGCCTGCCACTTATCACTCGGGTCTAGCATCCTTCATGTTGGTTAGGTAGAGCACTTTCTGCCAAAGAACTGCTTCAGCTCCACTTCCCTCTCTACTTCCCCTAATACTAGCAAAAACAATTGCATCCCTTCCTTGGAGTAGTGTCTATGCACGACCTGCATCTGTGTGGTCAAAGTTTAGAGCTTCTTCTCGATTTTCCACTTTGCAGCTTTTCAGGACCCTGAGTGCTAGTTAGCATGGACCATTGGATGCATAAAGAATCCCCAGCCACTAGGGAGCAAATTCAGAAGCCGTCCTCATGAAAGGATGCAGAGCCATGTTTCAGTGCTCGTGAGATCTAATTATCAACACTTACATAGGGAAGTAATGGGGCAGCATGGTAGGGGTCCTAAAAAGTGGCTCAGAGAAAATGCGGGCGTCACTTTAGGCAGCTCCTTCTCACACATATGTTTTCAGTAGTGAAGTTAATTTCCCATGAAAAGCTATTGTAGCCAAGCCTGATGGCCTGACTTGAGGCCCCGAGAGCCACATGGTGGGAGACTAGAACACACTCTAAGGTTGTCATCTGTCCTATACAAGCACATGAGGGAATGAGAGGAGAGTTTTTTAAAACTATCGAAATAGGGGTGGGGTATGTGGCTTTCAGATAAGGACACAGCTGTTTCACAGCAGACTACCCTTTAGTCAGGCTGGGTAAAATTATCATCTAGCCCACAGGAAACAGGCCACTATGTTTATGAGAACATTTCCTCATAAGTGATCTACTGCTGCAGAACCCTGATGGAACCCCATGCTAGTAGCTTCAGGAGTATGATCCCCAACACTGTGGAGAAGGGAGCTAGCAACCGTCCCCAAGTGGGGACAGATGGCTGTCTCCACTGAGCCATCTCACTGACCTCATATTTTTCAAAGTAATAATAGCTAGCATATGACATATCTACCCAAGACTAATGCTATTTCATTGTTTATGCAATACCATTTGACTCACAGCCCTAAATTAAGTAGCTACTTTCATCCTCCACGTTACAAGGGAGATTTAGCAGCCTGCCTAAGGGCCAATATCAAGGAAGTGGCATGGTCCACAGTGGACATCTAGGATTCATGCTTCTCCATGTCTAACTGTTCCATCCAGAACAACTGGCACCAGCAGTTGCCAGTTTCTGCAGTTACTATGCAGTACCAGAACATGCCTCGAGCAAACCGACACCAGATCAGACACACAGATCACCCTGATGCCTGACCAGTGCTTTAGGCAATGGCTGTTGTCCCTGGAATGGCCTAAGTGTGTATTCATGTCCAATATTGGTCTCTTTTCTTTTCCAATATTGTTCTCCTTTATCCTCAGCTTGGATTGGACATGGAGGAGTTAGAAGAAATTGAAGAAGACGCTGGGCTCGGCAATGGTGGTCTTGGGAGGCTTGCTGGTAAGTGACAGCGGGAATGGGCTATAGTGTCTGGGGATCCATCCTTCTCAGAAGCCATACACAGCCATGCTTAGGAGAGCCAACTGGCTTCTTAGAAGGAGGAGGCAGCACGGCCCCTCTGTAGAGTTTGTTCTTGACTTTCCACTGTGGACTGACCATCTCCACAGAGAGGAGAGAACTTGAAGAAAAGAGGTATTGCTTAAAAGCCTTTGCAGACATTGCTTAAACCCCAGAGCTAACCAGATCCTTCCTGTTCATTTAGGGTTTCCAAAGTCACCCGTTTACTTCACTGCTGTTTGTTCACACAGCTGGTCAGGTCCCATAAATTCTAAGTCTTACCTTGCATGTTACAGTTTGCTGTTTTGTTTGGCTGGTGGGCAATGAAGTCATGATATACCTACCTCTTTCCATATGCATACCAACTGAGTTCTTTGCTTTACCTGAGCAATGGATTTTCAGCCAATGGAGAAGAAAAGATTTAAAATACAATACTAGCTCTACTTGCTGAGACAAAATACCCAGCAGTTTAAGGAAGTGGGGGGGTTGAGTTTTGCTCAGAGTTCCAAGGCATGGTGGGAAAGCCATGGTGACAGGCTCCTGAGGCAGCTAGCTGGTCACATGCATCTGCATCGGGAAGCAGAGGGAAGTAAACGTTCATGCTGGCCAGCTTTCTCCTATTTATACAGTTCAGGGCCCCAGACCCCAGAATGGTGCCCCACCCCCTCGACCCCCAAGGCTGCCACTGCCACATTCAGGGTGGGTTTCCCCACCTCATTTAATGCAAATAATCCCACACAGGCATACCCATAGATTCGTCTAGATCCTGGTTGACCTGATATTAAACATCACACCCTGTAACCAAGCATTTCCACTCCTCAGGAGAGTGCTCCAGAGCAAATGCCAAATGCAGCATGTGTACAAGGGGGCAGGTGAAACACCAGGAAGGCGCTGTTACAGGGCTGCTTCTAGAACTGCATTCAAAGCAGCCTGCCCACATACGGTGGTGCCATCTATAGTAAAAAGATAAATCTTCTGAGTTATGTTTATAGAGACACAGGGGAGAGTTTGAATTCAAATACTGAGTTGAGTTTAAATGTTAAATGTGCCCAATGACTCCCAGAGAGGAGCGTGGGCTTAAAGAAGGCAATCCAAGGGGATGCTACCATATTTCTTTAAAGTCTGTTAATTTTGCATCCCCTCTCACATACTCTAAAGTCACTTGCATCTGCCCCATTTTATTGAAAACTTTCAGTGTGCTTTAGTGTGGTCACTGGTAGTAAATTACAGAAAAGTATTTCAGGTAGACCGTTTGCCATCATCCCGTGAAGTTGTTCATCTGAAGAGTTCCCAGGCTCCCCTGGGCCATAGGGAAGGTGACGGCACTAGTGGTAAGCCCATCTAGAACAGGAATTGGTCTGCTTTGCCTTCAGGTGAAACCCACGCTCTTGGACACTGGCTAGCTAGCACTGTTCACTCTGCTCTGGACCTGCCATTAAAGGCCTTGCCCCTCTGCTGTTGGGGAGGACCAGAGAATAGAGCAACAAGTCATTCTCAGATGCCTAGTCTCTTCCCTGACTGTGAAAGTCAGGACCCCATCCTCAAGCTCTAAGGATGAACTCGTCAGGACCTAGGGAATGCCAGAACAGCCACAGGTCAGACAAAGCAGACTGGTCATGTTAGGCTTACTCTAGGCTTAGCACTTTATGTTTATGGCTCTGTCTCAGTCAGGCTATGAACCCAGCACATACTCTTACAGTTTGAGTTACAGCTTTCCAGTTTGAATTCCTCATTCCACCCACGACAGCTCAGATTCCCAAGCGGGACAGTCAGATTAATGGAACCCTTTGGATTGAATCCAAGGACTAGATAGATCCCTTCTCTGCCTGTTGATTGGCTGTTCTAGCTCAGATGCTCTGTCAGTTGGTAACAGAAAATCGATACATCAACAGTGGCATGTTGATCATAGAACAAGAGCCGCAGACATTAGGGCTGACTTATTCAGAAGCTCTATTATACCAGGACTCTGGGTCTCTATAGTTCTCCCCCACCTCATTCCTCCTCTCACAATGCAAATGACAAAAACAGAAAGGAAAGTCTTGCACTGAAGCCCTTTACCCTCAGCAGAACTCCTAGTACTCTGAGTGAATTGGATGCCGTTGCTGCCAAGGCTACTGGCTGTCGCTGATGAAGGAAACAGAGTTACTACAAATGGTTAAAGGGTTCAGGTCAGTAAAGCAGGGTCCACTTCCTGGAGCATACAGTCACTAGTGTCCCAAGAGCAATGGAATTCCGTCAGTCAGCTGGGTGCTGTGACAGAACAGGTCTCACATAAGTTTCTGTTTCTTGGGGATACAGTTCAGCAGGCAGTCATAGAGACAGCTTCTCTTAGAACAACTATGGGTGACAACAGTCAATCTACCCAATGTAGGTGGCTTCCATATTTGCTCTCAAACAATGCTAGTATGTGCACAGTGGTTATTCAGGGTGCTGAGGAAGGATGTGATATCTATTTTCTTTATTTTTACACTAACTTCTCTATGGTATTAATTCTATAGTTAGAAAAGGAATTGAGGGAAAAAAACCAGTAAACTCCATGCAGTGATATCTGTGCTTAAATGCAAATGTTTCCTGATAGAAGACTGTTGTATGGCCTCCATGTTCTTAAAAGAAAGGTTTAGTGTTGATGCTAAGCTTGTTGATTCTGTCTGTCTGTTCCCGTGGTCAAATTCAGCCTGCTTCCTGGACTCCATGGCAACCCTGGGACTTGCAGCCTATGGATACGGCATCCGCTATGAATATGGAATCTTCAATCAGAAGATCCGTGAGGGATGGCAGGTACTCACACCGTCTTTTACCATGCTGTCTCCTGAGCCTTTGGGAGCCCATTCTTTGTGCTCTGGCCAGCGTGCAGCGAGCCTTTCCTCAGCACTTCACTGATTTCCCTGGCATTTGGCTGATGAGCTGAGAGCCCATCAATGTCATTTACCTCCGGGTCCATGACATCTGGCACAGTGCCTGGCTCTCACTAGCTGGTTCACCGTCCATTCCTAATTAACTCTCTATAAACCAAGAGCAAGAGCAGTATATATATGCCTCTTGTGTGGTGGTTAAGAAAACGAATCTAAAGGGTTGGAAAGATGGCTCCACAGTTAAGAGCATCCACATGGCAGCTCACAACCATCTGTAACTCCAGTTCCAATGAATCCTACACCCTCAAACAGAGTATAGACAGGCAAAGTACCAATGCGCATGAAATTTAAAAATCTTTTTTAAAAAAGAAAATTCATCTTCAATAAATCACCCATGAGACTCTGGCCGTAATAAATGCTCACTAAGTTGGAGGAACCGCCATCATTCCTGAGCAGGGTAGGTAGGGTCTTAGGTTTTTCTGCATTGAGAGTGAGGCCTCACAAGGGAACTCTGAAAATATGCACTACTGAGCCTGAACTGTGGATGGCTTTCATGTGTCACATTCCATTTCGAAACTTACAGAAACTCAAAATGCTTGTGGGCAACAACTGTGATCTCCCCAGCAGGCCTCCCTGGGAGGAAACACACGGCCAATTTGCAGCATAGAGATCTGAGTGTCTTCCAAAGCGGGGTCCTCAGGTCATGCTGCTGGTCAACAGGGGTCAGTGTCTGCAGACTTCTGGGTTCACACTCAGTGTTCTTATGTATGTGACTCTTTCCCTCCTGTGCCTGACTATCTTTTAAGATAACAGAAAGTCCTTTTACACGATAAGATAAGATTAGGTAATCTTGTTAGCTGTTAATAAACCTGACACATATTTAATACTCTGTTCTATGTAAATGTGCACAGATGACTGTAGTTATACGGTTTTGTTTTTAAGTATTGGTTTCTTTCATCTCTGGTAGCTTTTTTTGAGTCTTCCGTCAAGGCCACTGTGGTATTTCCCCTGATCACACACACACCATTGATAAAAATGTATAAACTGCATTTCCAAAAAGCTGAGCTCTGTCAGCATGCCTACCCTTGGGAGTCAGACAGCAGACAGCTCAGGGATTGGCCAGGACAGTGTAAGGGAATGAAGCAGACTTAGCAAGGGTTAGTAAGGTCAAGGGCCAGAGTCTGCTTATCCCTCCCCCAGTACTTAGTCACCAAGGAAGGAAGGAACTATTTGGTGTGAACAGTGAGAGAAAAGCGAAGTTTATGAAGGAGGCGACTGGGAACAGAGTCTGAAAGACGTGTAAGCTATAAGCAACCAAAGTTTGCTAAGGACAAGTGTTGAGTATTTTTACCCAGCTCTAAATGAGTAAAAACTGCGAGGCGACATGGACTAGAAGAGTCAGGCACTCATTCCTGGTTGAGATCTAATTTCCACTCCTTATAGAAAGCACGCCATGTCCATTGTGTCGCCTCTTCCCAGAGTTCCTATGACAACCTGCAGGCTCTTGGGAAAAGGAGAATATCTCCATATAGTGTGGTGCTCTGTGACAAAATGTTAATATAGCTAGTATAACTGTCGCTACTGCATGCTTGAGTGGTTTTATTAAAATAGAAAAGCATTTGTGCTGTTTAGGGAGAGAAGGGATCTAGAATGGTCTGGATGGACTGACTGCAACTGTCCAGGAGAGAAAATGTTTTAGGAAGGAAGCTATATCAGGAGCAGGAGGCATGGATTAAGGCAAACGGTCTTGCAGATGGGTGAGGTTCCATTCCCGTGGAAGCTTTTACAGATACCTATACCTCCAGTTCCAAGGGGCCTTACTCCTTCTTCTGGCCTCCACAGGCTCCTATATGCATGCAATACCCGTGAATCACACAGACACATAAATTTAATTAACAAATAAATAAATCTTTTTTTAAAGGAAAGAATATGCCAGAGCTTCAACATTAATTATCTTTGGAGCATAGGGCTCCAGGGAGTGATTATTAATTCTATTTGTTCCTTTACATGTCTCGTATGCCATAGGAAATGTGTACTTTATAAGCATGAGAAGCTGTAGAAATTAAAGTTGATTTCCTTTCCCAGTGAAGTAACTAAAGTTCCTTGCTGCTCACTGAGCTTAGTAGGGATTTTCAGTCTGTCTCACCAGATGACTCCTGCATCCATCCCCTATCCTGGAAAGTAGACTGTGGTACTCACTGTATTCTAGACTGTTTAAGACTTTGTTTTCTTAGGTTTTTGTTTCATTTTGGCTTGGTTTTGGTTTTTCGAGACAGGGTTTCTCTATGTAGTCCTGGCTGTCCTGGAACTAGCTCTGTCGACCAGGCTGACCTCAAAGTCAGAGATCCATTTGCCTCTGCCTCCCAGGTTCTGGGATCAAAGGCGTGTGCTACCTGCCCCACTCATTTCTTAGGTTTTTGTTTGTTTGGTTTGGTTTGGTTTGTTTTTTGAGACAGGGTTTCCCTATGTAACAACCCTAGATGCCCTGGAACTTACTCTGTAGACCAGGCTGGCCTAGAACTCACAGAGACCCACTTGCCTCTGCCTCCTGAGTGCTGGGATTAAAGGTGTGGGCCACCACTGCAAAGCTTCCTTACTTAGGTTTTAAACTACTGTTGTATGAAAGATTCAAAAGAAACGCAACAAATAAAACTTCAATTCCCCAAGTGTATTTCCCCCTTCAATTTCATTCTTAATCTTATAGTCCAAGGAGGCATATACTTACAGCACTCCAAAGTTGAAAAAGCAAACCTGGGGCTATAGATGTAGCCTCATTGGTAGCATGCTTGCCCATCATTCATGGAACCCTGGGTTTGACCCACTGCCTCCAGCACTCAATAAGCCAGATGGTGTCGGTGCACACTTACGACACCGACACTAGGGAGGTGGAAGCCAGAGGACCAGTGGTCATCCTCCACTATTTACCAAGGTAGAGGCTAGCCTGCACTACCTGAGACCCTGTCCAGAGAGGGGGGGTTGGGAGGAAGAGAGCTAGAGAGGAGAGTAGGAGAGGGAAGGAAGAAAGAGACCAGTGGCTTCTGCTAATTCCAAACTTAGCCGTATTAGACATCATCGCTTCTTTAATTATGTCTTAAAAGCGGAATCAGAAGGACATATAGTTCTACTCACCACCTACGTTATTTCTCAAGATGGGATTGTAAAGGGCAAATGTATATGTCACATCATAAAAAGAAACCGTTTCTGTGAGAAACAAAAAGCATATGCCAGGAACCTTGCAGTCCTGACTATGCTGTGGTCATTCCTGCTCCCCTTCACCCTGCACCCCTGCTCACTTGTACGCAGCTGCGCCCCTCCACTCTGCTCCCCTATTCCGCTGCACCCGGCTCCCCTGCATCCCAGCTCCCCCAACAGCAGATACAGACGGTGCTGATGAGAAGTCACCGGCTGGGAAGGTTTTGAAAGGCTGATGGACTTTTAACTTTTGGGTCTATTCAAACAGCATTTGCAGTAAAATGTGGTGACCGCACTTCTGAGGGAAATAATTATGTGGTTAAAATTCTGAGCTTGCCACACGCGCTAATGGGAACCTGGTCTGTGATAGCCCCCATGAAAACACTTGGCTATCGGGAGATCGAGGAGAACGCTATTAAACAGCCTATTTTAGAAGGCTAGCAGGTAGCAAAGGCTCTCCCAGCAACGACTGACTGCTGGGCCCCTTCGGTCTCCCCTGAGAACCTGTGCCAAGCCTGTCAGAGCCAGTCTCCTGGTTTCTGCTGCCCAGCGAGCCTCCAGTCACCCTTACTGAATTACTGGAGTTCCCCAGAAAGGTCTTTCAATTATGTATGTTCTCAAGAAGCAAAGACTCTTGGCATTTGCTCGTGAGTTCATCCTCTATGCCCCACATTTGAAGGAGAAAGTGGTTTTTGGAACCCTGTCGCCAGTACAGTGCCGGAGCTGACCTCCGCCTGGCCACTGGCTCCACTGGATCGCAGAGTCATTCCTCCAGGGACACGCCCAGGCTCAGAGCCAGCTCTATCGCTCTCAGGAGCCCCAGTTGCTGTAAATCAGCACCCCAGCCGCTGGAGCCTCTGGGATGGACCAGTGCTGAAACCTCCTTAGACGTAAGGATCAGAGCTCATCTCCCACCTGCTCCACATGTTCATACACCTCAGCGATTAGTGCTCCCAGAGATCCCTGCGGCTACACGAAAGTCTAATCCACAGGAAGAAATCGAAGTCAAGACCTCGGGTCTGCTGTGATGAACCGGTGGCTGTGAAATCTGTATCTTTAGAGCCAGACAGCAGTGGTGTACGCCTTTAATCCCAGCACTCAGAGGCAGAGGCAGGCAGATCTCTGTGAGTTCGAGACCAGCCTAGTCTACAGAGTGAGTTCCAGGACAGCCTCCAAAGCCACAGACAGAGAAACCCTGTCTCGAAAAACCAAAAGAAAAGAAAAAAAGAAGAAGAAGAAGAAAAGGAAAGAAAGAAATCCTTACCTTTCAATCCACCTTAGAAACCAGCCTGGAAAACTCAACACGCTGTTCACTGATTCCTGGCACTCAGACTGAAGTCAACAAACAAACATGGCTCCTTACAAAAAACTGTTAGCCACAGGAGTGGGGCAGATGAAACCAACATGCAATGGCATGGTCGGTCAGCCAACTACTTCTTTGTCACTGAAGAGTATATCCTCACGAGAGCAAAGGCCACTCAGTTGGGCAGGAACAGGTGTGAGGTGTCATACTGTCCCTGGGTCTGCTTCTTGAAGACAGAAGAGCCCGTGATGGAGGCTCTTTTCTCACCAGAAACATGGCATCCATTCTCCCAAGCTCATGACTTTCTGTAGGAAAGTCATTACTGCCACATCTTCCTCTTTAAGTCCCTTCTGTATTGTTCAATAATAGCACCAAGTGCAGAAAGGGGAACACCCTGTTCACACTGGCCAGGCTCTCCATCCACCCACCCATCTACCTATGTGTTTATTCTGTGTCTGTATCTGTGTGTATGCATGTGGAGGCCAGAGGTTGACATGTCTTCCTGCATCCCTCTCAACCTTAGTTTTTTTCTTTTGGGGGGGGGCTATAGGGAGGTACAGTTCCAGACAGGGTTTCTCTGTGTAACCCTGCCTGTCCCGGAACTTACTCTGTAGACCAGGCTGGCCTCAAACTCACAGAGATCCACCTGGAATTAAAGGTGTGCACCACCACCATTTGGTTTGACCTTATTTTTTGAAAACAGGATGTTGGTGAACCTGGAGCTCAGTGATTTGGCTACTTTGGTTAAATAGCCAGCCAATCCTGGCTCTATTGTCTCCGCCCCTCCCCCACAGTGCTGGGATTACAGATGCTCACCCCTTGTCTGACTTGTACATGAGTGCTGGGGATTCCAAGGTTCTCAGCCTTGCCAAGCAAGTGCTTTACCTGCAAGCTTCTTACCAACTGGAAAACTTCACGAATGATGTATAGTGTGTGCTTAACTAATTAAACTACACCCCTTGATACAGTGGTGCTATTGTTCCATTCTTCTTGATTGTGTTACAAACCAAAACTAGTTTGATGTTCTGAACACTCTGCATAGGAACTCTGATTTTAAATCTTTTGTGAGGAGTAGTTTGTCACATAAATACTTGTGGAAACTTGAAATTGTCAATAAAATTAGTTCCTTACTTTTTAGTATAGGGCGTCTTCAAAATGAATAATAATGCGTAGTTTGTTACCAAGTCAGAGTTACATGTGGATTAAGGTGAACAAAGACTATGAAATTTTCTGTGCCTGTATTGAAATGAGCTTTGGTAAGAGAGTGGTCTCTAAGAATCATTTCCTAGCTCATTTTGTACATTGCAGGCACCAGAATCTTGACTGGAAACTTCATGTTGGACCACGAGGTCCAGAAATTCAATGGTTACCCTTTCTAGAACACCTCCCCTGATGAGAAGACATGGGGTCTGAATCACAGAATGGGAGTCTATCTTACTCCATCATCTTCCTTCCGTGTGACCTCAAGCTTCTGTGTTTCCTCATCTCTGAAAAGATGGAAATGATGGTTTCCTCCTCAAGGGTTGCTGTGAGAATTAAGTACAGTAACACACATAAAACACACGTCTTTGTCAATGTCATTGTCACATGAGCATTGTCATTGTCTTAGGAGGCGAGACAGTAACAAAGATGAAATGAGGTTGGAAGACCCGGTGTACTGTCTTTCCAAAGCTGAACTCCTGACTTTATGTAAAAGATGTTTGTATTGGGATAAAATTAAAGGGCTGGGACCATGTCTTGTACACAGTGAATTCTAAGCCATGTCCATTTCCAGGTAGAAGAGGCAGATGATTGGCTCCGACATGGGAACCCTTGGGAGAAGGCTCGCCCTGAGTTCATGCTGCCTGTGCACTTCTATGGAAGGGTAGAGCACACCCAGACTGGGACCAAGTGGGTCGACACCCAGGTAATCAGGTGTTCTCATGACAAGCATTACAACACAGTGGACATTGCCATCTATGATTCTCTGTTGTCATATTTTCTGGCGAATGACCCTATTCTCTACTGGGATGCCTTGTCCAGTCAGCACAGCTTCACTTGGTGTAACGCACACTTCATTTGCTTACTAGAAGTGGTCTCAGGCTGCTGTTTATCTTGGTCATTCTTCAGAACCAACTAAAACAATGCCCTTACATGGGAAATGTCTTGGCCTGTTTCAGCATGCCTGCCTTGTAGCTGATTTCTTTTACAACTCCTGGCTTGTGTTGCTAATCCTTAGAGATACATTCAAAGTTCAGAAAAGTAAGACTTGAAAGAAAAGTTTCCTCTCTGAATGTGAACTTCTGTGGCACATTACGTGACAGGTAAGGAACTAACCAAAACAAGTGATGTAGAGTGTACAATGGTGCTTTGACTTTAGTTCCTGCTTTGTTTATTTTGTTTCTTGTGTCTGGCCACAGTCTAAGTTGCACTGGGTCATAATTGCTTCGGTGTGAGCTATTAACATACCAGTTAACCCACTCTAAGAAGTTGCACACTTGTTTGGTATTAAACTAGTATGTGGCATAGAATTGGTGCCTGTAATTTCATTAGTTTCTAATCGACCCAAAATTATACAGCTTACACAATCGAGCCCAGAGGTGTTCTGTTTGTACTAGGGGGCCTGTTACTGAGCCGGTTTGTTTTTACAAAGCATCTTTGGATATTTTCGTATCGAATTCAGATATTCGATTACAAAGTACTCGTTTCTATGTGTAGAGAAGCAAGGCTGGGGGTCAGGGATGATGATATACACGAGCCAGCCAAAGCCCAGTAGGGCTTTATGGGTGAGAGGACCATTCACTGGATCAGGCCCACATTTGTAGCTGGTGAGGTCAGAGAGCATGAGGTTGGACACGCTCTGAGCTTGCGGGTAATGACTTCAAACAAGGGAGCTGTTTGTTCGCTATTGTGTAACTCAGGCTGGAAGCGCGCACCAGAGAGAATTAGCTGTGGTGGGGACGTGTGGGAGCGAAAGGAGGGAGGCAGCAGGATGTGGGGGTCTTCATGGTACAGGGGTGCCACCTATGAAAGGGAAGGGGAAGGAAGGGTCTTCAGCAAAGCGTGAGGCTGCACACTGCTCTGAGGGAGTGGTCACGCTGACGCACACCTGTTGGGAATGCTGTCATGTTCCAAACCTGTTGGCGCATCCCAGAAATGACACACAGCCTCAGGGTGAACTGTGAAGGGCCAAGTTCTCTCTGAAGCCCCCGAAAGGAGATTCAAGCTGGGTGATCCTTGGACTGCCTCTGTAACGCCAGGAGGAGCAGAGGGCAAGTCTTATTTAAACCTAGAGTCGTTCCCAATATACAAATGACACCTCCTGATTGGTGACAGTTGGTTTAAAAAAAAAAAAAGAAAGACCTTTACTTCTTCGTGAAAGATATTCAAGTAAGAGTGATTTATTACATCAAGGTCCCGGTGAGTGGGTTGAACCAAATGGTGGATCGTTTTCTTCCACACAGTCATCCTGCCGTTCTCCCTCCTTGAACCTTGGTTCTGATGAGATGAAGAATGAAAAATGGGTCATTTTTCATGTGAATTTTAAATGTCCTGCGAAACGGTTCACTTTCCTGTCTGTCTGAATGGCTGTCACCAAGATGGGGCTAGATTTCCCAAAGCTGACATCTTGAACCCAGCTCAGCTAAATATCGCCTGACTTGACAGATCACTATAGGAGTCTCTAAAACAGCTTCTTACAGCATCAAAGAAGCCGGCTAGTGCATTTTAAATGCCTCGTGTGGTGAGCCTCCATTGCTTCCCTGTTCTGTTGAATTTTAGCATAGTAGACATCAGGTTGTTGAGTGATCCACACAGAGCCTGCCCTGACTGCTGCTGCCCTTCAGGGGTCTCACTCATGTGTGTCATCGTGGTTCATTATCTTCAACCACAGCAGTCCATTCCATTCCGGTGCTGTAGAGTACTTTCTCGTCAGGACCGCCATCCCCCCAAGTAATGACACAGAGACTTATTATTAGTTATGGAAGCTTAAGCTTGTTCCCAACTAGCTCTTAAGACTTGCATTAACCCATTTCTATTAATCTACATTCTGCCATGTGGCTTCATTTTGTTTGTCCAAATCCTTCCATGTCTCACTGGTGTCTCTCACCAGCCTAGATTCATCCCCACAGTCCTCTCTGTCCTGAAAGTCCCGCCTAACCTCTTCCTGCCTAGCTATTGGCCATTCAGTTCTTTATTAAACCAATCAGAAGGTGTCTTGGCAAAGAGGCTTCTTCACAGTATACAAAAAGATTATTTCACAACACAGCGCCCCTCCTTCAAGGAAGGGGCACTCGGGAATTCAGCATAGAAATACTATGAGGGATCAGCAGTCCCATGACTTCCAACACTCCCTTTCGTCCCGAGACACACTTCTTGGTTCTAACTTACGCGATGTTAACATGTGATGCAGTCAGGAATAGAGTTCTATCGCAGTCCCAGACATTGTTCAGCTTCCGTCATCACTCCGGAGAAACTGTGTGCAGCTGCTGCTGTTTAATCCCACAGGTGGTCCTGGCCCTGCCTTATGACACCCCGGTGCCTGGGTATATGAACAACACGGTGAACACTATGCGCCTCTGGTCAGCTCGAGCACCGAACGACTTTAACCTGCAAGACTGTACGTACAGCCTAGTCTCTGCTTTGTCTACACTGACTGCATAGTGATGGCTGGTTAGAGACAATTGAGGCTGAGAAAGCCTTGAGTTCCTGATTTATGATCTTCAGTGACTGAGAAGGCTTCTTTATGACTGATTGATTGATTGATTGATTGATTTTTGGAGATAGGGTGTCACTATGTAGCCTTGACTACTGGTCTGGAAATTGCTAGGTGGACCAGGCTGGGCTTGAATATGCAGAGATCTGCTTGCCTGTGCTTCCTGGGTGCTGGGATTAAAGGCGTGCACCACCATGCCTGGCTAAAATGGTATTTTTTTTTTCTGCAAGTATGGAAGACATTTTTTTAAAGCCTTGAACTCTCGGGAAGGCCAGTGTTAAAGCTTATTGAAACCTTTCTAGATTTTTAGAAATCTTAGGAATTGTGCATGGTGGGACATCAGATAAGATCAAGGGACTTGCTCCAACGGTAGCTGGCTTGTCTCTTTATGGTTTTTCTACATTCCTTTCAGTTAATGTTGGAGACTACATTCAGGCTGTGCTGGACCGGAACCTGGCTGAGAATATCTCCAGAGTGCTCTACCCCAATGATAATGTGAGTGACACAGACCCAGTTTAGACAGCTTGCTTCCCAGAGCCTCTCCAGTGACCTGTGAAACCCTGTGCAGGGTAAACTGTGTCCCTTCTGTCACTTTCCCCTCCCAATCAAGTAAGGAAAACATAGTTGTATAATTCACAAGATCAATTTGGTGTTTTGCTTTGACTAGTGGCCCCTTCAACTGAGAAGATCCATAGATGTATTTCAAAAACAGAACCTGAATATAAAAGATGAATGAAATGCTAAGAAAGACTGGTTTTGTTTCCAGATAGAAGCTTCACTGGAAAAGTTAGAATTGGGGATGCTCCCTTCCTGGTCTCCTCTCCCATGCTCACCAGGTTCTTCCTAGCTTTCTGTCCCCAGGCTGAGGGAGGCCATAGTGGTCCTAAGATCAGACCCATGAACTTTTCTGCCACCAGCTTTTCCTATATCCAGTTGTGCTAATGCTACTCTAAAAGCTATGTCTGTCTATCTGTGTATGTACAAGCATGTATGCACCATGACGTATATGTGGAGGTCAGAGAATAACCATGGATGTCAGCCTTGCCTTCTGCCTCTTTTGAGATGTTCTCTCTCTCTGTCTCTGTCTCTCCCCTCCCTCCCTTCCCTCACCCCCCTCTCTCACTGTTGTTGTTGCTGTCCACTGCTCTGTATACCAGGCTAGCCCTTGAGCTTCTGGGGATTCCCCATGTACCTATAAGAGCACTGGGACTACAGACCACTCCCACTCCCAGCTTTACAAGCCTGCTGGAGATTCGAACTCAGTTCCTCACATTCTCACGACAAATGCTTTACATTGAGCCTTCTCCCCAGTTTTGGCTTTGTTTATGAGACAGGATCTTGTATCCAACCCTGGATGACCTGGAGCTCACTAAGTCAGCCAGGCTAGACTTAAACTCTCAAGGTTCCTCCTGCGTTTGCCTCCAAGTGCTGGGATTACAGATGTGGACCAGTGTGGCCAGCTTAACAATTTAGTGTTTGTTTGTGTACAACTACATCTGCAGTGGCCACTGCAAATTCTTAGTTGATTTAAGCATATATATCTCCAACTTTTCTATGGTTAAAATCGTGTTCTTGAAGATGCAATGATTCTTCCTGAAAGGGATTTCAGAAGCAGCCAAATTTGTACTCTCCTTGACAACAATGGACTCTCCTTGGACTCTGGGAACCAGGATGCAAGTTAGGCTGAATGTTTACTTGGTGATGAACCGTGCACTCTGAGAGGGGAGGAGATGGATTTGCTGCAGCACTTTTGGAACCCAATGATGTATGTTATTTTTCTTTTGGAAAAAGACAGTACTGTCAGTACATTTCAGAGAAGTCACTAACCCAAGAACAAAAGATTGTTGCCTTTAATGGACAGAATAAGAATTGTCTAGGTCTGCAGTCTTCTGCCAGCCAACCCCAGGCCTGTGGAATTCTATAACTGGAAGGGGCTGCCTTCTGTCAGAACCAACCCTGGCTTGACCTGGAATACTCATGTATAGTAATCAGCACGGTGTATTAAGTTAGCATGAGATTTAAAAAAAGGACAGGACTCTTGGGTTAAAGGGTTAAAGTAGTCCTCAAGATACTCTCTTGGTATTGCTTTGTTTTTTCTGAGTGGGTCCAATTTTGTGTGTGTCCTGTGATTATAAAAGCAAATTCATTTTTCTTCCTAAATATGGCCATAGCCTGACTTTAGCCTTTCTTCCAAGAATCTTACTGCTCTCCTCACTCTGTGTCCAGAGAGCTGTGTGGGCTACTTAAGGCCACGAGAGGCTTCTGACCATGGAAAGGGTGACATAGAGTGGGAGGAATGCCTGACTTCCTCCCAAACTGGTGGCAGTTCTCTGACTCTCCCATGACCGTGCTCAGCATCCAGTGACCACCCTGCTCCTTCTGTACCCATTGAGAACCTCAAGAACTACTCTACCATCAGGCCAAGAGGTGGCTTTTTGGATCTTTGGGCTTGATGTTTCTTGCCTTCAGAGGGGTTTACAGGGCTGGAGGGATGGCTCAGGAGTTAACAGGGACTGCTCTTGCAAAGCACGGGGGTTCTATTCCTGTGGCCGACAGTCAGATTACACCACCTGTAACTCTGACTCCTGGGGATCTGATGCCCTCCTCTGGTCCCTGTGGGTACTGCAGCCACTCGGGAGGCAGACGCAGGTGGATCTCTGTGAGTTTGAGGACAGCCTGGTCTACAACGAGAGTTCTAGGACAGCTAGGGCTATTACACAGAGAAATCCTGTCACAAAACAAACAGACAACAACAACAAAAAAAAACCCCCACAAAATTATATAAAGCTTACTTAAAAAGAAAGCCAGAATGTTACTGTTGTCACTCCTAACCTCTTTATCTTTTAGCTGAACACCCTCCCTCCCAAGAGCCCTTGCCTGCTGTCATTTGCTTTTCGGGGAAGCAAAGGTTGATTCTTTTTCATTCACCCTGCCTCCTCTCAGTGCCTTAATGTTCCCGAGGCAGGGGACCCTGATCCCATTTTGGTCACAGCTCTACTGCAACCCGCTCTCACTCAGTCTCCCTGGTTGAAGTTTTTTGAAGGGAAGGAGCTGAGGCTAAAGCAGGAGTACTTTGTGGTGGCTGCGACCCTGCAGGATGTCATCCGACGCTTCAAGGCCTCCAAGTTTGGCTCCAAGGATGGCGTGGGAACCGCGTTCGAAGCCTTTCCAGACCAGGTGTGTGATCCGACTGTGGCCACGGGTGGTCCACAGCGGAGGACTTCCATCAGTTACCCTCTCATTCAAACCTTTCCCCGGAAGTGGTTCTCAACCCTCCTAACAGTAAGACCCTTTAACACAGTTCCTCATGGTGTGGTGACCCCAGCCTCAAAATGATTGTGTTGCTGCTTCACAACTGCAATTTCGCTACTGTTATGAATCCTAATGTAAATATCTGATAGGCAGGATATCCGATCTATGGTCCCCCAAAGACAGAATGGCTGATATGAGACCCCCCACCCCCAGGCCGTCATTCCCCTGCTCCATCGGTGTCTTTTCTCTACCCAGGTAGCCATCCAGCTGAATGACACACACCCTGCGCTCGCCATCCCGGAGCTGATGAGGATTTTTGTGGATATTGAGAAACTGCCCTGGTCCAAGGTCTGGATAGCCTGCTGCTTTATCTTTAGACCATTCAGAATACCTGGGTTGAGGAACACCTTTGAAAAGCTCCTTTGTTTCTTCCGTTCAAAATAAGTTTCTGTTGCTAGATTCCCACAATCCAAGGGTATAGTTTGCCCCAATGCCAACATTCCTCCATCCTCAGCATTTCACGGGGCATAAAATTAAAAACCGCCCTACACACAGCTGGAGGCTGGCAAGTACATTTTCTAGACCAGAAGACAGCTAACTAAAAGCACACCTCTCTAGCTTTGGGAGTCAGCATGTTGGATGTGTATGGGGGTGGGGCGCATCTGCTTGCGTGTAGAACAACCTCGGGTGTTGTTCCTCCAGGGTCATCCTGTTGTCCCTGTTTTATACTCTTCTTATCTTAGCTCTTTCGGGGGCCCACCACCCGGCTCCCAAACAGATCACTCACAGAGGCTTATTCTTAGTTATGAATGCCCAGCTTGGCTTGGAGTATTTCTTGACAGCTTTTCTTAAATTATCCTGTCTACCTTTTGCTTCTGGGATTTGACCTCTATTTCTGTATTTCTTTTCTTTCCCTTTTATTCCATGTCTGGCTGTGTGGCTGGGCGGCTGGGTAGCTGTCTGGCTGTCTGACTGGGTGGTTGTCTGGCTGGGCGGCTGGGCGGCTGTCTGGGTGTCTGGCTGGGGGACTGGGTGGCTGTCTGGCTGTCTGACTGGGTGGCTGTGTGGCTGGGTGGCTGGGCAACTGGGCGGCTGGCCCCTTCTTTCCTCACTTCTTGACCTTTCTTGCTCTCCCCTCCTCCAGATTTCACCTTCTGTTTATGCTCTCTGCCTGCCAGTTCCATCTATGCTCTCCTGCCTCGTTATTGGCCGTTCAGCTCTTTATTAGACCGTCAGGTATTTTAGACAGGCAAAGAATCACAGACTCACAGAGTTAAACAAATGCAGCATAAACAAAAACAACACATCTTTACATCGTTGAACAAATGTCCCAGAGCATAAACAAATGTAACACACCATAAAATAATATTCTACAGCATCATCCACCTTGTATTTTGAGACAAAGTCTCTTATTAGGCTGGGACTCACCAAATAGGCTGGGAGGTTGGTCGGTGAGCCCAGGGACCCTCCTGTCTCTGCCGCCTTCCCATGCTTTCATTGTGGACTCTGGGGATCAAACTCAGGTCCTCATGCTTGGGCACCAGCACATCAGTGACTGAGCCATGTCCCTGACCTGGGGACATTTGAAACAGACTTTTAAAATGCAGATTTTTTTTTTGGTTTTTTCAAGACAGGGTTTCTCTGTATTGTTTTGGAGGCTGTCCTGGAACTCGCTCGGTAGACCAGGCTGGCCTCGAACTCACAGAGATCCACCTGCCTCTGCCTCCCGAGTGCTGGGATTAAAGGCATGCGCCACCAACGCCCGGCCAAAAATGCAGAATTTTAAACATACTGTGAGTCCACTAAACATTACTTAAAGTTTTAGTGCCCAACTTTGAGTATTTGGTATTTCATAAATAAAAAGCAGGTTTATCAGGATAGTCTAATTTCTTATTATTACAGTTTTAGAAAAAAGCTTTTTATTTATTTCCCTGACCATTTGAAGACTCAGTGAAATCAAGTGTGCCTGACGGTGCCCGTTCAGAAACACCTGTGGCACACAGCGGGAGTTGAGAAGTGCTTGGCTCTGTGGGTGTGCACTGAAGGGACAGGGACTGACCCTCTCCTCCTGCAGGCATGGGAGATCACCAAGAAAACCTTTGCCTATACCAACCACACGGTGCTCCCGGAGGCGCTGGAACGCTGGCCGGTGGAGCTGGTGGAGAAGCTGCTGCCTCGACACTTGGAGATCATCTATGAGATCAATCAGAAGCATCTGGATGTGAGTCATTTTTAAAGATGCGTATCTCTCAGGAGAATGGGCTGTAACATGTCCGAGATCGGCACGGTGCTTGCCCTTCCTAAACAAGGCCTTGGTGTCTTTCAGGCGTTGCTAAAAGCACTCAAGTCTGAGTGGGGCTCTGTTAAACCCCGCCGCCCACCCCCCCACTCCCCCCCACCTCCCCACCCTCCCCACTCCCCCACCACCCCACCCCTGGTTTTGAAAGTGTAATTTGGAGGGCTGGCATTCCCACAGCCAGCTCTGCTCTCTGTGAAGGTCTCTCCTCCCTCCCCCTCCATCAGAGATTTTGCTTGGGGCGAGAGTCGCTACTCTGACCTATTTAAAACCCCAGTGGCCAGTGAGATCTGTGTCTTCCTTTGACTAGAGAATCGTGGCCTTGTTCCCTAAAGACATTGACCGCATGAGGAGGATGTCTCTAATCGAAGAGGAAGGAGGTAAAAGGATCAACATGGCCCACCTCTGCATCGTGGGCTGCCATGCTGTGAACGGTGTAGCCAAGATCCACTCGGACATCGTGAAGACCCAAGTGTGAGTAATGATCCTGGAGCAGCAGGCCTAACCGAGGTTCATGGACTCAACGGTGCTAATTATAATTAGCACTGATTGTGCTTCCAGATGAGGAAGGGCCTGGGACATGCTTCCAAGTATTGCCTTGTACATAGCTGTTTTCTTAAAAAAAAAGAAAGACAAAAATGGTTTCTCTGTGCCGCTCCAATTCTGGATGTACGAGCAAACGTGAAGTATTCTGCTGAAAAACGTGGTGTGTCTGTCACAGCCAGGAAGTCAGAAGAGGGTGGCTAGATTTGGGGCAGTTTTGAATTGCAAATGAGTCTCTTCTATTTAAAATGACAGCCTAGCTGCTGCCAACCTCCCTTCACCTTCACTGACTTTTCCTGGGCCTCCACATGGCTTCTGGAATGTAACGCTGAACTTTATCCAGCAAGCAGAACTCTGCCCATTTCAGCCCGAGCCAGAGGTTTGTCTCTTCTGTCTCCAGATTTAAGGACTTCAGTGAGTTAGAACCAGACAAGTTCCAGAATAAAACCAACGGGATTACCCCGCGGCGCTGGCTCTTACTCTGCAACCCAGGGCTGGCTGACTTGATAGCAGAGGTAAGAGGAGGCGCTGAGAGGAAGGCGGGTGGGTAACAGGCTGAGGTTAGCAATTGAAAGCACAGGGATGCCACACATCCTACCGTGGCAGAGCCGGCTTCTGAGTGAGTGGCCCGTGCTTTTGCGCAGGGCCATCTTCTTTTGTTTAATTTTACCTTTAGTTATGTGCTCACGGGAGGGGTATGTACCCATGGGTGCAGGTACCCGTAGAGGCCAGAATAGGGTGTCACATCTCCAGAAGCTGATGTCACGGCCAGTTGTAAGCCTCTCTCTGGGCGCTAGCAACCAAACTCAGGTCCCCTGTAAAAGCAGTATGTTCTCTTAATCACTGAGCCATCCCTTCAGCCCCATCTTGAAATTCTTCCATTTTGAACAAGGACTACACAAATTACATAGCTGTCATGGCCAACAGTGTCTGTGTTCGCCAGTAACAAAGGTCAGAAGCATAACAGAACCTTGGCTCTTGGTCACCCTCACCCTCGTATGTAAACTTCTTATATTAAAGTTCTTCCCACATAGAAAGTCTACCTTCTTTTGTGAGCAAAACAAGCCATTGTGTGAATTTTTGGGCATGAGAGTCGCTTCCATACACTGGCAAAAACTGCTGTGATGGGTGTGATTACTGTCTCAAATTAAGATCACCTTTTCCTCTACATTGCTAGAAAATCGGAGAAGACTACGTGAAAGACCTGAGCCAGCTAACAAAGCTCCACAGCTTCGTGAGCGACGACCTCTTCCTCCGGGAAATAGCCAAAGTGAAGCAGGTGCGACCACCTGCCAGGCCAGGGTCTCTGCCCTCGCCTTGGAGTTGAGGGTGTGGACTCCAGCAGACACCCAAGGCTTCCAACTGAGAGGGCTCTGGCCTCTTCGCTCTCCACAGGAAAATAAGCTGAAGTTCTCCCAGTTCCTGGAAAAGGAGTACAAGGTGAAGATCAACCCATCGTCCATGTTTGATGTCCACGTGAAACGGATCCACGAGTACAAACGGCAGCTCCTGAACTGTCTGCATGTGATCACCATGTACAACCGTGAGTTTGCCTGGAGCTCTCCCTCCAGCCCCCGGAAGCTCCTCTTGGGGGTGGAAGCAGCAGTCTTGAGGTCCCTGTACCTCCACACCAGTCATCTGTATCAATGTCCCCATCTTTTGAAGGCATCAAGAAAGACCCTAAGAAGTTATTCGTGCCGAGGACAGTCATCATTGGTGGCAAAGTAAGCTGACTGAATTTCATGGGGACTTAGGGTCTCTAGTCTCTCGCTACATTCTTTCTTCATTGACCGGGTCTTCTCTCCACACACTGTTCTTCTTTCCCAAGGCTGCCCCCGGATATCACATGGCCAAAATGATCATAAAACTCATCACCTCTGTGGCAGAAGTGGTGAACAATGACCCCATGGTCGGCAGCAAGTTGAAAGTCATCTTCTTGGAAAATTACAGAGTGTCTCTTGCTGAAAAAGGTAGTGTTCTCATTGCCAAGCATCGGGGAGGGGAGGGACAAAATCTGGGCTTGTGCCGGGGAGAGATGGGGCAGCTGACTCCAGGGAACTCGAGTCACGGCATGGGAGGAAGGGCTGCCATTTGTTCATGTTGTGACAGCGAATGAGGACAGACATGAGGCTGCCAAAGAACAAGCTGAGTGCACTCCAGAATCAAACACAGAGTTCCTACACAGGGACGAGCAGGCAGGCAGCCAATGCCCCTTTCTCTACCACTGGGGCCTTTCTTACTCACAATTCATTACCGGCAGAGGAACCACCACCAGCCAATGCCAATCGTGTATTCACCTACTTCCCAGACTGAAAAATGCACAAGTCAGCTTTCTCTTTGTGGTATTTTGGGGTCCTGTGGGGTCACCGCTTAAATACCTCTGCATAAAGAAAAAAGGAGCCAGGCTCCTAAAACTACAGATGGGGACAAATCTAATCCACAAATGAGCTCTCAGACAAGGCAGACTCAGGCTTGACCTCTACGGTGAAGGGACTTGGGGGGGGCGGTCAGGCAGGTCTGATTTGGGTATACGTGAAGCTGAACTTGAATGCCTAGCCCAGGCACAAAACACCTCAATGGCAGTGACAGTGAAAGGGGCAATAGGAGAAGTGGAATAGTTCAGTCCCCTGAAAAAAGAAGAGTTAAAGAAAGATCTGGGAATTATATGGGCCAGAGAGCAAGTGAGCTCTGTCCTGTACTACTGAAGGAGTACCAGGGTATTCTCATGGTCGTGAGGTCAACAACAGGCCAGCTCCATCAATGCTCACACTAAGGACCCAGAGAAAGAGAATCATCATACTGACATGGCCTGCTTACAGTCATTCCAGCCACAGATCTATCGGAGCAGATCTCCACGGCGGGCACGGAAGCCTCCGGGACAGGCAACATGAAGTTCATGCTCAACGGGGCCCTGACCATCGGGACTATGGATGGGGCCAACGTGGAGATGGCAGAGGAAGCCGGGGAGGAGAACCTGTTCATCTTTGGCATGAGGGTAGATGATGTGGCCGCTTTGGACAAGAAAGGGTGAGAGCCGCTCCCCTTTGCCAAGCAGGTCACCCCCAGGAAGGGACATCATCTCCAAGGGTTTGCTGCCTGCTCGCGAAGGCATCATCACTCTGAGGCCTGATCTCATGAGATGCAGAGACAGAACGTTTCCCTTGAGGAGTCAAGACATGCTAGTCACAGCTAGCCTTAGTTACTCAGCCAGGGTAACGAAAGGATGCTCAGGGCAGATTTATGGGCAAGTTGCCATGGTTACCAGCCACAGCAGTTTAGTGAGCCTTGCAGCTTCGTGTATCTGTGTTTCGTTTTGTTTTGTTTTTTTTATCAAAAGAGAAAGTAATAGCTTCTCAGATGTTCTTGTCAATAAGTTAAATTGAAACCTGGTGCTCCTTTAAGAGCTCTGAGTGATGGACCAAAATATGGCACAGCATAAAGAGATGTGCCTTAGCAGTGTTTACTCTCATTTAATATACAGTTGGGTTTATTAACCTGAGTTCAAGCAGGACTCCAAAGGAGCTTCAGGAAATTCAGAGGGTACTAAATATACTTTCTGACCCTTAGAAGTAAAGTTCACTCAGTAGCATCAGGTCTTATGAATCCAAAAGTATTTATGGATCCAAAGAAAGCAGCTAGTTCCCTTCACACCATGCTCTTTAGAGCCTTAGTCTACTTTAAAATGAACCTTACCGAATTCTATCAGATTAGACTAGAATTTTTCTTATCTACCATTCTTAATGCTTCTGATTATGAGGATGAATCAGTTGGGAGGGTATAAATTAGGATCTAGTATTATACCCATGTGAAATCTAGCAATTTATATAAATGCTGGTGTTTCTGTGTTTTACAGCGAATGAGCTATCCGCTGTGCTGCTCATCACACACACTAATGCAGCCTTTTCTCCCACCGTCCACCCATTCTTTGCCATAGGTATGAGGCAAAAGAGTATTATGAGGCCCTTCCAGAACTGAAGCTGGCCATCGACCAAATTGACAACGGCTTCTTTTCTCCCACTCAGCCTGAGCTCTTCAAAGACATCATCAACATGCTGTTTTATCATGACAGGTGGGCTCCTACGTGGTCTGGCTTGATGCGTGAACATGGGGCAAAAACATCTCAAACTAGTAGCAACACACTTGTGTAATTTAGAACAGACCAGTGTGATCTGATTGACTAGCAGAAGCTTGGGGGCGGGACATCCTCCACAAGTGGTTAAGGCTTGAGAAAAGACTCAAATCTTGTGCTCGTTTTCCCTTTCCAATGATACATTCAGCTCTCACACATATGTGCATGGCATAATTGCATGTGGGAACCACATTCTTGTTGGCAAGCCGGGCATGCTTGCAGTCAGCAAAGGAGGATATAAATCGGAATCTCTGTTCATGAGTGTGCTCTGTCTGTTCCCTTCCAACCTCGCAACACAAAAAACCAAATGCAGGTTTAAAGTCTTCGCAGACTACGAAGCCTACGTCAAGTGTCAAGAAAAAGTCAGTCAGCTGTATATGGTGAGTATGTGACGGGTTTTAAGTAGGTTGCTACAGTTCCTTGTTTTCTTTTTATGAAATCTAAATAGCGGAGCCCCATCGACCAATCAAGCCTAGGGTGGCTTGTAAGAATACCTGCCTAGTACTCGAAAGGCTCTGACAGCCTCCCCCCACAGTACCACCAGAAGGAAGAAAAAAGAGAAGAGATGCACAGTGAAAGAACTTTGCAGATGTGCAGATCAAAGTCTGTCTTTTTCCAGTTTATAAGACACACCGGGAGGCCTGTTCCAGATGTTGGGATTTGAGGAAAATCACCAGAGATTTGTGTTCATCAAGCACCTACTGTGTAGTAGGCCTGTCCCAGAAACTCAGGATACAGGCCTCAGAGGTGTGAGGGTCTTCCCTTGCTGAGCTCAGCTCCTCTTCTCTCAAGCAGCCTGTAACCCTAGGTTTCTTTTTTCTTTTCCTGTTTTTTTGTTTTGGTTTGGTTTTTGGTTTTTTTTTTTTATGACCAGGTTTCTCTGTAGCTTTGGAGACTGTCCTGGAACTTACTCTGTATACCAGGCTGGTCTCGAACTCACAGAGATCTACCTATCTCTGCCTCCTGAGTGCAGGGATAAAAGGCATGCACTACCACCTCCAGGCCTAACTCCAGATTTCTTTTTCTTTTTTTTCCTCTGAAGTAGTTAATTTCTTTCATTTATTTTTTACATTCCAATCCTGGTTCCCCTCCCTCCTCTCCTCCTACCCCCTCCACTCCTCCTCCTGCTCCACAGAGAGGGTAAGGCCTCCCCTAGGAAGTCTACTAAGTCTGTCCCACCTCTCCACCCCACACCCCTGTGTCTAGGCTGAGCAAGGTATTTCTCCATACAGAATGGGCTCCACTAAGTTAGTTTGTACATTAGTGTTAGGTCTTGGACCCACTGCAAGTGGCCTCATATATTAAGGGAGTCTAGTTCAGTCTTATGCAGATTCCTTATTTGTCAGTCCAGAGTCAGTGATCTCTCACTAGCTGATTCTGTGGCTTTCCCCATCATGGTCTTGACTCCTTTGTTCATATTTTTGCTTCTCCCTCACTTTAATTGTCTCCAGGAGCTTGGTCCATTCGATTTCTGCATCTGCTTCCATCTGTTTCTGGAAGAGGGTTCAAGCTTCTCTGGGGTTATGGATTGTAGGCTGGGTATCTTTTGCTTTATGTCTGGTATCCACTTTGAGTGAGTACATACCAGATTTGTCTTTCTGGCTTTAACCTTGGATTTCTTAACCAAAAGTACATATCACAGTCACCAAGGCTGTTGTTTCAAAATACAGGTGACAACTTACCCTTCACCCACAATGATCTGATCAGCAGTGGTAGAACCCGCCATTGATATTTTGAAGCACTTGCCAAGATTATTACAGGACTGAGTCACAGTTTAGTTGGATAAGAACTGACCTGATATTCTCTGAAAACTGAAAAGTAATACCTTCCCTGGACAGTCTTGTGATGGAGCCAGGTCACTAGAGCATAAATGTATAGAAGGAAGAGAGGGTTATATATGACTGTAAGAAAAACCTAGAGCTTTGTGAATAAGCCTCACATGCAGTCCAATAACCCTCCAAGCATGTCTTGCAAAAGCACGGAAGGGTCAGCAGAGGAACATGCTCTGAGCAGACTCCAGACAGGCTTGACGAGCATGCTTTCCCATTCCCTTCTCAGGGCAGGCGACAAGCCAGATCAGCACATAGGTCACCCCCGGCAGCCCTTGGGGTTGTGAGATGAGACCCTTCAAAGCCTGTGCCGCCCTGCAGCCAGCCCTCAGCCTCTAGGTTGAGTCAGATGAGTCCCCTAGCAGAGCATAGACCCACGTTCAAGTCAGTGGCTGTGAACAGGGGAGCAAGCGCTGCTACGGAGCTCACTGCCCACCTCCTGAACATGGAGGACAGCCCATGCAGCCCCAGGACTCGGGCGAAAGAGAGCAGCAGCCCGGAGGAATAGAAACCAGTCAGAACAGGGAAGGGAAGCATGAACAAAGGCGAGGACTGACTCAGGGACAGTTAGACACAGGGGGGCGTCTGTTAAAGGTAAGCCCAAATCCAAAGACTGTCCATCGGGAGTGCAGCGTTCAGGTCCTTCCTGCCTGTCATTCCTGCAAACTGCGGCTTTCCACTCTACATGGTAACTGCATTGCTGAGCTTTAGTGGACATGACCTGCATAGCTAGGAAGCCTACTATCCATTTCAATCGTTGTTCTTATTTTTATTTATTTATCTTATTTTTTTTGGGTTTTCCAGTCAGAGTTTCTTTGCATAGCGTTGACTGACCTAGAACTAACTCTGTTAGACCAGACTGGCTTCGGACTCACAGAGATCCTCCTGCCTCTGCCTCCTGAGTGCTGGGATTAAAGGTGTGTGCCACCACCTCCTGGCTTGTTTTTATTTTTATGTAGAAGTCTCTAAGACTGAGTGAGCTGTGTGCTCCATTTTGGCATAGCTTAGGGTATGATGACAGTTCAATTTTTTAAAAAAAAATTTCCTAATGTGTTAACAACTTTGAAGAGATTCCAACAAACTCACAGAGATCTTTAAGAAAAAATAAGAAGCTGTAAGTTAAATGTTTATGTTCTTTTACAAAATATAAAATTTTAGCTATTTTTGATTGAGAATAAAACCTTAGTTCACCCTATTTTGAAGCCCCAGGGGAGTTGTGGGGATTCAGAACAAACCTAATGGGGCATAGGCCTTCAAAAGGACGAAGGAAAGCTAAGTGGGTTAGCCCAGCTTTCCATTGATGTTAGATAATGTTCCCTGGTTTCCAAACTTTTTAAGTCACAGGTTAAACATCTTTGAATGGATACTGAGTATTAGTCCCTTTTCCTCTCTTTAGGTGGAAGAAAGGTTGTCCCATTTATTTTTAAGATTTATTTTTATTTTATTTATGTGAGTGGATGCCAAGTGTATGCAGGTACCCATTGAGGCCAGAAGAGGTAATTGGATCCCTTGGAGCTGTAGTTCCACGCAGTTATGAGCCACTCAGTAGGGGTGCTGGGAACTGAACTCAGGTCCTCTAAAGGAGTAACAGATGCTACTAACCTCGGAGCCATCTCTCCATCCTAGGTCTTTCCGTCTATAGTAACACATGAAAAATATGGCTTGCATGCTAAAACACTAGAACCCTAGTAGGATTACCAATTAGAGAATTCTCATCCGCAGATTTCCATTCTGTCTCTCTCCCTCTCTTTCTCCTCCCCTCCCCCCTCATCTCTGTCCCTTTTTCCTGTTCCTCTCCCCTTTCTGTCCCCTGTCCCTCTCCCTGTCCCCACACCGCCCCCCTCGTGTTCATACTGTTGCTCTCACTCGCCTGTTTCTCACCAGAGAGAGAGAGAGAGAGAGAGAGAGAGAGAGAGAGAGAGAGAGAGAGAGAGAGAGAGAGTGTGTGTGTGTGTGTGTGTGTGTCTGTGTAGCCCAGGCTGGGTTTCATCTTGAGATCTTCTTGCCTTAGCCTCTTTCAAGAGGCTGGGATTACAAGCATCTACCACCATGCTATGCCCATGGTTTCCCTTAAAATGAAAACAAATTTTCATCCCTAAGAGACATAGACTCTGAATGTGAAGAAAGTGTAGTCTGCTCTCGCCGGCTGTCAGCAGAGCAAATGCATTTATAAGTCACCCTAGGTTGTTCCTGTCATTTCTTCTATGAAGTGTGTTTGGCCTGGTGTTTGTCAAAGCGTGCCAGGCACGCAGACCCTGTACGTGTTTGTTATTCACAGAATCAAAAAGCCTGGAACACGATGGTACTCAAAAACATAGCTGCCTCGGGGAAATTCTCCAGTGACCGGACAATTAAAGAATACGCCAAGGACATCTGGAACATGGAGCCCTCGGATATGAAGATTTCCCTATCCAACGAGTCTAGCAGAGGCATCAACGGGAAGTGATAGGAAAATGTCTCTCAGAAAGGAATGACTGCTCATTGAACTTGAATATTTTTATAGCTTTGTTGATTCTGTTTTGTTATTGAACAATTAGTAATTAGTTAAGTGTCTTTGGGAATGGGAAAGGAAAATGTATGGCTGTATTAGAGATGAAAAATAAAATGCAAACTTCCAGCTGTCACTCAGTAGCCTGCTAGGATTATTTTCCTCAAAAGTAATCAGATAGCCGGAAAACTGCTTGGAACTATTCAAGGCCATTTGAAGGAACCAAGGTCAATTATTTCCACTGGTGTCAGAGTCCAAGCTCCAGGCTGCTATCTCGGTCCCTTTATGCTGTCATAGCAGAAGGTGCTAATCTAGATAACTTACAAACAACATAAATTTAGTCTCACAGATGAGAGAAAGCCAAGTACAAGGGGCTCATAGGTTCAGTCTGGGGAGAAACACTTTCTGGTTCCTAAATGGTCCCTTCCCTAAATGGTCCCTTCTCATCCATCTGGACCGACGCTGGAATTTGTACACTAGTAGCCACCTTACAAATATCCCAGCAGCTTTCATAAGTGGACATTTATAAATGAGATCAGGTTGTATTAAATTCTGATTCTCCACACTGAGGATTTGGCGTGGTTCTCCAGGCAGACGATGATGAACTAAAGAACATTCTGTGCAGCTTTCTTTATTGATGGCAGGTGGCCTGTGGAAACATCAGGGGCTTTGGCTCACTCAAGTAGCTCAAAGAAACCACACAGCTCCGGTGACTTGTACCCCATCTTCCCTGGCGATGTCCGCTCCTCCAGGCCCTCATGCCCACTGCTGGCTCAGGAAGTCTCTGCAGAGAGAAGGCTTAGGTCAGCTCACACTTGGTCTGAATTATGTCTGCCCTGGCGCTGTGGCAGCACAGCTAACTGAGTCACAGTTAGCAAGGGTAGCTCTCACCTCACGCTTCTCAGGAGCAAGGGGCTTTTACAAAGAAGGTTGTGATGGAAGCCTGGGGGGAAGACAACCATTTTGACCCTGTCTTTGTTCCTGTAGGCATTGCGTGCAATTTCATACAGCTGGGGGAGAAGCGAAAGACAGAGTCAAAGGCGGCGATGCCCAGCCGCAGATCTCCTAGTCTGACTTCCCTAAAAGGGAGAGGAACTTGGGGAGTCTCTTGTCAAGTCAGGCCCTAGGGACCCTCAGGTCCTCCGTTGGCCGTTTCTACAGCCAAGAACCAGAATGCCCATGACTAATAGAAATACTGATGAACCACCCTTCCCCTCACCACACCTCACCACAAAGACTCTAAGCGTCGCTATGGGCCCATGCCAGCATGGGTTTGTTTAAAGGGAAACCTCTAGAGGTAACACAGGGGTCCCACTTAGCCACAGACCCCAGGTGAGGGGCCAAGGTCTATCCCTACCCAAAACTCCTTCACACTAGTATCCAGGGTACAGATGCTCATATAGATCAGGGAACGTGACTCTTTAGGAGTGTAGATCGTCCCTATGGCAGTGACCTTTGACCTCTAATCAAAGGTCGGCCAGGTGAAGAAATGGTAGAGTTCTTGGGCTACCTGTTCTCCACACTCCAGAGGCACTGTCCTGTCGTCTTCTCCATGCAAGATGAGGAGCGGAGAGGACAGGAACTTCACACTAGGAGAAGACAGGAGAAGAACACCGAGCCGACGCCGTCAACCTGGGCGCTTACGGTACCATTTTAGGGACGCGTGACATTTGCCCAAAGCACAAAAAAGAAAATCTCCCTCCCAAGGAGTCACAGCTTTGTGTGTATAAAACTTCACCTAGTAGCCAATTTATCCATGTCTCCCTCTGTTTGATTCGCTCGAACAATTGAATTGAGTTAATTAATTCACTTCTGTGTGATTTTTAATAATACTAAACAAAATACACATTGAAATAATGGATTTGCATGGCATTAGTAGACCTTATCTTTTTCTTTATTATACTCCATTGTGTGATGCCTGAATTATTTTAATTAAAAGTCTACAAAATAGGGAGATAGCCCAGTGGATAAGAGTACTGGCTTCTTCCAGTTGGCCCCCTATAATAGGTCACAACCATCTGTTTAACTCCAGTCCCAGGGGATCTGGCTCCCTCTTCTGGCCATCTTGGGTACTGGTGCACAGACACAGTACCCACACTCATAAGATTAAAATAAATCTTTAAAATTCTACAAAACAAAAGAACTCAAAAACAACAAACCACCACAGAACCTGGGAACTTCTTGTAGCAATTTATTTACTTCTCCCCATAAAAATAGCATGATGCGCAGTCCCAGGCGTGATTAACTACCTAGCCAGCCCAGTTTGATGATACAAAAGGTTGCAGGTATGTACAAAGACTTCCTCAGACGCTTCTGTATCCTTCCAAATTCATCACTAGAGGTTACTGCTCAGAATGCTAGCTTTCCTCCAGTTCTGACATGGGAAAAAGGATAAATTAACAGCTGCCTATTTGGAAGTGTCCTTCCTTTATTTCTAATCATTGTGTCTATTGCTGGGTGGGTTGATTAGTATTACCTGGATTTGGGCTACATGGAAAATAAGATCTAGCAGTCAGGGGGGAGTCAGGGACCCCCATAGACTGTTAGACTCGACCACAGCAGTCTTTCACAGGGCATCTTTACAATATCAGAGAATGTACTGGATTGGAGAAAGCGTTCAGTTGGATAAGGAGAATGTGTAGAAACCAGAAACCCTGCCCATGTCCTAGAACTAACATGGAATTCAGAAAGAAGAAAGGCCAATACCCAGGCTCTCATCTAGTATGCCATGGGGGTACTCAGGAGCGAGAGCAAGCATCTTGGTTTGCTTACTTTTGATCATTGGGGTAGACTATTTTGTCTTCTTTAAGGGCATCCATAAGCGTTCTTAAACATCCTGGTAGCTTCTTGTAAATCTGTTTTTAAAATAGAGAGACCAAAGGTGTTAGCGCTTGTCCCACAGCCGTCCAGAACGCACAGTCGCAAGGTGTCAGAACAATTTTTCCAAGCCGGCATACAACTTGTTACATCCTCTCATTCTGAACCCTAAGTAATAACAGAATAGCCACCCTCTAGCTACACTGACCCTTAAGAAACACTTGAGGATCTTCAAAAACAGTTCCTGTAATTGAAGAATCTGGAGGGAGGAACCAGAAATGAGCAGATACACAAGCCACATGCCAGTTCTACCATTAAAGAAAACCACTGTTAACATTTGGTTGTGTCTTCCTATGGTGCTTCATTTTAAATACATGTGTCAGTCAAGTTCCTATCCCTCTGCTCACAAGGGAGCAGGACTACACAAAATCTAAAATTTGCTTCTACTGCAGGCAGACTTATCTAGTTCGTTTAGGGCTTGTGAACTAATTATGTGATGACATGATCACAGCTTTGAAAGGTAGACTAAGCTCCTACTCTGTTTACTGCAGATAGTCATGAGAGAGGAAATTCAGTGTGCACCCAATGCCAGTCGGTGTATTTGGGGTCCTGTGGTCCCCAAATCTGAAATGTTTTTTTAAAGCATCATAGTAACAAACTGCTTTCAATCGTTTAGAGTGCTCAAATCCTGCCCAAGCTCGGGGTCAGCCTGGCCTGCACATTTTCCAGCTCTCCGAGACTGATCTGCATGCAGGTGCGGGCCGGCTATGTCACACTGCCTCCCCTGTCTTCTCCCTCCGGGTCCCGCTGAGGGCAAGTTGCTAGGTTTGTTTTCTTTTCTTTGTTCCCTGATTTCCCCGTCCTGGAACTGGGACTCATGGGAGGAAAATTCAATAAGAGAACCCCCGTCAGCAATTCATCTCAAATTCTGAAGGAGTAAGAAGAAAGCAGACCCAAGCCAATCTTCTCCCATCATCCCTCACTCCCTACCAGGGGAGATGCCCTCTGAGACTAAAAGGTCACATGGTCACCCCCAGCCCAGACCACAAAGGCAGACTCTTAAATGGTCTTCCCGCGGCCCCTTCTCTGTAATAACACCAGATAATCATTCTTAAAATGCCAGTGGAATGAAAGCTGCCATCTCCAACCTTCAGGGGTGCCATACGACATGCTGAAACACTCACTCCTCCTAGCTTAGCTGGGAGCCATCCACATGTGCCCCAGGCTTTGCTGCCAGAGGCTGCTCGCCTGTTATCTGGAGGATGCAGGTGATAACTGGACTAGCCTCTCTCTAAGCCTTGCTTTCCTGCCCCTGTGAGCAGACAAGGACAGCACACTGACAGAGGCCCCGGGAAGATGTAAAGGGTAAGGGTGGACAGGAGCCCACAGTGTTCCATCAGCACCCGCCCTCTCCCTGGCTCAAACCCTCCCGGCTCCTCCATTTCCTCCAAGCTTCACCTTGTTTGCTGGAAACTCCTTAAATCTGGGCTCTCTATAAGCCCTACACACATGCACACACACACCAGAGCACAAGGGCACTCCCTGTCCTCCATTCTCCCTGCCCTGAAACTACCATTCTTTTTTTTTTATTATTATTACATATACACCAGATTGAATTGTAGATGGTTGTGAGCCACCATGTGGTTGCTGGGAATTGAACTCAGGACCTCTGGAAGAGCAGTCAGTGCTCTTAACCTCTGAGCCATCTCTCCAGCCTGAAACTACCATTCTATGTCCTTCCCTGATACTCTTTTTAGTGCGCTTTGATGCAGAATGAGTGGGGAATGCAGCAGGCATTGTTAGTATCCTACCAGTCACTGGATACTCCATGAAGTCAGTATCTTACTTAATTTGTTTGTTTGTTGTGACAATCTTGTGCATTAGGCATTATCAACCACATTATTTTTTTCTTAATGGAAAACTCAGGAAGAGACAACTTAGGTGGCAACAGGGGTGGAGGGAATCCTACAGGATTAGTGTCAGAGGCTAGATTTGAACCCAAATCTGTCTGGATTCATAGTCCATGCTCGTAACTTATACCATCCTAATTAGCAAGATGGGATGAATCTCTGTGGTCATCTATGGCCTCCATCGTGTCCCCTCTCGGAGGACATGTGCCTTTCTCTACCCTCACTTATGTCACATCCCTCCGTATCAATTACTCAATGGTGGTGGTACCTCATGTGGATGGAAACAGCTCTAACCCACTGAACACTTATTATGCAGGCACAACAGTGGCTGCTTTTATATATTCATTAACTTAACTGTCTTGGCAAATTTGAATACACTTTTCTTATCCCAGTTCATAGATTACCCAGCTGTGAGTGACAGTTGAGAATATCAAATCTGAGCAGTGAGACACCAGAGCAGGGCCCTCAAGGACTGAGAAATACTGCCGCAGAGATCACGTCTAAGTTGCAAAGTGCTAATTACATCGGCCGACTCCCGGTTTGCAACTTTGAACTGTACTGAGGTGCAAACGTGGTGCCAACTGAGCGGAAACCGTATGTACTTTGGATGCTGATCTTTCCCTGGACCAGCAGTGGACCATACAGATGACCCTGGCAGCATCCAGTCAGCCAGGTGATCACAGACTCCACAATGCAGTGCTACTGAGCTGCCTCACCAGCAGGGGACGGGTAATGGAGGCATGAGTTTATCACTGCCTGTCAGCAAACATCTGCAAAGTGTATGCTGTTTAAAATTCAATTAAACTTTCAAAACTCCGAGAGAAGCTGGGTGAGTGACACACACCTGCAGTCCTAGCTACTTGGGAGGCTGAGGCAAGGGAATCACTTTAGCCCAGGAGTTCTGCACTATAACATAGCACTCCTCCGTGGTCTCTGTTTCAGCTCCTACCCCCGGGTTTTTGCCTTGAATCCCTGCCCTGATTTCCCTCAGTGGTGGACTACAAGTTAAATAAACCCTTTCCTCCTCTAGTTGTTTCTGATCAAAGTGTTTTATCACTGTCAGAGCTGTGTCAAAACAAAATGAAAAAAGCAACAACAACAACAACAACAACAAAAAAAAACACCACCCAAAAAAATCCCCAAATGTAACTAATACATCAGGCTTGGCAATGCGTTTCGTTACCCAATGAGCCACCTTGCCAACACCTGAACCAACTGACAATTAGAACAAATTTCAAAACGTGTGGGATTCAGAAGTGTGGCTTAGGTAGAGTATGTCCTAATGCATAAATTAGAAAATAAATCCCAAAACAAATTGTTAGTTGATGCTGGGCATAGTAGTGCACACCTTCAATCCCAGCTCTTGGGATGCAGGCAGATCTCTGTGAGTTCAAGGCTAACCTGGTCTACCGAGTGAGTTCTAAGATAGCCAGAGCTACACAGAGAAACCCTGTCCAGAAAAAAAAGGAATCATTAAATGAGTAATACGCACAATCAAGAATTTTTCAAATAAGAAGTAAGTATGAAAAGACACAAGGAAGAGAATAATGATACACTTGCTCTGACCCAAAAGGCTGGGAAGAGACCAGCAAGGAAAGGGAAGGGAAGGACAGAAATTGAGGAAACAGAAGGCATTTGACTGATGGCTAGAAAATGGGACAAGATCAACTGCCTGGCAGCGACTCACAGCAGCTTCCCCTTGTCCTTGGAAACAGCCATGGTCTCTGCCCTGCTGTGGGGCAGCCCTCAAGGCCTGGAATCTGGAGGTTGATTCCCCCCTCCCCCACAGTCTGCCACACACCAAGTCCCTGCCCCGGTTAGCTTCTCAGAGAACGTGTGAGCAAGCAAAAACTAGAGAAACTAAACAAGCAATTAACGTAAAAGTAAATAAAAGACAATAACACGTTCATGCATCTTAGAAAGGTATCAATTCCCCCAAGCTGATCAATAGATCCAATGCAATCTCAATCAAAGTCCAGATTTTTTTGTATAAATTGACAAGAATATTCCAAAATGTATATGAAAATACAAAGAGTTAAGAATAACTAAGGTCAAACTCTGACAGACTCTGGATATTCCCCATGGAGGTACTCCTGGGGAATGGAGTGGAGATTGGGTGGGGGCTGGGGGACCGTTGGGAGGGTGTGGGAGGAGGTGAGGGAGAGGGAGCTGGGATTGACACGTGAAGCAACCTTGTTTCTAATTTAAATTTTAAAAAGTTAAAAAAACAAAGAGTCGCTAAGGTGATTCTAGGGAGATGTCTCAGAAGTTAAGAGCACATGTTGCTCTTGCAAGAGGAACCAGGTTCAGTTCCCAGCTTCCTCATGGGGGCTCACAACCATCTGTTACTCCAGTCCCAGGGATCCTGATGTCCTCTTCTGGCTTCCTTGGGTACAGCATACATGTAGTGCACAAGACACACGTGCAGGCAAGACACCCATGTGCATAAAATAAAATTTAAAAGGAAAACAAACTAAGAATACCAAAGACAGTGCTGAGTAGGAACAAAATTGAAGAACCACACAGCAAACATTAAGATATAGCTTGTGCTAAAATGATGAAATGTTGTAATAGTCACAGGAAAATGGGCAGACAATGACCAGAAGTGAGCATCTACCAACCGTGCATACGTATGCCCACACGTAGACTCCAGCACATGTAATACGTGATGCAGAATGAGCAGTGGTCCTGGGCCTATGGACAACTCCCTCCACACAAACATCCATACCTGTGAACTGTAACTTTTAACATAAAAGATAAAACGATTTCTGGAAAACGGCATAGAAAAATGTTTTCGTAAATTTAGGTAAGCAGAATTGTTTGTTTTTGTTTGTTTTTTTGTTTTCGAGACAGGGTTTCTCTATGTAGTTTTGGAACCTGTCCTGGAGCTTGCTCTGTAGACCAGGCTGGCTTTGAACTCACAGAGATCTGCCTGCTTTTGCCTCCTGAGTTCTTGGATTAAAGGTATATGCCACCACCACCCAGCTAGAATGTTCTTATACAAACCACAAAAGTATAAACTTCAAAAACAAAATTGGTGAATTGTTCTACATTGAGTTTAGGAAGAATTCTTCAAGGAAGAAAAAAGGCCAGGCAAAGAACTGTAATATACCTGCAATGCAATTTCCTAACGACTCATGCTAACATCTGTGAAGAACTTCACAAGTGAAATATAGATCAATTCAAAAATGGGAGAAAGCCGGGCAGTGGTGGCGCACGCCTTTAATCCCAGCACTCGGGAGGCAGAGGCAGGCGGATCTTTGTGAGTTCGAGGCCAGCCTGGTCTACAGAGCAAGTTCCAGGACAGGCTCCAAAACAATACAGAGAAACCCTGTCTCGAAAAAAAAAAAGGGAAAGACATGGATGACATGGATACATCCAAATGGTCCATGCACAGGTAGCAATGCCTAATCTCATTACTCAGCAGAGAAATGCAAATCAAAACTGTGGTGATAGACCAAGACAGGGGCAAACCTGTGATACGATTATGATGCTCACACACTTACTGGGAGATAGGCTGGTGAGGTCACGTGTGGAAACCACACACAGCAATTCATCCCTCAGGCTCACCTAGTGACATGTTTGCACATTAGCAGAACACACGTGGAGGCTGGAGAGATGGCTCAGCAGTCAACAGCACTGACTGCTCTCTCAGAGGTCCTGAGTTTCCCAGTCCCAGCACCTACAAGGCAGCTCCCAACCATTTGTAACACCAGTTGCAGAGGATCCAGTGCCCTCTCCTGGCCTCTGCAGGCACTGCTGCATGTGAGATATACATACATATATATATATGCACAAAACACACAGATAAGAAAAAATGGTGGTGCATGCCTTTAACCCCAGCACTTGGGAGGCAGAGACAGGTAGATATCTCTGTGAGTTTGAGAACAGCCTGGTCTACAAAGCTACACACAGAAACCCTTCTCAAAAAACCAAACCAAAAAAAAAAAAAAAGAGAGAAGAGAAGAAAAAGAATACACACCAAGGTACATAGCTTGATGTTTTGATGTTAGAACATGTGTAAGACCATAAGTTCAAGTCCCAGCATACACACACACACAGACACACATGCACACACATTCACACAGAGAGAATATACATAATAACAATGTCATGAGTTATCTCAAACTGGGAGTGACCCAAATCCCATCCATTAGTAACACGATGGACTTATAAATGGTCATATGTACATTATAACGGAATACCATTTAGCAATGGAAATGACCAAACTACAGTTTTATACATCCAGAATAAAATCTCACAAGTATGATGTTAGGTGAGAAAAAGAAGTAGAACATAACCTATGTAATAATACTTATATATAAAGGAGCTCAAATAAAACTATACTCCTTAGAGACACACACATGGATAGTATCACTGCAAAGAAATACATAGATTTGACTGCCTGCTCCCTGAAAACACTTAAGCAAACTTCAGAAAATTCTGTGGTGCCTTATAGTACAAAACATTTCAGAAATAAACTGATTAAAATATCTCTAGGATGCCTTCTAGGGTCAAACAATTTTAAATGTATGCCTGTATCTCCCCTAAATCCCTTGCCTTTCCTCAAACTGCCCTGCCAGTCCATCATTGGCTAGCATTCACAGTGAGCAAGTGACATATAAAACTGAAAATTAGGCCTGGGAAAGCGTGTAAAATTAGAGTAATGGGTTAGATGTGGTGGCTCACGCTGTAATTCCAGAAACCTGGTAGCCTGAGACAAGATGACTGTCATTGGTTGGAAGCCAGCCTGTGCTACTCTGTGAGTTCAAGTACAGTCTGAGCTATGAGATGAAACCTATCTCAAAAAAGATTAATAATAATAATTATAGTAATAATAATATGATGATGATGTGCAAACTCATGTTTATGTTTTACTTTCTTTTTAAAAAGATTTGTTTATGAGCCGGGTTGGTGGCGCACGCCTTTAATCCCAGCACTCGGGAGGCAGAGGCAGGCGGATCTCTGTTCAAGGCTGGCCTGGTCTACAAGAGCTAGTTCCAGGACAGCCTCCAAAGCCACAGAGAAACCCTGTCTCGAAAAAACAAAAAAAAAAAAAGTTAAATAAAAAGATTTGTTTATTATGTGTACAGTGTTCTGTCTGTATGTATGCCTACTTGCCAGAAGAGGGAACCGAATCTCATTACAGACAGTTGTGAGCCACTATGTGGGTGCTGGGTTCTCTGGAAGAACAAACAGTGCTCTTAACCACTGAGCCACCTCTCCAGCCCCCTATGTTTTGCTTTCTTGAGAAGACTGTTGACCATATCTGGAGTACTCAGTAGAAGCATTTTCTCTAGAATATTTCTTATGACAAAATAAAATAAGAAATGGCCGGGCAGTGGTGGCGCACGCCTTTAATCCCAGCACTCGGGAGGCACAGGCAGGCGGATCTCTGTGAGTTCGAGGCCGGGCTGGACCGACAGCCTCCAAAACAATACAGAGAAACCCTGTCTCGTAAAAACCAAAAAAATAAAAAGATAAAAATAAAATAAGAAATGTGGTTGGAATTCATAGAGTTGAAACTGATAAATTTAAAAAGATTAATTATCATAACGAAGTCATGTCTGATTAGTAGCACATGGACTAAAATCATTATGTTCCTTGGTAAGCTGACCGAGGCTAGAACAACTCCAAAACATACAAAACTTCTTTTAAATGAGCCATATTCATAAACACCTGGGTGTGGAAACAGCCTGCACGTGACACAGGGTAGGAGGACGGGAGGCTCACCTTTAGCAGAGGATAGTTGATACTTGCCACCCACATGTTGGTAAAGGGAGCTTCTAAGACAATGGCATCTACTGGACACCCTAGATAATAAAGACAATCGGAAGCTAGATGAGTAACCCTCCCCTTCAAATACCAAAATACCACTTCCCTAGATAAGGGGTCCTTTAAAACCACTTGTGAAGATTTTTAATAGGCTAGCTCCTGAACCCCATGCCATACCTGGGGGACAGTCTTGGGACAGAGACTGAGAATATGTGTGCATACACAAGCATGTCCATGTGAATGCACATGTAAATGCAAGCATGCATATTCATGGGTGCACTTGAAGGTGGAGGTCAGAGGTCAAGCTCAGACATTGTTCCTCGAGAACCATCTGCCTTGTCTTTGGGGACAGGGTTTCTCATTGATCTGGAGCTTGCTGGTGAGGCTAAGTTGGCTGACCGGTGAACCCTAATTATCTTCCTGTTTATGCTTTCCCCAGTGACAGTGGGCTTCCCCAGTGACAGGACCAGAGGTGTGCCACCACAGTGGACGTGATGGTAGGCATCCTTCATCCCAGGTAATCTCTATGAGCATGTGACTAGCTTGGTTTATAGAGTGAGCCCCTGTCTCAATACACAAATAAATATCCCACAATGGCACCACTATTACTGGCTTTCTCACATAGGATCATGTCCAAAGTCAGCGTGGTGAGCACTTTATGACTGAGGCACTACTCCAGCTCGAGGGTATGCATTCTTAACAATCCCTCTCCTTGTTCAGTATGTGCATGACAGCTAAAACTACTGCCTTTTACTAAGAATACAAGACTTCCAGGGCTCAGGATGTATAACTAGGCAAAGTATTATTGGGACAAAGAGGAGCTGCAGTCCTTTGTAAAGGATGGGCCAGAGGTTGACTGAGTTATTTGGTTAATACTCAGAGAGCAAGTAGAAAATGTGTATGGAAAAGTCATGCATTGTGGACTATTACTTTAATTGTGTAAAGGTGTATTGCGTTTGTTCATGTTGCATTTGTTTAATTATGTAAAGATGTGCTGCATTTGTTTCACCTTGCTTGCCTAAGGCACCTGATTGGTTCAATAAAAAGCTGAACAGCCAATAGCAAGGCAATAGAGGAATAGGAGGGGCTGGAGGACAGAGAGAGTAAGTAGGAGAAGAAATCTAGGCTTGAGAGGAGAGAATGGAAGAAAGGGAGGGAGACACCCAGAGCCAGGCAGCCAGGAAGCTGCCAGCCAGATAGACATGGAGTAAGACATACAGAAGCAAAGAAAGATAAAAGCCCCAAGACAAAAGGTAAATGGAGAGAAATAGGTTAAGTTATAAGAGCTAGCAAGAAACAAGCCTAAGCTAAGGTCAAGCTTTCATAACTAATAAGAAGTCTCCGTGTCATGATTTGGGATCTGGTTGGCAGCCCAAAGAAAGCCTGCTACGGGGATAAGTGTATGTGTGTATATGAGTGTGCATGTATATGCGCATGTGTGTGTGCATGTATGCATGCATATAAGTGCATGTTTATGCATGTGTGTATGAGTGTGCATGTATATATGCACATGTGTGTACATATATGCATATATATACGTACATGTTTATGCATGTGTGTGCATTTGGGTGTGTGTGCAAATGTGATCTGTATGTATTTGAAGGTACTTGAGGACAACTGATCTGTGAGAATTTAGAGCCATTACCAAGTAAGAAAAGCCCAAAGAATTGAAGCTGCCTTTCCCCTCAAAGCAAATGACACTCTCAATGCCTCAATTGTAATTGGCAGGATTTAAACTAACACACTATTGGTATGCTCAGAGAACCAGAAGAATAAAAATTACTGTTCAGGTAGAGATGGCTTGGCTGGTAGTGGTTCCCACAGGAACATGAAGATCTGAGTTCGGATCCCAGCAGCCCCACGAAAAACTGTGCAGCAGCACATGCTATACGCCCAGCCCTGAGCAGGCAGAGAGAGGAGGACACCCACAGCTCACTTACCAGCTGTCTAGCCGAACCATCGAGCTCCAGCCTCAGTGAGAGGCAAGATGGAAAGCAATTGAGAAAGATGCCTACCATCCATCTGACCACTACATGCATGCCTACACATGTGCAGACACATGTCTGCACCAGAGCACACACACAATTACTAACTATTCAGGGTATGACGAGAAGGTAGGAAGACTACAGACCATGTCTCTGAGTTTTGGCAGTGACCCGAAAGGACTTCATTCTAGTAAAAAACAGTGCACTCGATATAAAACAACCCTGATAAGGTATGAGTCCAGCCTCAAATCAACTCAGTCTCTGACTGGTTTGTGGTGACTTCATCCCCACCCAAAATGTCCCGAAGGAGCAACATAGAGTGTTCCTGGGAGAAGAGAGCATCGCCCACATTCTCAACCTATCATCTTCCACATGGGATTGCTACCCCTTAATCAAAGGTAAGTATATCTATACAGAATAAACAAAGGAGACCAGATTGTAACTCAGGGGTGGTGTCCATGTCTATCATGTGTAAGGCCCTGGGTTTGATGCCCAGCCCAGCTAAAGGAAAAAAGAAAGAAAAAATAAAAAAAAGATACTGAAATCCAAGGACATTTTTACTGGAGTTTGAGAGAAAAACAACACATTAGGCAAGCTGTAAGTTCTAGAAGTCAGGGTGGCTGAGACAGAGAGAGAGAGAGAGAGAGAGAGAGAGAGAGAGAGAGAGAGAGAGAGAGAGAGAGAGAGAAGAGAGAGAGGAGAGAGAGTTAGACTTCAGTCTGGGGAGAGCCGCTCATAGAGTGCCAGGGTGAGCCCACAGGATTTTGGTCCCTGGACAAAGGACAGACAGACAGACAGACAGAGACAGACAGACAGACAGACAGACAGACGAATGGATGGATAGATAAATGATAAAGGATGAATGGAGATATATAGATGATAGGTAGATATATGATCAATAGATAGAAGAGATTAATTGATAGATGATGGATGGATGATTGATAGTAGATATAGATATATGATAGATATTGATAGATGATAGATAGATAGATAGATAGATAGATAGATAGATAGATAGATAAGTGATAGACAGAGCAAAGGTTACATGTTCTTCAGTGAAACTAGACAAACTTAGGAGTGAGGATCTGTAAGTAACTGCCAAAAGAAAAACACAAAACAAAACAAGAAAACAACCCACAAGCAATTGCTCTTGAGATTTCTTTTTTCTGATTTCATAGCAGCGTTAGGGTAAATAATGTTTTTTTCAGCCAACACTTCCACACTAATTTTTAAAAAATATTTAAACAAATGGTCTGGCCCTGTTCGCATCTATTCACAGAGATTCTAAATTCATAAAAATCAGTTAGGAAGAAAGCAAGCTACATTGCCAGAATCTGATACTCACTCCACTCAGGTCTCTGACAAACACTGACATGAATGTTACAGAAAACAGACTGCAGAGGGCAGCGTGGCTATTGTTATCTTCTCGGGATATATTATTTTCCTGTCCTATGATCAAATTAACATCATGCTAGGAAGAGGGCTTGCCATGCATCTCAGGCTACCTTCAAACTCAGGGTCTTCCTGTCTCAGCCTCCTGAGCATTAGGATTATGGGTGTGTGAGTGACCACAGCTAGCCAAGTCATTTTAGCCCAGAAAAGCAGTGGTTACACTGCTAAAAAATCCTTCCAAATGTGGGGTGTGTATACACGTTGGGGTCTGTGGTCAGTGTATACAAATTTAAAGAACCTCCTGACTTTATATTTTTCTACCTCACCCCAAACCATTTAAGAATTTTACGTTACCTTTCGCCTCTAATGCCCTTGCAGCATTTGTTGCGACTCTGAAAAACAGTAAGAGTGTGCGTGTAAAACACAGCAGTCCAGTGGACACAGACAACATGTGTGTAAAACACAGCAGTCCAGTGGACACTGCAGCCTCCACAACCCAGAACTAGCAATTGATGGAAAACTCTGTGCTCTCAGACTCGAAAATCCAGACAGACACATAACTTTGTGCAGAATTTCAAAGGGTGCCACAGACCCTAATTTAAGGGTCTTTTTCGTTAATGCACTCATGGATTATTCCAGAATAGATGTCTGTGTCATGGTTATTCAGGGAGCTTAAGGGACTTGCCATTGTCTTGAAAGCAGACACACTGTCTGGGAGGCTCTCTTACCATTTCTGAAGTGAGAGAGAGACCAAGGAACCAAGGCATCCCAGTTTGGTTTCCCTTCCCTGTTTGCTGTGCCTCTGAAGACACAAAACCCCTTATGAAGACACAAGGACCCACAGCACTTCGGCCCCCACTTACCCTGTTCCCAGAGAGTGGCCCCATAGACACACAGGGGTCCTACCACTTCTGGCCTTGGTCCATTCATAGACACAAATAGCATCTGTGGTTAGCCCCTCCTCAGTGGGCGTCCCCGTAGAATCCCCAAACCCTGGCAGCAAGAAGAGGCAAACACAGCATCACACACTCCAAACCAAGGAGTCATCAAAAGCCTGCTGTCCCCGTCACGTCTTTGTCCACTGTTCTCAACACATACCTCTGTAGTCCACTGACAAAACATGAAAGCCTCCGTCACTCAGCACCTGCATGTCAAACGAGCAGTTATCATTTCAAGCAGATAGAGGATCCCAACAGGGAGGGCTCCTCTGCAATACATCTGTATCCCTGTGTTGCAACGGGAGGAAAGGCATATTCTCAAGGACAGGGATACCGCTCACTGGGAAGGCACATGCCTCATGTGCTCAAGGTGCTTAGTTTGAGTCCCAGAATCACAAAGATTCTGTATTTCTTTTTTAATCTAGAGATGAGAGTGCTGTGGAGCATTATTTGAAGATGTGTTACATTCTTCTATGCTGTGGGATATTGTTTAATGATGCAAAGATGTGCTGTATTCTTTTCTGTTGCATTTGTTTAACTCTGTGAAGCTGTGTTACTTTCGCCTGCCTGAAACACCTGGATTCTAATAAAGAGCTGAATGTCCAATACCGAGGCAGGAGAGAGGAATTTGTGGGACTGGCGCGCAGAGAGAATAAATAGAGAGAGGAGAGAGGAGAAGAAAAGGAGGGAAGGAGGACACAAGCGGCCAGTCCCCCAGCAACACACAGACACAGAGTAAGACATAAAGAAAGAAATGCAGAAACACCAAAAGGTAAAGCCCAGAGGCAAAAGGTCGACACGATAATTTAAGTTAAGCTGTCTAGACACAAGCCAAGCTAAGGCCGGGCATTCCTAAGAAAGAATAAGACTCTGTGTGATTTCTTTGGTACCTGGGTGGTGGGCCCCCCAAAGAGTAAAGAGAGAAATAAATAAATAAAAACGAACAACATAAGAGTCTATGGGAAAAATGGAAAGTAGCCTGGGTCACCCGGGCTCTGCCACCAGCAGCTATACAACCTTAGCCTGCTTGTTAAACATTCGAATATGTAAATATTATTCAGGGTTGCAAGGATATTGTTCCAACGCACCTGTTTCTATGTCACAGTCTCAGCTAAGCGTTGTCTAGAGCTGGAGGAGTGGCTCCTAGGTAGAGTCCTTGACTAGATGCTCAAGGCCCTGGGCTTGATCCCTGACACCACACACTCTGAAAGAATGCATGAATTTCTCTGAGAGTGAAGTGCTACACAGAGTTGTTGTGGGGAGGGGCAATCTCCTAACCGGGAGGTGTTTATCTTGAATATGGTCAAATGAAAGCTAACTAAATAAATAAAGAGATCGCCATTTTAATATATGAAATCACTGTCCGGTCCCAAGTAGGTAAAAGAAGAAAGAACATGAAAATTTAGTTGTAAACAGATGGGCCTCAGGACAGTGGAGTAGGAATGTGCATGAGTAGCTTGTAGCACCCCTCATTGAGTAAAGATAGTAGTAACAACTCTTAGACCCCAATATTTGCTCCTGGGGAACAAACAAGACACAGAAAACAAAATAGGCGCCCTAAGTTTTTTGTATATGTACTATTAAATAGCAAATTCAGAAGGAAAAAAAGTGAAACTTTATAACATCAGTGGGCTAGTTGGCAGTTCCTAAGAATAAACTGGAAAAGATACAGTCTTTAAATTTGTAACTATGACCCCTACATAAAAACATGAAAAATAGAGCCGTGTGTGAAGCATGCCTAATCTCAGCATTTGCGAGTCAGAGGCAAGCTTGGCCTATATCAAAAAATTCAGGCCAGCCAGGGTTATGTAATGAAACCCTGTCTCAAAAAAAAAAAAAATCAAGAAAATAAAAACGTTTATAAAAGAGTGTAAAAGTATGCAACATGAATTTATACATCGGTACAACCATAGTATCAAGGGTTTTATATGAAAGAGAGAAAATAAGTACAAATGAAAATAACAGTATTAGGGGAGGGAGAAGGGGGAAAGGGAGGGGAGAGATGAAAGGAAGAAATAATTTGATAATAAATATCTTTTGTTTAAAGAAATCACCTGTCCAGACAGGTGAGGAAATTTGTAGAAATGAGATAAAAGTCATGGAAGAGTTTGGGGGCCCAGAGTTAATAACACACACTCCCAGAGTTATTCCCATGTGTTCACACACACACACACACACACACACACACACACACACACACACACACAGACTCATTTATACTCTCTCACACATACACTCTCTCTTAGAAGTGTTGCTGTGTGTTCACACACACACACTCCCATCCCCATCGAGGTAATGGATGAGGAGAAGGCCACTCATGAGGGGACGGATCTCTCAGGAGACCGTCACACTGAGGAACTCCAGACGGCAAACCCGACAGAACTGGAGGGACTTAGAGTGCTGGTGTCTTGTGGCCTCTCTGACATACCTCTGCCAGCTTAATTCTGTGTGGAGCTGCCCTGTGGAGGAGAGAGACGGGAAAAAGCACAAGAATTAGGACCGACCATGACAAATTCAATATTTCTAATCACTCTCAGGCCTTAGCTCATCCTACTTACAATTTTTCCCTTTTCTTTTTTAGATTTTTGTCCTGTTTTTGTGTATTCTGGTGTCATTGTTTGAGACAGGGTTACACTGTGTAGCGCTGGCTGACTTCAAGTTCACAGACATCTGTCTGCCTTGGCCTCCCAAGTGCTGGGATTAAAGTCAGATATCACCTTGCCTGGCCTAACACTGATCCTTTTGTTTTTGTTTTGTTTTTATAGACAGGGTTTCTCTGTGTAGCCTTGGCTGTCCTCGAACTCACTCTGCAGACCAGGCTGGCCTTGAACTCAGAGATCCACCTGCCTCTGCCTCGGGGGTGTTGGGATTAAAGGCGTGTGCCACACCACCCACCAAATAAATTATTTCTTAGTGGCAAGGCCAGCTTGCCTATGTCCAGGCCAATGGCTGGAAGCCCCCCACCCCGCTCCTGACCTTCCTTGGATGCACTGACCTCTCCAGGACTTCCCAACACAAGCATTTGAAGAAGTATTGATAACCCACCTCTGGGTGCTGTGCAACAGAACTTCCCTCTAGGCTGTCTCTGCAAGCTCAAGGAAAAGTTCTAAAGAGCAACTTCAGAACTGGGGGTACCAGTGGGGGTGGGATCGGATCTCCTGCACTCAATTACAGTTTGTCTGAACCACACTCACTGCCACAAAGCGAAAGAAGAAATCAAGGAGAAACACTTGCCTTCGAAAATACAAAACACCCCCCAAAATGACAGCATCCACACTCACCTCAACAAAAGAAAGCAAAGAATTAGCCAAACGGCAGGAAAATCCCTTAGACAACATTAGCCTTAGAGCCGATGTTGTTCAGTGTCAGTAAGCCATGGAATCCCTGAGTACCTAGTTAAAACTATAAACCCATTTCCTAGAAACAAAAATGAACATTTTATATACGACTTTAGGGATGGGTTCAAAAGCCCTAACGTCCCTATAGATCTAGAGCCTAAAAACACTGATTCTACGCATTGACAAGAACTCCTGAGGCTTCCTGTTTGAGGACTGGTACTCAGTACTCAGTACTGTGGGCTCAGTACTCAGTGCTCAGTAATGTGGGCTCAGTACTCAGTGCTCAGTACTCAGTGCTCAGTACTGCTGATTGTAAGCTGAGACTGTAGGAGAGGCTGAGGAGGGCGTGGCCCCTGGATCTGGGTCAACTGGGTACCACTTCAGACTCACACACAGGCACAGGCGTGGCAGTATGGTGTACTGGTCCTTTAGTATACCTACCCTAATACCGTCCAACTTCATAAATCAGAGCAATGTTAAACAAGGCCCTCTGTTCAGTTTCACTAAAAAAAAAAACTTAGGGGATGAGATTCTAAAACAGACAGAGCAAGAAAGCCATCACCTGACAAAAATGACAAAGAGGCCAGCGGGCAGGTTCCTGAGTCTGTCACTTGGTTTGAAGTGCCCCACCCTACCCCCAGACACGAGGGAGATTTGTGGGTTTGTGATACACTGCCCCTCCCCCACCAGAGCAGTCCTGCAGTCCCCAGCTGTAATCATGCAGGCCAGGAAGGGGTTTGACAGCACACATCAAAGGACGACAAGCTTCTGGGAGGCCAGCTTTGTGACAACGCCAGGCAGGGACCACAGAGACTGGGTTGAGACATGAAGGTTAGAGTGGAATCTATCAGTCCCCAATTTCTGTGGTCGGGGTTCCCGGTGACTTCTCTCAGGCATCAGACTTCAGATAAAGGGAATTAATGATAGATAAGGGACTCCAACTCTCTCTTTCTGGAAGAGACCACCAATGTGGAAATTGCTCTCTGTTTGCCCTTTAATGCATGCCTAAGCCCTTCCCAGTCCTCAGCGGGTTTGTCGATCCATGGAGTACTTGGAGACTATTTGGAACTAGCAAGCATTACGAAGGAATGCACAGAAATCTATGCTCATACACAAAGAAATGCAGGGGAAGCTTTCGTAGGCCAAATGAAGAGGATTGCATGAAGCTGCTTGGAAACAATTATTCCTAGCTGCTAGAGTTAGAAGCAACCAGGCTGAGACTGAGGGGGGGCGGGAGTGGCTGGGCAGATATTCCCAGGGGCCTTTGTGCAAGTGTGGTTCTCTCAAGTCTTCTATGGACAGTTCTTCCTGTCGGACACACGAATGAGACTCCCTTCCTCCAGACTGCTAGCTCTAGTCCTTTCTTGGCTTAAAAACAACTGATTCTATTTGGATTTAATATATCGTCTTGGATAATCTTGAGGAGTAAAGAAACCAATTCAGACATTTTGGAAGAAATGTTAATCCCTCCCTTTTGGAAATAGACCCACGTCCTTCTACATGCAGACTGATTGTTTAAAGAGAAGGCATTTGCCAGAATATCTTTGCATATTATGTAATGAATAGACGAAGGCAAGTCTGTGGTTGAAAACTACTTTCAGTCTCCCGTGGCTTAGAAATTCTGTATCTCAAAAACAGAGATAGATGATAGATGGATGGAGAGAGAGAGAGAGAGAGAGAGAGAGAGAGAGAGAAAGAGAGAGAGAGAGAGAGATGATAGGTAGGTAGATAGACAGATAGATATTCCAAGCAGAGGTGCTAACCTGTGTTGTGCACTGCCATGAAGGTAAACAATAATCGGGTTCCCATCGTGAAGGGCAGCTTCATACCAGCAGCGACACTTCCCCTTGGCATCTTCTCCCCGGCAGCTGGGGACTGTGTGCCTGAAGAGCAAGGAGAGGTTTTACAAAACTGCAAAGGCAGGTTTTTTTTCATCTGAGTAACACATGCATAAGCTAATAACAAAATATAGGAGCACAAAATATCTGAGGAAAATTGTTATTGCTACTGCACTACCCCACACAGGGTGTGCTGATTGTTTACTGCTTTAATTCCTGTTAAGAAGTTTCCAAGATTGCAGTTCTTAGGTGCAAGTCATTGAAATAACAACAACAAAAACCAGGTTGAAACAAGAAAAAGATAATTGATACTCACAAGCAGGGCCTTGATGGCACACGCCTTTAATCCCAGCACTCGGGAGGCAAAGGCAAGTGGATCTCTGTGAGTTCGAGGCCAGCCTGGTATAGAGAGCGGGTTCCAGGGCAGGCTCCAAAGCCATACAGAGAAGCCCTGCCTCAAAAAAACAAAAACAAGCAAACAAACAAACAACAACAAAAAAAGACATTCACCCAGAATTTGAACATGAACTCAAGTTTTTTCTCTCTTGGTAATCAATGTATTTTTAAGACATTCATATATTTCAATGGTTACTTAAATTTAGATGCTCGGATTTCAGCATATAAACACACGGGGACTTAAAAATAACAATTAACGAGGCTCAACATCATGTGGGTTGAGGTGATGGCTAATTTTGGTTGTTAACCAGGAAGAGATTAGGAAAGATGGCTGATGATGTGGAAACCTGGTACAGTGGAAACACCCTGGAATCTATGAGAGTGACCCCAGAGAGGACTCATAGTAATAGGGAGCACGGAGCCCCAGCTGGTAACTTCTATACCAGTCAAGGCTTCTAGCAGTGGGACTGGGGCACCAACCCAAAACAAAACCTTTGACCTACAATCTGTCCTGCCTGAAAGATGTGCTGGGGTAAAGAGGCACAGAGCTCTCGGGAGTGGCCAGCCAATGCCTGGTCCAGCTTGAAGCGTACACCACGAGAGGGACCCCATGCCAGACACTGGGTGGCCAGGAACCAAAGTCTAGACAGCCCAAAGACCCAGAACAGGACGTGACTAGAAAAAACAAAATTTCACTGAAATGATTACTAAAATCGGAGCATCATCCAGAAACTGATGGGAAATTCAGAGACCCACAGCCAGATACTAGGTGAAGCCAGAGGAGGCCCACAGAAGAGGAGGAGGAGGGATTGTAGGAGGCACAGGGCCAAGGACACCATGAGAACACAACCCACTGTGTCAACTGAACAGGGGCTCACAGAGGCTAAAGGGACAATCACAGACCCTGAGCTAGGCCCTCTGCATATATGTTATGTTTGCGTAGCTTGTGGGGCTCCTGACAATGGGAGTGGAGGGTGTCCCTGACTATTTTGTCCACTCTTGGCAAAACCCCCACACCTGGTACCCTTTTCCTCCTACTGGGTTATCTTGTCCAGTCTTGATATTAGGTCATGTGCCTAGCCTTATTGTAAATTGTTATGCTGTGCTGAGCTGGTATCCCTGGGAGGCCTGCTTTTTTTTTTTTTTTTTTGAAGGGAAACACATAGGGGGGGTAGATCTGGGAGAGAGGGGAGGTGGGGGCTGGGAAGAGTGGAGGGAGGGGAAACAGTAGTTGGAATGTAATGTATGAAAGTAGGAAAAAAGTAAAGAGGGAGGGAAGAATGGAGGGAGGGAGGGAGGGAGGGAGGGAGGGAGGGAGGGAGGGAGGGAAGAAGAAAGGGAGGGAGGGAAGGGGGCAGGGAGGGAGGGAGGGAGGGAAATATAAGCCCAGGAATAAGCCCGTAAGCAGCCATTCTCCATGGCTTCTGCTTCTGTCCCTGCCTCCAGGTTCCTACCCAGAGTCCTTGCCCTCATCCCTCATCCATGTGCTGTACCTTGCAAGATGACATAAACCCTTTCCCCATCAAGTTGCCTTTGGTCATAGTATTTATGACAACACAAAGCAATCTAGGACAGCACTCTACCCATTATTAAGTGTTGTTACTTCAGAGCGTAAATCAGGTGCTTTAAGATAAGCCTGCAACATGCCGCAGGAGCCTTCCTAGACTGTACACACACGTTTCTTCATCACAGACAGGTCTCTAATTTCTAAGATACACAGCTCTGAAGTCACGACTCAAGGGAAGCCATGCAGTCTGACTAAGTGGCCTTGAGATTGTAAACACCTGTCTTCAAGTTCCTCTGTCTTGTTAGGCTAAGAAGAGAACCCTCAAAGTGCTGCACTGTATCATTTCACAGGGACATGCAGTCCTGTCAATCATCAAGGAACAGAAGCCCACCATCCGCAGGACCTCTGGAAACACTGATACCGCTGTCCTCTGGTAAACTGCTCATGAACACAGCTGCCTCTCCAGGCCCATGTGGTCAAACTATTGGCTAGACTGTCCTTGAGGATAAGGAGAAAGTTATATGCACATTCCAGAACATTCTCCTGTTGGAATTCAGACTCACAGACGTGAACTACAAAGTGGAGCATTAGTAATGGCAGCCAAGGGCAAGCAGTAGACCCAAACTGAAGATCCCAAGATTACCACAAAGGAAATAAAATAGAAGGCACATGACCGCCTGTGACCTTAATTGAGTATTTTCTGTGTGCTAGAGATAGGCTGTCAATGAAACCCGCCACCAGAGGCTGTCCACCCAGGGAAGCTACAGTCTCACTAGGAAAGCAAAAGTGAGCAAGTAATCATAACGTTTATTCCACAATAGGTGAAACTGCCCTAAGCATTGAACGCAGATGGCGGTAAGTGCTTCTGCCTAAAGCGGAAGATGAAAAGCAGGGGAAAGGAAGGGCTCCTGAGAATGGCCAAAGTGAGACCCAAGAGAAGAGCGAGAGTGGGTGGGGCATGGAGAGCCAGTCAGAAAGAGGGAGCAGAGCAAGTCCTGGCTGTGGTGTTTGTCGGGAGCAAGTGCCTCTGCAGCAGAGAGAGACAGCAAGGGCAGATGCAATAAGGCAGAAGTGGGTGGGGCCAGAAGCCAAGAGCACCATTTTGTAAGACTTCAGACTCTAAAGCAAACATTCTGAGAAGTAAAATGAAGCAGGGGTGTTGAATGAAGCCTTTTCCTTGCCAGCCACTTTGGTTTTTCCCCACCAGTCGCCTGGGCTCTGCCACTTTGCAGTCCCCAAATGAACACACAGGACGCTGTATTAATTATGAAGCTGTTGGCTGTTTGCTTGTTTCTTACTGGCTAGCTCTGACTTAAGTATTTAACCCATCTAAGTATTTCTCTTACCGGACGGACATCTTACTTCTCTGGCGGGCTACATCGTGACTCCCTGTGTTTCTCCTACCCAGAGTCCTCCTGGACTCTTAGTCCCACCTATCTTGCTTCCCTATTGGCCAACAGTGCTTTATTGACATATACACAGGACTTCCTCATCACGGAGGAGTTGTCACAATAGAGGAAAGGTGTATGGAGCAACATCTAGAAGCTTCCACAGACAGCCAGGTTCTGCACAGGCAGGCAACACAGCCTCATATCCTCTATGCTGTTCTAGAAGCTTCCACAGACAGCCAGGTCTGCCCAGGCAGGCAGCACAGCCTTGTTGCATCCTCCATGCTCTTCTAGCAAAGTTCTGCTCCATCTTCACCCCACCCCACCCCAGCGCATGTGCACATGTGTGTGTGTGTGTGTGTGTGTGTCTGTCTGTCTGTCTGTCTGTCTCTGTCTCGTCTCCACCTTTCTCTCATCTTTTCTTTCTACAGCTGATGCAGGTAAGAAGGTCAGGACTTGTTCCTAGATGGGTCAGAGTATAAACCATGCACTTGTCACACAAGCAGGAGAACCAGAGTTAGGAAGGCATCAGCCACCTCACTCACCAGATGCCGAGCAGCACCCCAGGCTCAGGCCTGAGGAAGAAGTTCACTGTGTGGGCCATCTTCAACTCAGGTCTCTTTAAATCCACAAGAGGAGTTTTAACTGCAAAGTAGAAATCATAACCAACCCTCAGCATCAGGCCCCATGTCTGTCCATCGGCTTTAAAAGAAGCTCCACTCTGCTAATCGAGTGAGTTCTAAGCTGCTAGCTAAGCGAGAAGAGAGTTTTTGCAATCCTAGCCCTTTCTGGAGCAAAAAGCAAAAGAAACCATTTCTCTGAAAAGGTAAATAGAACCAGGCAGAAACAAATCCACAGGGAATACCATTATCATTAGCTACAAGGTGACAAGATATAGCAGAGTGTGTGGCACTGAGAGCTAGGGTTCCGTATAGGAGAGGAGGGCAGAAATCAGTCTGCCTCTGTCTCTCTGTCCTCTTCTATAATTGTTGCAAATGAGGATTCAAAGGCTGGAGTGATGGTTCAGCAGATAATGTGTTTGCTTGCCACACAAGCGTAAGAACAAGAGTTAGGATTCACCACACCCACATAAAAAGCCAAGCAGACATAACAGCCAGCCTGAAATCTCAGCAACAGGGAAGAGATGCAGGGGATTCTTGGGATAAGCTACTGAGACCAGACAGATCTGGGAACTCCTCTTCAACCACAGAAGAGTGATGGAGGAGAACACCCAGTGTCAACACACACAGACGTACACACATAGGCATACACACATACATACACATGCAAACATTCAGGCACACACATGTACCCATACACAAACATACACAGACACATACAAATGCTCACCTAACATACAGACACACACATGCTCTCATATACACATATACATATGCACACACTCATACACATGCATGTGCACATACACACATACATTCACATACAAACATTCAGGCCCACACATGTATATATACACACAAACATATACACAGGCCAAGCGTTGGTGGGGCACGCCTTTAATCCCAGCACTCAGAAGGCAGAGACAGGTGGATCTCTGTGAGTTCAAGACCAGCCTGGTCTACAGAGCTAGTTGCAGGATAGCCTCCAAAGCTACACAGGGAAATCCTGTCTCGAAAAAACTCAGTCAAACAAACATGCACACAAACATGCACAAACACACAGACATGCACATACACACATACAAAGACACACACACACACACACACACACTTTCTAACAATTTGGATGAATTCATGCTATCAATATAGAAGGTTTCCAACCATGTGAGTCTAGCCTGGGTTTTGTAACAAGTAACTTTTCTTGTGTCATGACCTTAAGAGCAGTGAGTTCTGTATTATGGGAGAATTTACATAGGAAAATTCGTGAGCAGTACATACTTACAAAAATTGAAATAAATCATCATGTTCATCAGAGGAGGAAAAATGTGTTCCTTGAGAGATTTACTCGTGAAGCTTCTGAATTCAGCAGCTACTTTTCTCATGAGCGCTGAGCAGGCATGTGGGAAACATCTGCAAAATGTTGAGAAATAAAGTTTTAAAGATCAGTCCAAGCCAGGCGTTGGTGGCATGTCTTTAATCCCAGCACTCGGAAGGCAGAGGCAGGCAGATTTCTGTGAGTTCGAGGCCAGCCTGGTCTGCAGAGCGAGTTCCAGTACAGGCTACAAAACAATACAAAGAAACCCTGTCTTGAAAAAACAAAAAATGAAAAAATAAAAACAAAGATAAGTCCTAGTTTTGTCTTGGTTTGTTTTTCTTTTAAGAGTTAAATCCAGGGCCTGGAGAGATGACTCAGCAGTTAAGAGCAATGACCGTTCTTCCAGAGGACCCAGGTTCAATTACCAGCACCTACATGCAGCTCACAACTATCTGTAACTCCAAGATCTGACACCCTCACACAGACATACATGTAGGTAAAACACCAATGCACATAAAAATAAATAATTTAAAAAAGAAATACCTTTTTTGAAAGAAAAAAAAGATTCAACCCCAATTCCAGAGTCTAACCCTGGAATATAAGCAAAATCCTTCACACCGCTGCTTGTAACTATGCAAAGTGGCACCGTTGGGCAGCCGGGCAAGGAAGGCCAGACAGAGCCCCTGCCAGTCCCTGCAAAAGTCAAGTGTGGCTTGAGCAGGAGGGGAGGCTATGACCCTCCACCTGGGTGAGCAGCCCATAGGAGGCTGGGACAGGACCCCAGTGGGCAACACAAGCAGCTGCAGACAGCTTAGTCATGCCCCAGCTCAGAGCCCCACTAGCTCTGAGTGAGCAGCACAAGAACAACGCTCTTCTGGCTGGGTCTCCAAAAGCAACCTGTAGAAGATCCCACTTTGAGAGGAAAAGGACCTGTGAGGACCAGGGATAGGAGAGAACCCCAAGGCACCCCAACAGGGCTGAAGCCAGGTCAGGGAGACATTGAATCTTCCTTCTTTTTTTGGTATTTATTTCGTGTGTGTGTGTGTGTGTGTGTGTGTGTGTGTGTGTGTGTGTGTGTGTGTGTTGCCAGCATGAATGTGCACCACAAGTGGTCCTCGGGCCCTCACATCTTTCTTTTACTGTTCTCTTCAAACAAACTCCTGAAGCTAAATGCCATGGCAGCCCAGTGGTGACTACCCACTAAGGTCGCCTGTCTTGAGCCACATTTTTTTTTCATGAAATTCAAGATCGTGTCCTACTTTTGAGAGGTGAGAGGTTAAAAGTCACCTCCCACTTAAGTCCCCACCATGCATTATGCAAATCCTTTTCCCTATGGTAATTGGTCAGCACCAACTGCTCAATGTGATGTCCTTAGAAGGTTGACTTGACTCCTTCTGCTAGACCAGTGGGGATTGGGTGCCAAATGCAGTGTCAAAAGTCAAGTCTCCTTCCTTCCCAAGGTCACAAGCCAATGAATGAACCACTGTCTCTCCAGTCTGCCTGACCCTAGAGTTTTGCCGTGATCTCCAACAAGCTGTCACAGTACTGCTGAGTTCTACATGCTCCCCGGGCAAGCAAACAGGACCCCACAAAGAGGACCCAGGAACGATGCTGGCCTCCACCAAAACTCTGCTCCTGGGGAATGATATTTCATATGTCCAACCTTTCCCCTCTGTCCCCTCACCCTGTCTCAGAATCCCTTGCTCCTTAACTTCTGTCCCTGTATTTATTGGAGCCTCCTGCTATGGAAGCAGTCAGCCTCTAAGTGATTCTCCTTCAAGTGTTGATGACTTAAAAGCCAAAGCGCTCATCCATATGCAAAAGAGGCTTGAAGAGAGATGATGAATCATGGATTTTGGACAGGTCTGCCAGTAGTGGAAAAACTCCATGCAATGAGTAGCTCTTCAAATACATCACACATGGGCGACTGCTTACCCACAGAACCAGCAAGAAAGACACGAAGAGGATTGTTTCCTAAGTCTCTAAAATAGCCCCACGAAGGTAGCGGGAAGGGCAGGACATTGCTGCTCTGGTTTTAGAAATGAAAATCAGGACCCAAAGACTGCTTTGAGCCACAGATCAAGGCAACCGGGGCAGACAGAGAAGTCTGTGAGTGCAGGCTTGCAGCCAGCCGCCTCCTGCTGTCTGGCATTCCCGCCCCCCGCCCCCCACCGCCCTGCCACACACTCCTTGCCTTCCAGGCTCCCCCTGAGTTATCTTTTGAAGGTAGGCAGGGTAGTCTCCTGCTAAGTTACCTTTTGAAGGTCTGCTTGGGGGAGCAGAGACATTGAAAGGAAATATCTTTCTTTTCTTTCTTTCTTCTTTCTTTTTTTTAAGGAATAATTTATACAGGACCCTTTTTCTCAAATAGCTCAAGGCACTTCAGTGTGTGCTGCTTCAGGGGGAGAAGAGACTGACCTGATTCCCCCAGCATCAATAATGCAAAGGCGCTCCTTCTAATGAGGGATTGTCAATTTGACTTCTCCTAGATCAGCAGAGGGTCAAAAGTCACCAGTGGCTACCAGACCTGATTTGAGTAGGGGGGCAGTTTTTGGCTGGCCAGTCCTGGCTATAGGCTGGTCATATCAAAGGCCACCTTGGAACCGGGGTGTTCCTCCCCCCTGCTTCTTGATCAACTGCAGCTGCAACCACAGGGTGTCTCATAGGGGCCAGAGGACCTTGCTGCACGATTCTTCCCGGTGAAAACCTGCTGGAGCTGAAGTTTATGTAGAACAAGTCATTCCTGCCCACAGACCTGCTTTGGGGAGCCCAGATCAGACAATATTGAGCCAGATAACTCTCCTAAATTGTAAGACATGCTGTACCCCAATTCCACTACACATGAGGATCAGGAGTACCAGGTTGGCCCCTCTCCAGCCGGGTCCATCCCCCACTCTTTGCACCGGGCATGCACTGGGGTGTGGATGGTGGCAAAGCCTCTATACACAGACCTTCCCTCTGTGGGTTTTCCTTTCTGCCCTTCTCAGTCATGGGCAGAGCCTCAGAGGGACCCTTGTTGCTTTCTGATTATGGTTAGCCCGTCTTTTGCACTACGTGACAGATCCCAACAACCACATGCATAATACGACTTCTTTGACACCCCAACACAGTCAGTATCTGCTGACCCATTCGGTGAGGACTGGCAGATGCTTTCTGTTTATAAGGGAGAAAACAGTGATAGGGGAGGAGGTACCGGGGACATGAAGGCTTCATCCTTTGTTTATGTTTTAACTACAATTGAAAAACGAGTCACCATGAGCTCTGCAAGCGTGGGGATTTTTGCCTGTTTTGTTTCTTCCTGTGGATGCAAGTCCTAGGTTAGCACTCGGTAGATAAGGGATGACTGGTACCCTGAGAATTAGTAAGACTTTCGGCCCCTCCTGGAGTTCTCTGTGAACCATCTGGAACAGAAAGGCGATGACCTAAGGCAGTGGCCAAACACAGAGGAAGACAGCCTTTAGGATTGCTCCTGGCTGGCCCCTCAGAATGATTTTCCATTCTCCTATCTTGCAAGTGAAGATTTATTCTCATGGTCCCATCCAGCTTAGGTAGGAACTGTACCGGATGACCGTTTAAAATAAATACACCAGCAGAGAACCTGTCTGGGTTAGCTTTTTGTCAACTCTAGAAAGAGGAATCTAGTTAAAGCACCTCCATTAGATTGTTTCACAAACAAGTCTGTGGAACATTTTCTTGATTAATGA